GTGAGTAGTGGACCTTTCTTATGTAATGGGCTCTAAGTCGTATCTTCTTCATATTACATACTAAAATGTTGCCCACGCGATTCGTGGGTTATATATGAAATATTAATTAAAAATTATATTAAGTTATATATGGTGTATAAGCATTAATATATGTCTTGAAAATAATTTTAAAACAAAATAATATGTTTATATTCATTTATATGTTTATTACAAAATAATATTAATTTTTATGTTTAAAAAAAATAATTAACACACAAACAAAATCAAACGCGAACGCAAAATTAGTATCTAACATATTTTGTGTACATTGTAAACACTACAAATATACCAAAAGTATATTTGGAAAATATAAAACTGAATGAGATCTAACAAAGTAATACAAAATTAGCACATACACAATATAGTATGCAACTGTAAATTTGATGACCAATTTTTTTTGTAATAAACATATATGAAACATAGGATATATTGTTTTAAACCTTATTTAGAAAAACATTTTCAATTTTGATTATAAAAGCATTTAAACTATAGTTATGTAAAAACAAAAAAGAGAGGTCATAAGCCAAATAAACATAAGAAAATTACATGAGAAGACGAACTTTGATTTTTTTTAAAATTCTATTTGATTGTAAAAGAAGCTGACATAGGAGGTAGATGAGAATATATATATTTAGACTTTTTTAATGTAGCATTAGTTTATTTTTAAAATTACTATTAATTTTTTTTAACACGAACATGCATGAAGATTTACATTACTATAAAAGCTAAATAAATGAATCCAAACTAAAATAGCATAACATGTATACAACAAAACTAACAAAGAAGATGAACAACGACATCTATCTATTATATGTACATGAAAACAATTCTGAACTGCTTATAACAAATCAATATTATGTTTGGTCTCTCTAGGAAAAAATAACTAAGGGTAGGTATTTGTATTGTTATGTAAAGAAAAGTTATTAATTATTTATAACAAATGAGGTTAAGTTACTGAGAGTGTACATTGAGGTATTATATTCTTGTGTAACTCATATATTATTTATCATAATTTAATATGATTTTAGTTGTGAACATTAACAAAGAATATGAAAGACGATATCTATGTATTATATGTACATGCCAACAATACTGAACTACTTTTGACAAATTGATTTTATGTTCGGTCTCTCTAGGAAAAATAACTTGGGTAGGTATTTGTATTATTATGAATATTAAAATTATTATTTATTTCTAGCAGGTTAAGTTACTAAGAGTGTAGAGTGGAGTATGATATTATTATGTAATTAATACGTTATTAATTATCATAATTTAATAGGATTTTAGTGGATTTAGTTTAATTAATAAATTAAATAATATTTAACTTTAAAAAAATGTATGATCTTTAATTGAAAAAATTTAAATTTAACTTTTAAAAAATGTATGATCTTTAATAGAAAAAATAAGGACCAATTTTTTGTAAGCAACTATGTATATATATATATTATATATATATTTGTAACACTTTGATTGCAAATTTTAAATAAAGTAAATATTATAATTTTTATATAATAGTCTATTTGATCACAAAATACTAAATATAATGATACATATATTGAAATGAATTAGAAAAACTATTTGAGATTTAAAAAAAAACATTATTTGATAAATGTTTTAAATCAAAACTGTTATTTTACATATGTGTTATATCATATTTTCTTGATTCATATGTATAAAAATATAAGTATAATAACACGTTAGAAAAAAAATTGAAGCTTTATAAGATATATACCATATTTTCTAAAATAAATTTAGATTAAATTCTTAAAATGATATTTTCATTGACTCTCAATCCATATAGCAACATAAAAGTAGTAACATATTTAAGATGCATAAGTATAGTGGCTGAGAATGAGAGAAGCATTACTTATAAGATGATAATGTAAGAAATACGATAGAGATGAATGTTTAAAAATAAAAAAATTAAGAGACATTTCATATATTCATAATTTCATATAGTGTAAAATGAAAATTTTGATTAAACTTTTACAATGTTATTAAATATATATATATTTTTAACCCATACAACAAATAACAAAGGAAAAAAAAACACAAAACAAAACAAACAAAAATATATAAGATTTAAGATAACGTCGAAGAGGATGAGAAAATGAGTATTTATAAGATAAGAAGTTATGGGAGTTACAAATATAGTTAATGCAAATTTATATTATTTCAGTTTTTATATTAAAGTGTGAGTTAAGGATTATTTGAATAAGAGAGAGGTAATTAAGAATATATTATTTGGAAATTGTGTTACAATAAAATATTTAATTAGATATTTCATAATTAAAAAATAAAATGTATATATAAAACTGGATCTTTATAACTTAATTATCTTGTTGTACGATAATTGGAACTAATATAAGATACTATGTTAGATGTGTATCATAGTTTCTAAAGATATTTATATTAAATTCTTAAAATGATCATTTTATTGTATTTTATGTCATATAAGAACATAAAAATAGGGAAAAATATTAAAGATACATGAATATAATGGAAGAGAGAAAGTGAATGTACTTATATGTTGATAATCAAAAATAGAAAATAGAAACGAATTTTCAAAAAAAAACAAAAATTATAATAACGTAATATGTATAAAAATATATCATATAGTCTCTAAAAGTTTCTAGAGTTGAAATTTAATATAATAATATATATATTTTTTTAAACTCATACAACAAAAAAAAACAAAGCAAACAAACTTAATAAAGAAGAGGATGAGAGAATGAGAAAATGATATAATGAGAGGATGATATAGTGAGAAAATGAGTATATATAGGAAGAGAAGTGATGGGAGTTACAATTTCGTAAGACAATTATAATTGATTGTGTATTGAAAAAATTGAATGGAAAATATAGTTAATGCAAATTTATATCATTTCAGTTTTTATATTAAAGTGTGAGTTTATTGTATATGATTAAATGTGTTTTGTGGTTTATTTGTTTTTTTTTTCAGTTTTATATTAAAGTGTGAATCAAATATATAATATTTTTAAGAGTTACATACCAAGTGAACCAATAAGAAGATAGTAAAACCTTATTTATATATATGATTTGTGAATAATATGATAGTTGTTCTTTGATTTAAATTCATTATATTATTTTCTCAACTGTTTGATAATAGAAAATTAAATAAATTTTGTTGGTTAAATAGTTACATAGAAACAATTATCTTATAAATATTTTTATCCAAATTTTGTAATAAGATCTACTGATTTATTATACTGAAAAACAATCAAATTTTCTCTAATTTCAGTATTTGTCATAGATTTGACCATACTATAAAAAAATCTCCTTAATTCTTCTCTAATAAATTAACTTTTTAAAATTAGAAAATATATTATAAATAATCTATTACCCATATTAATAACTTTAGAAGGGTATCTTTATTAGAAATTTTAAAAATGTCATAGCAATTTTCTTTGAATAAAAAATTATAACAACTCCATTTTATGTTTAGCTTATATGATATTTAATTTAATAAGAAATTAAAATTAGGAAAAACATATTTTTGCAACAATGACACTTTATAAAAAGCAAACTATACATATAATATATAACTTACAACAGAATATAATAAAGAAAATAATTTTGAAATGTTAGATTATAAATTAATAAAAATGACACATGTCAGAAGTATAAAGCGACAAATGTCGCATTTTGAGGCAAAGTTAAGAAAAAACCTTATCTTATTATATAAGATTATTATAAGCGTAACTCCTCCTCGAGACATCATTTGACCCAAATGTTCTATGTTTTTGGAAATAATCATTTCGACTTTGTTGATCTTGCTCGTGGCTCTACTTTATTCATCCAAACATAAACAATTACTACTAAAGTCGTAAAAATTGTTAGCCACTAGTGTTGGAACTAGTGTTGGAACTCGTACCAATTTTTTATAAACTACTTTTTGGTTTTAAGTTGAGAATGTGAGTCACTTCGAACGACAAAATTGCATAACTACAATAGACTTATCTTACGAAATGACTTATCTTACGAAATGAATTTAGCTACATATTTAAAATTAAACTACAATAGAGATCACTTCATATGGAAAGGATTCAGCTATGGTATTGGAATATATGAATGTGAAGTTGTTACATCAGTGTATGTTTAATAAACATTGTTTATGATTAACTAATTTGTTTTGTAGAAAAGAGATACTGAAAAAGAAAAGTAAAAGAAGATTTTATCTTTTTTTTTTTTAATATATCTTTGCTTATGAAATTTTATGTATTTTGTTTTCCACTTTTGATGCTTGCTTATTAAATTATAATTTCAATGTTCCCCACTTGGTTTTTAGAGGTCTCTATTACCTTCTTCCCCACCACATTTGCTTTGGTTGATAATTATATTATTCTTAATATAATTTTCATGTTTGCCTCATATCTAAGGATATTTAGTTACCCATGTTTGCCAAAACGACAAAAATCACGTTTTTCACCAAAAACGAAAAAAACACGTTTTCCCGCCAAAAAAAAAAATATACGTTTTCCCGCCAAAAACGCAAAAATTATGTTTTCATAAAGACAGAAATTTAATTTTTAATTTTTAAAAAAATTAAAACTCTAAGATTTTTTAAGATTGGGTTGTCCATTTGTCCATATGGTTTTGTCCATCATATCTATAGACAAATGAGTTTTTTGACCAGTTGGACAATATTTTTGTTCGGGCGTGTCTATTGTCCGTCCATAATAGTTTGCACCGGACAAGTACATGGACCGCTATACTCATATATAGTTGTGTGTTAAATCTAAGTTCGTCTGTGATGATGATCTCTAGTCTAAGAGTTACGTGGGTTCGTATATGGTAGTGTATATCATGTGTTCAATTGTTTGTAAACCATGCATGTCTCTCTTCGTCCACATAACATTCTTCATTAGCTTAATTATATCATAAACGTGTGCAACGAACCACAAACACATATAGTTTACCTATGTTGCAAAATCAAATGATGAAAATTGAAAACCCATTTATGATTTGGCCACACCTTAAACATTATAAGTATGAAGATCCAAGCTCATGATGATATAGCTAATAATATAAAATGATAAAAACACATGTGTTACAATTATTATTTCTATCATTTTGTGACACAAAGAGACTAGAATACAACAAAAATTAAAATGAAAGCCTTCACAATGGCACAAGTTCACATCACATCTGGATCCATTTAGCAAGCTGGGTCGGGTTAACCACACCAGGGACGTGGTTCCCATCTGTTTTGAACACACCCGCCACGTCCGAGTAGTTGCTCTGCCGAGTCTTTCTCGCTTCCTTGTTCTGCTGCTGCTGCTGTGGTGGTGGCGAGACGAGCGGTCCAACTTCGGCCCATCCAGGGTACAGCTTTCGGCCCAGCATAGTCCCGCACGTGAGAAACTCGTGCGCCATGTAGCCAGCCAAGAGCCAGTTCGATGGAACGCCTCTTGGATCACTACTCTCACTCTCTTTACGTTTTCTCGACGCGCCTTGTGTTTGTACTCCACGCGCTTGGTGGTATTGGTTTTGATTCATTTTGTTTATGCCACGTGGTTGACAGGTAAACAAGGATCAGGGTTACAATGGTCAATGTCAAAAGTAAGAGGTAAAACCGTCAATTCATTTTTTATCCGCCGAGAAATAAAATATTTTTTTGTTTTTAAAAATTAAGATTTATAAAAATAAAAATAAAACTCAAAAGGGAATAAAAAGAAAAAAAAGCAATCGGAGGAAACAGATGAATCTGAGAGTATCGGCGACGGCATATATACGACGCCGTCGAGGATCGGTGAAGAGATGAAGTTTTCGAAAATTGAGGAAGTATGTTGCAGGCGAAGATCGGAGTTTGAGATACCGTCGCCGGAGATCGGCGGAGGAGGAGGAAAAGGGGAGAAATTAAAGAGAGGGAGAGAGAGAGAGAGAGATGAGAGGTTAAACTCGCAGGCGTGAATATTATTATCTGGTTGTTTCCATAACAAATATCAAAATGATGTTATGAGGCCTTTAATGGGCCTTAAGTAAAGCTTAATGGGTTTGAGACAGGCCTTAATGAAATGTTATCGACAAAAAGGCCGTGAACGGTGAACTTGTTTAAAACTGTTCGTGTTTTAAAAGATCGTGTTCACACTTCACACAATCTTGAATTCTTGATAGTTATATCAAAGACTGCAACAATTTGTTTTCTTCTTTAAAGAGAGGATCACGACTTCACAAGTGGGAATCAGATTACATAATTGATAACTCTATAGTAATGAAAAAAATATACATATAAATATATATATAGTTGTAGTTATTAATAATACTTCAGGAATCTAGAAAACAAATTACTAAACTATTGTGAAAAATTGACGACAAAAAAAAAACTATTGTGAAAAAAAATAATAATATACACATAAAGCAACATTCAAATAAAAAATCATAGAGTATTCGACAGTTTTCATAGAGCTTTGCTCCACATTAATTTCATATTCGGTTTTCAACGTAACATATCTTTTGTTCTTTATTTTAGCATTTTCTCTTTCTTTCTCAATTGGGAAATATTTTTCCATATTAAAACCCTAATTTCGTTCACGTCGCGTCGATCGAGTGTGGACGAAGCAAATCGGGATGTGGATTTATTATAAAAGTAGACACCAATCTCTTTCAATTATTTATACATTGAAAAAAAAAAAAAAAATTATACATTGCTCTCCAACCTCCTTCTTAATTACTTCAAAAGTCCAAGCGCTTACTTTTTTTTTTTAAGCACCGTCTTTTAATTCAATTTGGTCTATCCTACTAATATTTGCAAACTCAAAATTTTAACTTAAAACCAATCTAAATTGTTATGCTAGGTTGCTGTACAGTAATTTAATATTTTCAACAACTTGATTCGACTCTTACCGAAAGTTTCCTATCAGGACCGGGATAGGCTTAAAGCACGAGAAACAAATAGGGTTGGATCGGGATAATTTTACCCTGTTGACATGTCTACTACTTACGTCGCTATAACTACTTGAAAGTTGAAATGATATATTTTTTCCTTGGACATGATTTACACATCTTTTTACGTAACATTTGATTTCATGCATTTCTTGGTTGTATAATAAAAAATGATAGCCACAAAACAGACCTAGAGGGACGACATACCACAAACGATCTGCTAGAAGATATATAGAAAAACAATTATGACTTTCCTCGTCACATAAACTACATTTAAGTAATTTAGTTAAACATATGACCGGTGGGCATTGTAACCAAACTTAACAAAACATAATAAAACCCAAACTAGGCCAAATGTTCAACCGGAACAAGAGTCGATCGACTCGACTATGTTAAGTATGTTTCAACATAATTGGTTGGGTTTCGGTTAAGATTGAAAAATTGAAACCAAGTTAAAACGATAACAGCCTAACATGGTTACTACTTACTAATAATAGTTTAACATCACTATTTGTTTGTAATTTTATTTCTACTTTAAAGTCTCGGAAAGAGCCAAAAAAAAAAGCATAAGCACTCACCCTTAAAATATTGGAAAGGATTAATAGCACTGAGGGAATCCATAGTTACGAAATAAACCTAGAAGTTTTGTCAACCACTGAGGCACTGACAATTCGTGTTTAGGGACTGGCATGTAGCAATTTCTTATTGGAGGATAAGTACGTACAAGTGGTCTGTATTTATTCGATATTATTGGATTTAGGACATAATAGGTCGGAATATAATGGACGGCTTTTTTTTTGGGTTCAAACTGCAATAAATTCTTCATCTAACTCGCACATGGTTTGGTATGGAAGCTCCACTATGGCTATTTGTTTTTGTTTTTAGAAAAATTATATAAGTTAAGATTTATATGAAGAACATATTAGCGTTAAAAGCTAAAAACTACCAATGACGACATTAAAGTTGAATAAATAACACTGAACTTGATAAATATCAATAATCAGTAGAATTCCCGGCCAGTGAAATTACATCGGGTGCATTGTGATTTGTGAATTTGATAATGTCCAAAAGACATATACATAGTTTAGCTTAAAATCACCGACGGATATGTATGTATTTGATCTAATCAAACTAACCTGTTAACTAACAAATTAAGTTCCATAGAACAATTGGAAAATAAAATTATGTTGGATAATTTACTATGTTGGAAAATAAAATTATGTTGGATAATAAAATTGTGTTGGATAATTTACTATTTATAAATTTCAAAGAGAAGATGAAAGATTTTGATTATAAACAATAAGAAACTAACATTGTATTAACTTTTACGATCAGTTAATTCTTATTATTTAACTTATGAGTTGGCATAAAGAAGAGAGAATAAGTGTTACGATCGAGATCAACAAACCGTTAATTTGTCAGATAGTAAGGTAATTTGGGTAAAACGGTTAAAAGCCTACTTTGTTAGATATGAGTACAATAGTAATATTAAAAGTCGTGTTCCAATTTTTTGTATACGATATAAAGATGTATTGAATATATTATAGTAAGATTTGTTATACTAGAAAACATGTGGAGAAGAGATTTAGGGAATTGAATGCAGTGAGTAGTAGGAGTACGTAGTAGTTAGTAGTTGAAGTAAGTTAATGCAAAGATTAAAGTAGATAATTAAGTGTTGCTATATAATCGACCGTAATGCTTGATAGGTTTTAATCATCGGGCAGTGCACTCTGCTTATTAACAAACATACTCCAAAAAAAATATGGGGCGTGTCGTTAGTGGAGCTAGTCTTTTGGCTTTGTTATGTTTCCATGTTTTTGTTGTGAATGTTGCAGCGAGAGATGTGAGTTCTGTAAGAGATGAGGAGGAGAAGACGTTGATTGGAGGAGGTAAGGGTGGTGGTTTTGGCGGTGGGTTTGGAGGAGGATCTGGTGGTGGGTTTGGAGGAGGAGCTGGTGGTGGATTTGGAGGAGGAGCAGGCGGTGGTTTTGGAGGAGGTGGTGGTGGTGGTGGTGGAGGAGGTGGAGGTGGTGGAGGAGGGTTTGGTGGTGGACATGGTGGAGGTGTCGGTGGTGGGTTTGGTAAGGGTGGTGGAGTTGGCGGTGGTATCGGAGGTGGACATGGTGGAGGAGCCGGTGATGGGTTTGGAAAGGGTGGTGGAATAGGAGGCGGCATTGGTAAAGGCGGGGGCATTGGTGGTGGGATCGGCAAAGGTGGTGGAGTTGGCGGCGGCATCGGTAAAGGCGGGGGCATTGGTGGTGGAATAGGCAAAGGTGGTGGAGTTGGTGGCGGAATTGGCAAGGGTGGAGGCATAGGTGGCGGAGGTGGATTTGGTAAGGGTGGAGGTGTTGGTGGGGGTATTGGCAAAGGCGGCGGCATTGGAGGCGGTATTGGTAAAGGCGGAGGCATTGGAGGCGGTATCGGCAAAGGTGGCGGCATTGGAGGCGGTATTGGCAAAGGTGGCGGCATTGGAGGCGGTATTGGCAAAGGCGGAGGTATCGGCGGAGGAGGTGGATTTGGTAAGGGTGGGGGCATTGGAGGCGGTATTGGTAAAGGTGGAGGTATTGGCGGTGGTATCGGCAAAGGCGGAGGCATTGGTGGCGGGATTGGAGGTGGAGGAGGCTTTGGTGGAGGAGGTGGATTTGGAAAAGGTGGTGGAATCGGTGGTGGAATAGGCAAAGGAGGAGGTTTCGGCGGAGGAGGTGGATTTGGAAAGGGCGGTGGATTTGGCGGTGGGGGGTTCGGAGGCGGAGGTGGAGGTGGAGGTGGAGGCGGAGGAGGTGGTGGAATCGGACACCACTAAACCAAAACACATGAGGACGTTGCATTGAGTGCATGTCTCACATCACGTACAACAAGGTTACGAGTTTGAGTGTGTTACCAAAATATACTACTAGAGCTTTTATGTACTTTGTCTTTATTTGAAATTACGAGCTATGAGTTTTGTTAGACGCACTCTAATAATTTGCATTTTATCATGTAAAACATTAGGATTGTATTTGGTCGGAAGTCAATGTTCTTATAAAATCTGTTGATTGTGATTACATAACCGGATCAGAATGAAAAGCTAGAAAATCGGATGATCATTAAAGAACTTGGTTTAAGGCTTTACTCAATTAGTATGTTTGATTAATGGTTTAGGTTGGTTAAGTTGGTTATATTGTTACTGACTGAACGAAACAGAGGAATGCTCTGTACATAAACTCATGAGCTTGTAAACATCTTGTGCGAGGTGTGAAGGTTCTGTTGATTTTTGAACTCGTTAACTCATTAATCTCTTGGTTACTTCTGCAACAAGTTTCTTACATATCCAACGTATTGACTTGAAATCTAATTCGATTCGAGTTACAACAAAACCACCAATGAAGCAAACTTACAAAATTACAAGTTAGAGATTCCATTCAAATTTTTTGGATATGAAGTACTAATCAAAATCCTTTTTGTCTGAATTTAAAAAGTCTCCAAATTTAACTGTGTCTCCTTTGTTTCTTTCATCTCTCTTTTGAGTTTGTGATTTACTCTTTTTCTCCATCGTTGGGTAATATCGCAGACTAGTGAGCTTTTTGTATCATTCTTAGCTTAAGCCCATGAGAACATTTTAGACTATTATTTTCTTGAAATGCGTGAACATAAGATAGATATTTACAAATATCAGAACATGTGACAACTAGAGAGATGAGGATGCTAGAGCGACCCGAACATCGATTTTCACGTGCGTTTGGGATGCTGCTATTGCTATATAAAGAGAACACAATGTTGTCTGTTTTATACAAAAGTCAATACTCGCTTACAGATCTTCAGATCCCTCTAAAGTTTCTTCATATTTGGCTTTTGTTTGTGGAAAGCTGCACGAGGTTAGCTAGGGGAAAAAACCACTCTCCTGAAAGATATGCAACATATGTTCCTTTCCCTAACCCAAACAGTGGCTCGGCTTTTCGTTACTAGATTCTTGGGACAATTCATATCGATCGGTTGTGTAATGTGAGACTCACTTCTTTATCTCCTTGATTCAGGTAATATTTATGTTACGATGACTTTGTTACATTAATACTAAATGCTATGAACTGAACAGGATACTAGAAGGAGAAAGGATGTTTGTATTCGGAGAAAAAGACTCTACTTGTTCTTTGAAATCTATCCTTAAGATTCACTGTCCTCAGTTTTACTGGAAGGTAACATATACAAGACAATTAAAAATAAGTTAGAATAGCTAGCCTATAGCTCAAGAACCAGATTCTTGATTCTTGATTCTTGATTCTTGATTCTTGATTCTTGATTCTTGATTCTTGATTCTTAAGTTAATGTTTCTCAGGTTATGACACAAGCGGATTTAGGACTAGCAGATGCTTATATCAGTGGAGATTTTTCATTCGTCGATAAAGACTCAGGGCTTTTAAATCTGATAATGGTACATAATATATTTAAAGAAGCATATATACTTGCTTCTTCGATTTTGCGAGTCATTTGTAATGTTTTATTTGCAGATTCTTATAGCTAACAGAGACCTGAACTCGCCAAAATCAAACCTTGCCAAGAAAAGGTAAAACCTTACAACATTAATCTCCATAAAGACTTTAGGCTTTGCCTAAGAATTCACTTGTATTTTTTGATCTTTCAAGGGATGGTGGACGCCAATGTTTCTAACTGCCGGTTTAGCGTCTGCAAAGTATTATCTAAAGCATGTCTCTAGACAGAACACTCTAACTCAAGCTCGAAAGAACATTTCTTGTCACTATGACCTTGTACGTGGCTTGAATCTTAATGAGCATTTCCTCGGTCTTTTGTGGTTTCTAATCGGATTCTCTGTTCGCAGAGCAACGAGTTTTTCAGTCTCTTCATGGATGATACAATGATGTACTCCTCTGCAGTATTCAAGGTGACCATTAAAAAACTTCCAGGGGATTTTTATTCTCATTTTTGGTTTCACTTACTTTACTATAATTCTGACATCAACCTTTCACCATTTTCGCATTTATAGTCAGAAAATGAGGATCCTAGAACTGCACAGATGAGAAAAATATCTCTTTTAATTGAAAAGGTAAGATCAGAGAGCATTTTCTTGATTTGTATCAAGAAGTGAAGAACCACTTTGTTCTTTAGTGATCAAAGGTTGGAAATTACAGGCGAGGATAGAGAGGAACCATGAGGTTTTAGAGATGGGATGCGGATGGGGAACTTTGGCTATAGAAGTTGTGAAAAGAACTGGATGCAAATACAATGGGATTACTCTTTCTATAGAACAGCTTAAATATGCAGAAACAAAAGCGAAAGAAGCTGGACTTCAGGTTTTGTCTAATCTATCTCTCAATAAGTTTTCTAATACCAGGATCATTGTGATCTTATGACTTACAATATTACTTCTGAATCACCAGGATCAGATTACATTTGAGCTTTGCGATTATCGTCAACTGTCTGATGCTCGAAAATATGACAGAATTATAGCTTGGTAAAACCTTTTCTTTTGTCCCTCTCTGTTAAACTAAGTTTGTAACAGTTTCATGAATACTACACTTGCATGTTTCAGCGAGATGATAGAAGCGGTTGGCCATGAGTTTATGGAGAAGTTTTTCAGTTGCTGTGAAGCTGCGCTTGCACAAAACGGCATTTTTGTACTACAGGTAGCACTTGCTTCTTCCCTCATCATTGCACAACCATTGATGGTTTCCATTTTTAACCATATAACAGTTCACAGCGATACCGGAAAAGTTATACGATGAGAGCAGACTAAGTTCAGGTTTCATAACAGAATACATATTCCCAGGTGGATGTCTTCCTTCTTTAGCTAGAGTAACTTCAGCCATGGCCTCTTCCTCTAGGCTATGGTAAAGTCTTTTTCTTGTCTTGAGTTTAGCTTCACCTGCAATTTCTCTGTGTTCTCCTTCTCTGACGACCTATTTAGTATCTAACACCGGATATAATACAGCATCGAGAACGTTGAGAATTTTGGGATTCATTACTACCACACGTTGAGATGCTGGAGGAAGAACTTCTTGGAGAGACAGAAGTAAGATAAACTTTGAAACCCTTTCCTTTGTTTTGCTTTTCAGGAATGAGGAATCAGTATGTTTGTTCTTATGTCCAAGAACACTAACTATTATCTTGGCAGACAAATCATGGATCTTGGATTCGACGATAAATTCATAAGGACATGGGAATATTATTTCGACTACTGTGCAGCTGGTTTCAAGACTCTTACCCTTAAAAACTACCAGGTAACACAAACACTAGAGCATTAACCAGAAAATAACCATGTTTCTTACCTCAGTCTCATTTTAGACTTCATTTGAATAACTATATGTTGCATTATTGCAGATAGTATTTTCACGCCCAGGGAACTTAGCTGCATTTGGTGATGATGATCCATTTAGCAGCTCCCCAACGCAGAAAAAACAATATTAGATGATACAGTTCCCGGAGAAAAAGTATATCCTCACGGAATACTGCTTTCATGATTGATTCTGTACCAACAACCTATTACTGTCTAGACCATTCTAAAGCAAAGACCACAACTTAGAATGTGTGTGAACTACTCGAGCTCTTATGGTGCAATGGTTCACTTACATTAGGACCGTAGAAAGACCTTACTGCTGTCCAAGTTTGAGTACCTATGATGTAATTCAAGATCTATGTGACAGGGTTACATCTCGGGTACATAGGACTGCCAGAACCTCTATTCAATCGATACTAAGCATGAATCGGAGCTTGATTAAAATGTTTAAGATTAAGATAGAAATGTTTTTTTTTGTTTTTATTTATGCACTGTTATTCAAACTGATACAGCTTTAACAGGGAAGCTGAAGTTGCCATAGAGTACATATAAACAAACACCATAGGAATTACAATGGTACAACTTACAATAAGACCTTCACGGATATGTAAAAGCTTCTTAGATCCATATCATTCGCTTGTACTTCCCTTGAGGTTTAGCCTTGACACCATATTCTCCGTCCTCTGCAGCAAAAATGATCCCAAATCATTCAAACATACTGAATATATATATTAACATGCCTTATTAAATGAAACACTAACCTGTTCGGAATGCGAAAGATACTTCCCATCAAGTGTCACAACCACACGATTGTTACCATCCGCTCCTTTAATTTTGTCTACAGAGCAATAGAAGTCTATCGCTGACATGCTAAACAAATTCACACACAAATTAACAAAGACTACGAATCAACCTAAAATTAAGCTTTAAAAGGCATGGAAAATATAGACAGATCACTCTCACATACAAATTTTGGCCAACAGAGAAACCAATTATGAATCAATCATTCCTCATACACACAGAGGAATGCTAATATATCCTTCTTATTCTTAACATGTTCTGTGACAAATCTAGTAACTTTTTGACATTTCTAAATCCTCCTTCAAGCAATTCCCATTTCAAATTCGTTAAACAGTGACCCTCTAAGCAACGATAAAAACTCAGACTTAACAAAGAAAATGAACATACATGCCGATAAATCAAGAAACATTCAGTTCAATCCTTCTCATATATAAACAAAATGGAGCACAAAGGATTCTACCAAGTACCAAACACATGACCCTTAAGCAACGATTCAAAACTCAAACTCTACAAAGAACATAGAACATACATGCTGATAAATCAAGAAACTTTCAATTCAATCATCTCAACATATAAGCAAAAGTGGAGCAAAAGGATTCTACTAAAGGATGAACCTTTAAGAAACGATTCAAAACTCAAGACTTTACATAAGAAGAAGATAGAAACTCACATGCCGTCACCAAAATCTTCATTGATAATCTCCTTTATACTCTCACCAAAATGCATCACTGCTTCATTCAACCTAAATCAAAATCAAACCCCAATCCAAAATATCAAAATTAATCCACCCAACAAAAAAAAAGATGTAAAATTTATAGAGCAAACCTGTAGATGGTTGGTTCTTGGATGAGATTAGGATCATAAGATCTCCACGGCGGAGACATCATATCGTCGATAAGTCCATCGGTCAGAGCTGGTAAAGCTTTCTTGAGCTTAGGGACTGTATCGGGTTTGAGCTGAGCTTGACGACGGAGAAGTTGAGCTACGTAGACGTTGGTGAGACCTGTCTCCGTCGCTAATTGGCTATAAGTCTTGCCGGAAGCTGCTTTCACGGCGAGAAGCTGATTTGTAACACTCTGTTTCTTCGCCGCTTCCATCTTTTGACCAATCAAAATCACTTTTGTTCTTCTCTTATCGCTTTATAGAGTTTGAATACTCCAATTATGTAATTATTAAATTATTCGTAAATGGGCTAAAGTATCTCTAAATCTTCTAATGGGTCTTTAAATGGGCTCTTCTTTTGGGTTTTTTTTAAGGGTTTGAGACTCAAAACGTTATTAAGCAAACTGATAATATATCATAATATGATTAGGTTTTGAAAAATGGATTCGAAACCAAATTGAGACAACAAAAGTTTGATTAGACAACTTATATTCAAAAAATCGAATACTTGAACCAGCTTTGTAAATCCAATATTTGTATTTATTTATTTATTGACATTGTCAACGGCCGTGATTTGCAAAATCATTAGAGAGATTAGGCGACGTGGAGGAACGTTACCCGCTGGATGAATGTTGGGTCTTCGATAAGTCCACGTCTTAAACAACATATGGTCCTTAATTTTATTGTAATTAAAAAATGCTAGCTTTTAATTTTTAAATATTCCTGCAAATTGGCCCAATCTAGGTTGAATCTTTCCTTTTTTGAGTTTAAAAATTTTCAGTTTGGTGTTCTTTTGTTTGGTCCTAAACTCCTAATTATCACCCTTTGATTGGTTTGACTATTTCGGTTTTTTTTCTTCTTTTAATTTATTTTGTATAAAACTAGTAAAACTTAAATTTACTTTTTTTCGTACTCTAATTACTGCATAACAAAAGTTTTAAATAAAAATTACAGAATAAAAAAAAAGAATAAAATCCATTATAATTGAATCATAAAACATTATGTAAGCCAAAATGGAAACTACTTTTCTAATTGAAAATCTTGACTAATACAAATATTGAAAAAAATATTTATACTTTTCCAATTTCTGATATGGGGATATATTTTTATAGCCACAAAAATTTAAGTAATTTTATAATTTTTGAATAAGTAATTTTCTACCATAAGATTAGTCAATATTGGTATATTGTACAACCAAAACAATGTAATATGATATTTTATTTTTATTTATTTCAGTTTAAAGTTTCACACATTACTACACATTGTTAATTATTTCAATATTTTTGCTTATAAAATGATTTTTTATTTATTTCAGCTAAATAGCAAATGTAAAATTAAGATATCCTTTAGTATACTTGGAACATATTAAATTACAAAATTATTGTTCTTGGATGTTTCATTCTTTGTATATGAAAATTAAGTAATTTTTTTTTTTTTTTTAAGATATCAGAAACGTGATAATTAGAGAGAAACGCAAACACGTCGGGTGTGTATTTGGAAACGAGCCAAACACAGATTCAACTTGTGGACTCTTCCTCTCTATAAATATAAATCTATTGCCATATAAGCACAAAACACAATGTGGCAGGGCTTATCTCCTCACCACAACTGTGTTTTGTTTTTCTTTTAACACTCTCATCCAATAGTCTCTCCTTCTTCATTTTTTTATTAAGATCCTCCATTCTTTTTTTTCTTTCTGAAAATCAAGAAAAAGTTTAAAAAAAAAATCCAATTTCTTGTTTCAAGAATTCCAAGATATCCGGGAATGAGCGTATCTCTCTAGCTAGCAAGCAAGGACGACTCATTCCAGCCAACTCTGAATCCAATCCCCATTTCCAGATCCAAATTCAAATCCATTTTGTTCCAACTAGAAAGAGGTAACATACTCTCTACATTTCTCTTCTTTGTATGGTGTTTTATACATATATGAATATATAGATTCCGGAATAAATGAATAGGGCCATGGAAGGTAGATAGAAGGAAGAGTGGTCACTATTTAGATTCTCGACTGTTACCATTGTTTCTCTCATCTTCAATGCAGCATCTAGTGATGAAGTAGTGAATACCACCAAATTGAATTCAATGGTTTTTATCAAAAGGTAGAAGAAGAATAGAGGTCAATAATAATAAATTCGAGTCTACCATTGTACTCATCTTTAAATGCATTTACACGTATCAAAGAAAAATATCTAGTATATGTATAGTGAAAAATCTCTTTATTAATTTTGCTAAATCCGTTAAGAATCTAATTCCGATGTATTTGGTCAAAATGTAACTTATTTTGTCTACAATGCAGGGACTGGTTACAAGAATTGAATATTTCTTTAACACAAAGAAAATTAGAGAAGAAGAGTAAAAAATGAAAGTGGCAGTGATAGGGAGTGGGATAAGTGGATTAGGAAGTGCATACGTACTTGCGAACCAAGGAGTCGAAGAAGTTGTCTTGTATGAGAAAGAAGAGTCATTGGGTGGTCATGCCAAAACTGTGCGTTTCGATGGCGTTGACTTGGACCTTGGTTTCATGGTCTTTAATCGTGTACGTTTCCCTTTCCCTTTCTCTCATTTTTTTCTTCTATAGAAATTAATACAAAATAGTTTATCTAAAATAAATAAATAAATAAAGATATTTATTTTCTTTATTTTCGTGAAAAATGTGATATGATAATTGAGTCCTTGCCTTTATATGTGTGCAATGGTCCACCCACATAGATGCCACATATAAGGACCATACCCTTGAGTTGTGTGTTTGGTTCATTGCTTTTCTCTTTGTCAAAATTTTTATGTTTTCAATTTTGTTTTCTAAACTTTTGGATTAAGACTACTACATGGTGTTCAAATAAAGACCAACTACGACTGTGAAATTTATGATTTTTTTTTATACTTATGACATGACAGTATGACATAGAATAGTTCATTACCATCTTGTGACTTTTCAAACCTTCGGAATTTTACTATACTTTTATAGATTAGTAGCACTTTCATAAACACACTATTTCAGTTCATCAATAGTGTTTTGATTTGTTATTGATTAGTATACGAATTTAGTCTCAAAACGTTATGAAATATTTATATCTACAAAAAAAATCATGTCAAATATTGCTTGGTGTGTTGTTCCTAGCTCGACATTTTGGATATTGATCATACGTTAAATATGTTGATGATAGGTTACATATCCAAACATGATGGAGTTCTTTGAGAATCTTGGAGTAGACATGGAGGTTTCAGACATGTCTTTTGCTGTGAGCCTTGACAATGGCAAAGGTTGTGAATGGGGAAGCCGCAACGGTGTCTCTGGATTATTTGCTCAGAAAACGAACGTTTTGAATCCTTATTTCTGGCAAATGATTAGAGAAATTGTTAAGTTTAAAGAAGACGTTTTAAAATACATCGAGGAGCTTGAAGGTAACCCTGATATTGATCGAAACCAAACCTTGGGAGACTTCCTCAATGCTCGTGGATACTCTGAGTTGTTTCAGAATGCTTATTTGGTGAGGTTCTTGATCTTTATAATATGGATAAATCAAATATGTTATTTGAAGTCTTCTTGGGGTAGGAGTAACCTCTTCTTATATATATGTTTGTGGAGTAGGTTCCGATATGTGGTTCGATATGGTCATGCCCATCAGATGGTGTCTTAAACTTCTCTGCTTACTCTGTTCTTTCGTTTTGCTGCAACCACCACCTTCTTCAGGTTCATTAATCTTCTCTCATCTTTCACCTTTAGAAAATTGTTTCTCGGTGTTTCTTAGCTTAAGTTTATCCTTTTTTCAGATATTTGGGAGGCCACAGTGGCTAACTGTTGCAGGACGTTCTCAGACTTATGTTGCAAAGGTTCCAAACTAAACAAGATATGTACATTTGGTTCTGTTCTGCAAAGCATTTTCTTTTGAACCTAACTTGCTACCTACGGATCAGGTTAGGGCAGAATTGGAGCGGCTAGGATGCAAGATCAGAACAAGCTGCGATGTAAAATCTGTTTCGACATCCGAAAATGGTTGTGTAACTGTTACAAGTGGAGATGAATCTGAGGAAGTTTTCGATAGGTGCATATTGGCTATGCACGCCCCAGATGCTCTGAGATTGCTTGGTGAAGAAGTCACATTTGACGAAACTCGAGTTCTTGGTGCTTTTCGATACGTTTACAGGTTCGAAATTCACACCTTTATATTTATTTGCTTCAGTGAAAAAAAGCAAAGCAATTCATTAACATTTGGACATCGATTGCAGCGATATTTATCTCCATCACGACATTGATTTGATGCCACGGAACCAAGCAGCGTGGAGCTCGTGGAATTTCTTAGGAAGTACGGAAAAGAAAGTATGTGTAACATACTGGCTCAATATACTCCAGGTATACAAAACAATCTACATACTTTTAAACAAGAAAGCAATGACTTTAAACTAAATCTTGATGAGATCTATATTGGTGCAGAACCTTGGCGAGAACGGTGAACCATTCTTTGTAACACTTAACCCAGACCAGACCCCAAAGAAAACATTGCTCAAATGGACTACTGGTCACCCTGTACCTTCAGTTGCAGCTTGGACAGCTTCACAAGAGCTTCACAAGATTCAAGGCAAACGTAACTTATGGTTCTGTGGTGCATATCAGGGTAAACCATATATTCTGAAAACCTAAAACATATGAACCCGTTTTGTCATTGTCTGATCTTTAGCTGAATTTACCTTTCAGGCTATGGTTTCCATGAAGACGGACTAAAGGCAATGATCAGATTCTATATAACCAAAGCTCCTTCTCTTTACTACACAATGCATATTGTAATAGCTAACAGTTTTATTAATTTTCTTATTCAGGCTGGTATGGCGGCAGCACGAGGTTTGTTAGGGAAAGAAGCCGCTCTTCTGAACAATCCGCGGCATATGGTCCCTTCTTTGACAGAGACAGGGGCTCGGCTTTTCGTTACTCGGTTTATGGGACAATTCATATCGACTGGTTCTGTAACGTGAGGGTCATCCTATCTCCTCAATTGTGATTTAAACCATTGTTATGTTTAATACTTACTATGAACTTAACAGACTACTCGAAGAAGGAGGAACTATGTTCACATTCGGAGGGAAAGATTCTACTTGTCCGTTGAAATCAATCCTCAAGATTCACAGTCCTCAATTTTACTGGAAGGTACATATATAGATATGACAATGAATATGTTTGAATAGCCTTTGTGTTATTCCATAGTTCAAGAGCCTAGTTCTTGATTCTTGATTCTTGATTCTTGATTCTTGATTTTTGTATTTTGTCTTTTAGGTTATGACACAAGCGGATTTAGGACTTGCAGATGCTTATATCAATGGAGATTTTTCTTTCGTCGATAAAGACTCAGGACTTTTGAATCTGATTATGGTACATAGTATATACTTTTTGTAGCATAGATTCTTTTGCTTTTCATTTTTTCGAGTTATTTCTAATGTGTATGTGCCAACTTAATCAAACTTTCTGCAGATTCTCATTGCTAACAGAGATACAAAATCAAACCTTACAAAGAAAAGGTAAAAGAGCTTTGAACTTTTTGCATTAAGTAGCTAGGATATGCCTGAATCTTTATATCCTAAGCCTCTACACTCTTGCAGGGGATGGTGGACACCGATGTTTCTAACTGCCGGTGTAGCTTCTGCAAAGTATTTTCTAAAGCATGTCTCTAGGCAGAACACTTTAACACAAGCTCGTAGAAACATTTCTCGTCACTATGACCTTGTATGTGTAGCCTGAACCTCCTCCTCGGTGAAGGTTTCTTCTTTTTTTGTTTTTGTGTTGGCTTTATAATTGAATTCTCTGTTGGGTTGATACACAGAGCAACGAGCTTTTCGGTTTCTTCTTGGATGATACCATGACTTACTCCTCTGCAGTATTCAAGGTGACCTATTAAAGAACTCTCATGGAATTATCTACTTTACTATCATTCTGACTTGAACCTTTTTGCCATTATCACATTTATAGTCAGACGATGAGGATCTTAAAACTGCACAAATGAGAAAAATATCTCTTCTGATTGACAAGGTAAAGCATTTTCTTGATTTGAAACAAGAACATGTGATTTTCCTCTGTTCTTGAATAACCGAAGCGGGACATTTCAGGCGAGAATAGAGAAGAACCATGAGGTTTTGGAGATTGGATGTGGATGGGGAACTTTGGCCATAGAAGTTGTGAGAAGAACTGGATGCAAATATACCGGCATTACGCTATCTATTGAACAGCTTAAGTATGCAGAGCAAAAAGTTAAAGAAGCTGGACTACAGGTTTGCATAATCCATCTCTGGATATGTCTTTCTGGTCTTTAGAGCTAAGACTGACCATACAACTTCTGAAATTTCAGGATCATATTAAGTTTGAGCTCTGCGATTACCGCCAACTATCTGATGTCCACAAATATGACAGAATCATATCTTGGTAAAAAAAAACTCTCTTTTTTCCTCTGTTAATAGAACTCTGTAGTTAATCTTTCTTATGAGATAACCTTTTTGAACATATCAGCGAGATGCTAGAAGCGGTTGGCCACGAGTTCATGGAGATGTTTTTCAGTCGATGTGAAGCCGCGCTTGCAGAAAACGGCCTAATCGTCTTGCAGGTAATAATAGTTCTTGCTCATTTCTCTTCAAAAGACATTTTTCAAATGTTTTCATAACCATTTGATCATTTTTATAACGTTTTGAGCATAACAGTTCATATCAATACCCGAAGAGCGATATGACGAGTACAGACTAAGTTCAGATTTCATTAAAGAATACATATTCCCCGGTGGATGCCTTCCTTCTTTAGCTAGAGTTACTTCAGCTATGTCCTCTTCTTCTAGGCTATGGTAAACATGTTCATCCTTATCTTTTTTCCACCACGTACAATCTCTTTGTTCAATCAATCTAATAACTCTCCAAAACAAAATACAGCATCGAACATGTTGAGAACATTGGTATTCATTACTACCAAACTCTAAGACTATGGAGGAAGAACTTCTTGGAGAGACAGAAGTAAGATAATGATATACTAAAAACATTTCCTCTCTGTCTTCTCTTCTGGCTTCATCATGTTTCCTCACCAAAAAAATGAAACTAAACTATCTTTATGCAGACAAATCATGGCTCTTGGATTTGATGAGAAATTCATAAGGACATGGGAATATTATTTCGATTATTGCGCAGCTGGTTTCAAGACTCTTACCCTTGGAAACTACCAGGTACATACAAAACACAAACCATGCTTCTTCAGTTTCTTGCAATTAAATCCACAATGAGATTATGAATGTTACTTTCTGACACATCTATACACAATTTCAAACACACAATGCAGTTGGTGTTCTCGCGACCAGGGAACGTAGCTGCATTCGCAGACTCATACCGAGGATTCCCTTCTGCTTATTGTGTCACCTGAGAGATGCAGCAACAACATTTTGGTTGCTTATATTTTTTTTTTTTACCAATCTATACATTGAGAGCTGAAATTACAGTATGATTGTTTATTTATTTGGATGGTGTGCTAATTTGTGAAAGTTTGTTGAATAATATAAAGAAAAAAGAGAGTTTTTACTTTAAGAGTTGTTTGCATGCAGCTCTGTTTTGTCCAAAGGATTCATTGTCAACTATAACTAGAAACTTTAATATGGTATTAATTAACTATATAGAATTTGCCAAACGCTATTATTATACTTCACCTAAAAATGTAGATAGTTAGATAATAATTTTGTTTGTTTGATAGTCGCTGACAGGAGTTTTCAACAACAAACCATAGTTAATTATAATTAATTTTCCTTCATTACATTATAATAAAAGTCTTGTGACGAAAACATATAATTAAGATTTTTTTTTCTTTTCGTCCAAATAACTTATATTTAACTAATGATATTTCTAGCCAATTAGATGGGTTTACATTTTTAACCAAACTCTCTGAACTCATGTATTATGCATTACATTTTTAGATTTTCTTTTTGACGTCTAATAGATTTTTTTTTTTCAAAAAAGGTTTAATGTGAAGTGAATGAGTAGATATCTTATAAGAAACCTTTAAAAAAAAAAAAAATCTATTAGACATCAAAAAAAAAAAAACTATTAAAACAAAGAGAGTTTTATATAAAAAAACTCATTAAAAACAAATTTCCTTTTATGGGTTTCCAAAAATTTCTTTAATAAACCATAATAAAATAAATCAACTTTCTTTCTTTTTTACCAATCTCACCTAAAATTGATAGATCACAGTTTAATTATCTATTCTATTTTTGTTTCTGGAAAATCCGCAATCATCATCCCATTATTCATGTTTTCACTATAAACATCAAAAAGTTTTCGTATTAACCGGACGAAAAATCACCCTTCAACAATAAATTTTACAAATAATTTTTGTTTATATATGTTAAATTTTTTTTTTTTTTTTATAATTTTATTATCTTTTATAATACTCTTGTAATTGTAGAGATAAAAAAAACAAATTAAAGTATAAAAAATGTACTCAATAAATTTCAAGAGATTGCTTTTGGCAAAAATGTAGGCAACTTCCAAATTTTAAATACTAACAGAAAAAACAAATTATTAAAAAATAAAGAAGCAATAAACCAAAAATAAATTAAAAATCCGTTCTAAAGCTTCTTTCTTCTTTCTCTCTTTCCCCTTTGTATCTTCTTCTTCTTCTTCAAGCTCTCGATCTCACTGATTCTTCTCTTCAACAACTCGATCTCCTCTTCCTCCTTTTCAATTAGGGTTTCTACAGACGGAATTCTGAATTTTAATTTAATCGAATTATATTGTTTTTTTTTGGGGGGTTTCTTCGACTTGACCAATCTGGTGAACACCACAAAGACGAATATATAAAAGATAACAGTTGTAATTAAATCTCTGTGATTCTTAAAAATGGAACAGCTTGTTAACTTCATCATTCGACCTCCAAGGTGAACCTTCTCTCAATCCCAAATTAGGAATTTGAGTTTTTTTTTTTTTTTTTTTTTTTTTTTATCTTTCGATCTTCCGATTTGGGTTGTCAAAATTCTCAATCGTCAAAATTCTCAATCGTAAGTATGAGAATTGGGTTTTACTCTCAATTTGTGAATTGGAAATTTTTTTGTTCTTTACGGTGATTAGATAGAAATTTGTGGACCGCTTGCAAATTTTGTCTTCTTCCTAATTTTTTTTGCATAACTTGTACTTATAATTGTTTCTGATCAGAAGAAGATTCAAATTCTTGTTTTTTTTGGTGTACCCATGTGATCTCTTTGTGTCATTACTTAAATTTTACTATTCAGATTCTACTACTGGGGTCCTAATTCTGAATCTTCAAGAACGTGGCCGTGTTTTGTGGCTTTGACATGTTTTGGGATGGTTACTAAACTAGAAAATGTACCTAAGAGGTTTTGTGACTTTGATTGTTTGTGTGCTGCAGAGCTGAGTATGACCCGGAACATGATTTATTGGAAAAGGAGTTCATGATGAAGGGTAGATGGTATCAGAGAAAGGATTTAGAGGTAAAAATAAGGATCTTTTTTCGTTTGTAAGCTTATAAATTCAAGTTTTCTTTTTTTTTGTGTAACTTCTCTGTCTTCTTGTAAATTCAAATCTATTTATTCAAGTAAGATGTGTGTGTAATACGCATACGGAAACTGATTTGTGAACTCCTAAGTTGTTAGTGAAAAGTGTTTTCGTTTGCTATTTTGTTTTTCGTTTCATGGCTTGAGTGTTGTTTGGCAGGTTAAAAATAGTAGGGGAGATGTTCTCCAGTGTAGTCATTATATGCCAGTTGAACGCCCTGAAGGAAAGCCTTTGCCCTGTGTGATATACTGCCATGGAAACAGGTACTGGTTGATAAAGAATATTTTGAGCTATGAATATGATTCGAGTTGTACTGTCCCTTTGGTTTACCCTTGGCCCTCTTGATTCTTTGCATTGCCTAATATCCCTGCAATTCTATCATCCAGTGGATGCAGAGCGGATGGCAGTGAAGCTGCAATTGTGTTGTTGCCTTCAAACATCACAGTTTTCACACTTGACTTTTCGGGATCAGGTATCTCAGGCGGGGAACATGTCACCTTAGGCTGGAACGAAGTATGTGTTTCTTTAATTATTCTTGTTTATCCCGTCTACCCTTCAAAACATATTGTTACTTTGAAGTAAACATGTTTGTCCAAATTCATCCAGTAGTTTTCATTTTAAACCCATGTAAACCAATATGGTTGTGCTATTGTCTATAGAGGTACCTTATTGTCATTATGATGAAGAGATATTTCGTTTGATTTGGAGGCTATCAAAACTCTAGTTCATGTTTAGTCTAACAAGTTAAGAATTCATGGAATTCATGTCGGGTTGTAGTTTTGGTCTTGGCATCTTGTATTATTCTTCCCCCATAAAGTTATATTATTTTGAATTATGAGTGGTCATTCTTCTTACTAATGTAATGTTAAATTTGATGTGAGTGCTTGCAGAAGGATGATCTGAAGGCTGTGGTTGAGTTTTTGCGGCAGGATGGAAACGTATCTCTAATTGGGCTGTGGGGGCGGTCAATGGGTGCTGTTACTAGGTTTGGCCCAGTCTGTAATCTATTAGTTTACTAAGAGTGTGTCCATTTTTCTGCATTGTGTGAAATTTCGGTTAATGGTATGAGACCATGTCAATGGAAGTTACTCGTACCAGGGATTTACATATGTTGTGAAGCTTTACTAGTTTTAGAGGGTAGAATTGGCGTTGTGATGATTACCGGGGATTAGCGATATCTATTACATGTCACAAGTGAACGATATACGAGATTAATGAAGTTTAATAATAAGAATTTTATCATGGCAATCTTACTGCCTGCTAAGAAATGATAGTATTTTGTTGAATCATTCTTTTTTTATTGTTACAGCTTGATGTATGGAGCCGAGGATCCTTCAATTGCAGGAATGATTCTAGATAGCCCATTCTCTGATTTAGTGGATCTGATGATGGAACTTGTAGATACATATAAGTTTCGTCTGCCGAAGTTTACTGTAAGTAAATCTATATTCTGATGCGATTTGTTCTGTATACTGCAAGGCTTCCCCATATTGCTTTCTTTTTAATGGTACCAAGCTCTCTTCACTGTATATTCAGGTAAAGTTTGCAATACAGTTTATGCGGAGAGCTATTCAGAAAAAAGCAAAGTTCGATATAATGGATCTAAACACCATTAAGGTCGTCTTCTCTTCTTGTTTGTCACTTTTGTCTACTTGATTGCATAAATCTGATATATACAACAGCATTATTACTGGTCGTGATCATCCTGCTAGTTGGGAAAATTTTTAATTGGAAAATATATCCACGCTGTAGGTGGCAAAGTCGAGTTTTGTTCCAGTTTTATTTGGACATGCCTTAGATGATGACTTTATCCGCCCTCATCATTCAGATAGGATATATGAAGCCTATATAGTAAGTTACCAATTCTTAAAAGCCTTCCTTCCTCATCCATATGTTCATCTTCTGCTAGTTTCAATGTGCTACGGTATGAACATCTGGCTTATGCTTATGGTAGGGTGACAAAAATATCATCAAATTTGAGGGAGACCACAACTCCCCAAGGCCCCAATTCTACTTTGATTCGGTAAATATATTTTTCCATAATGTTCTTCAACCTCCAGAGGTGGTGGGGCCGACATTTTATGACCCATTGGATGATTACTTTGCAAAGGTACTGCGACTGTGGCACATATGACTGTCTAATTTTTTGTTTCTGCCTTAAGAAACGTCAATAATGATGTCTATTTTATGTTCAGGGCAGTTGGGGCACTATGCATGACACAAATATTCCACAATCCTCGGTACAGAAAAGTGAGTCATATTGGTTTTCCTCTGAAGTTTCTGGCAGGTTTTATTCGTGCTCAAAGCCGACATCTTTTGTCAATTTTTAGGTTTAGCCGCGGGTAGCATCTTTGAAGCTATTAATGAAGTACGCAAGAAACGACCCATGAGTCGCACAGATGTCAGTAATTTTCGAATAATCTGGGTCTTTTCAATACTTATGTCCAATACAGTTTACTCAAGACAGCTAATGCGTAGGTTAGGATGTTTGGTATTCCATTATTTGACAATGGTTTGAAAAAGCGATCAATTGCTCCCCTAACACTCCAGTCGTCCAATTTTCCTATGTGTTTAGTGTAAAAATTTTGAACTAAAATTTAGAACTTTAGAACTTCACTAAGAGCTTAAAATAGTGGGGATTCATGCTTTAATTTCTCTTGCACAATTGACTAAAGTAAATTAGAAGGTGCTTGCTTCAATTGCTCCCTCTATATATACTTCCCAGAACGGTATGGATTGCAAGTACACAGCGTTCTACATCGTAATATTGATGGTTTTTATCATTTTCTTCAGGTTCCTTCGAATGTCACATCTAACGGTTCTCCATCAGAAGCTAAGGTATAAAATCGTTGCTCTTCCTTTCCTTATCTGCTTTTATTGTGCTGTTATGTTTACCAGTTACCAGTCACCATGTCAAGTATATGGTCATTTGATCAACAATGGTAGAGTCACAAGTGCCATGGTGGCCAGTTTTAAATCGTTTGAACTATAAAAGAAAATATAATAAACGAGAAAAAGTCACAATTCCTGATGTGGCGTAATGTTTTTGTTTTAGGAAAAAGAGAGTCATGATGGACACGCCAGTTCATCTCCTGATATGATAAGCTTTGATTTGTCAAATGGCGATCAGTACCCTCCTCACCTTAGGATGGCTCTAGATAATGATCAGTATGTGGAGTATCAGATGGAGGACATGGGAGATTTCCCATCTAATGCACAGGAAGAAGAAAGGGTGAGATCGAAAACCGGATATTCTAACCTTTTAATATGTCTATGTTCTGTTGACGTTCTCATAATCTTATATCTTTATTCCAGATGCTTATGAAAGCGGTGATGGAATCGTTGAAAGACTTGGAAGTGCAAAGTCAACAAAAAGAAGAAGCTCCTGAGACGAGAATTCATGGTGGCTCTGCATTTCTAAAAGCAACTCAATGCCTTTCTTCCAGGGAAGAATCAACTTCAACTCGAGCAAATCAACCAGAGACTGATTCTGCTTCCAGTCCAGCAACATGTAGCCAGGATCAACTACCGTCATCCTCCGAGTCCAATCCTCCAAGTGAGACCTCGACTTCTCAGGCAAGACCCATAAAGGCTTCTGATCCTGGCTCTTTAAGCCAGAAGGAAAGCGAGACCCGTGACATGTCAGGAGTTACAAAGGCCACTGTGACAGTTGAACGTAGTAGTAGCGCACCGGGGAAAGTCTTAGACGGGTTAATACGCAGGTGGGATCTAAACTTCTTCAAAAACAGCAAATAAGTCCAGTTATGAATTTGGTTGTGTAATTGCGTCAAGTCAGTGCTATGCATATTGGTTCAAAAATAGGAGGGCGTTTCAAAGGTAGGTTGATAATTAATTCGTTGTTGGCTTTGGTTATTCAAATGTTTACATATGATTTTATTCAAACGTTTGTTCTTGTGGATATGCATTATGTTCATTCCAAATGCTCTTTATCCTCTTGTTACAAAACTATGATATGATTCAGTTGTTCCTTTTAAGTTCACTTTAATGATGTCTTTTCTTGGACTCAATCCTTCCTTGATCTCTTATTTCATAAACTCCCAGGCTTCTAAAATTGGATGTTTCACTTGTTTGACAAGAAACCATTTAGAAGTTGGTGTATAGTGATCTCTCTCTTTTGTACATTCCAAAAATAACAAAGACAAGATATCATTTCTAACTATGCATTTGGAAGAAGTTCATAAGTTTTAATATGTATCTCGTCCTTAATAACAGTCTTACTACCTAAACTCAGAAAAATTGGAACTAAGACGACATTTCAGACAGTAGCAGCATTTAGCTTTGTCCATCTCCGGAAAATTGTCATAAGCAAGAGAGATGAAGATTGGCAGATCATTCCACATATCAGACCAATCCACAAACCCTGTTTTTATCAAGAAAGAAAAAAAAGAAGAAGATCAAAACAATGAACCAAGGGCAACATAACAACCAAAAAACAAAACTTAAAACCAAAGTTCAAAAGAGAGTCAAACAATTCACCTTGGCATAAAGCTTTAACTTGAAACCACAAATTACTGAAATAGGCATTCCAATTAGGTAGAATGTTCCCAAATTTATAACCGTAACTATACGCTGCCATCCGCATCCTCTTGCAACTCCTGTATTTTAAAAAACTGAGTTTTTCCGCGCTTTGATGATTCAAAAATATATATATATATTTCTTGGATATTTACCTGATAAAACACCTTGGATTGAATCAAGAGTTATAGAGGCAGCAATGAAAAACTTCAATGATGAAAACGCCTCTTTAATCTCATGGCTATTGCTGAACAAACCAACCCAAGCATCATGACCAGTGAGTATAGCAACCACCATGCAGAGAGCAAGGACTAAAGACAACTTAACAGCTACAGAAGTCGCGTTTTTTGCGCCTTTTACATTTTCTGCTCCAAGTTCGTTGGACACACGCGTGCTGCAAAGATTTTGAAATATACATTTTTCAAACAATATTACTATGAGATCAATACAAAAGTATTTTTAAAACAATTGATGAGATGAACAAACCTTGCAGCTGCACTAAGTCCGTATGTTATCATGTAGCTGATCGATTCCGTGTTGACGCTGAATGAATCAAGATTACACATAATGAGCTATAGCTACTTTTGTTGATGTTAAACAAAATGAACTTTGTATCAACTACTAAAGTGATATAAAAAAGGGGAAAGCATACCATATAGCTACCAAAGAGGTGCTGATTTCTGGATTTGGCATCAATCCCGCCAAAAACACTAGAATCTCGAACACCCAATATTCCAAACTGTTGCACACAATATAATCTCTTAAAGTTCAAAAAATCATATGAAATTAAAGTTTTGCTTGTGACAAGTACGCAAGTTTTTTTATTATTTATTATTATCATTAGGAGGTTTGGGCCTTAGACCGTAATCCCCTATGATCCGGGGAAGACCGGGTGAACACTCCTGGCCAAATGGAAATATCTAATGATTTCGCGGTTGAGTGGAAACCATTAGACCAAGATCACTTGGTTCAAGTATGCAAGTTTTAAGCCGGGTGTGTCACAACAACCATACTAACACAAACCATTGGCTTAATGGTCAAAACAAGCATATATATTAAAAAAAAACTAGTAGTTAATAGTGGTTATTGATCTGACTTACCACACCATAGCCGTAGAAGGGATGCTTAACGTCAAGTTTAGAACAACATGACGAAATGATTCCAAAGAAAACCCAGTCCATGTTTCCTTAAACTTGTTCGAACAAATCACATAAGTTCCCAGAGAAACGAAACCTATCCACGTTGATATAGACGTGGCGACGGGAGCACCAATGAATCCAAGGCCAGATAAATTAACCAGCACATACGTAAGACCGATATTAATCACCAAGGGGAAAAACGAGAAGACGACTAGCGGCATAATGATGGATTGTGTTTGGCAAAACCTCAGAATGTTTTGTAAGAACCCATAAGCAAACAAGCCAGGGGTTAGGTACTTCATATAGAGTGCAGCTTGTCTTGAGATGTTAGGATCTTGTTTGAGTAGTAAGAAAACAGGTTCAGTGAAAAACCATAAGATGGTGATGAAGATGCTGAAAACTAATGAGACGATGCAAGATGATTGTAGATGAATCCCCAACATCCGATAGTTTTTTGCACCAAAGCCTTGTCCACACAATGTCTCAAGTGCTCCACTTAACCCTGTCTGAAAATAAATTAAGACAACATTAAATTCTAATTATACACAGACACACACACACACACATATATATAAATACTCATTCACCATGCATTTTGTGAACAAGCACAATTTCAGATTAAACTTATAAACCAATCCATCCACTTGTCATTTTGGTCGCCTTAGATAGCCAAAAAAAAGTTAAATGTTAAAAAAAAAAAGAATCATTGACATTATTTTTCATATAAATAACCGAATCATTGATAATAATTTGCAATCAGTATAGAATTAAAGTGATTATAGTAACCGAGTTTAGAAATTGAGAATGCAACTAAAAAAAAAAAAAAAAATTAGTTATCATTCAGAAGCAAAAAAAAAAAAAGGGTTGTAGTAACGTAAATGGAGGTAGAAAGCAAAAGATGATGATGTTGGATACAAACTAAGGTTGAAGAATAAAGTTACCATGAAGGCATAACCAGTGACGGTAGCCCAAGAATTAGCAAGGGTGGCACCAGCAAGTTCAAGATGGCCGAGATGAGAAGCAAACATAACCGAGGTTAAAGGGACACCATAGTAGAAAAGATTGGTGAATATCATTGGCAGAGAATAAACAATCTGAGTCTTTGCTTCTCCCACGTCAATCAGTTTCTTAACATAAGTTCTTGATGTTTTCTTTCCTCCTCCTCCTCCTTCACCTTCATGATCAGCCGTCGGCGTAGGATCAACCATTGTGTGCATTGTATATATCTTCAAAGGACTTTGGATTTGTGTTAGGAGTAGGAGAAGACGATTTTGTTTAGTTGTGAATGTGAAGAGCTAAATAAGGAGTAGTTTAAGTAGAGAGCTTTAATGTGGAGGTACGTGTTCAAAGGGACATGTCTATGTCAGAGGTGTTGCCAACCAATTTCGACTCTTCACAAATCACAAACACGAGGCAAAAAAGAAAGAAAATTTTGAAAAAGGTACACTTAAAAACAGTTTATTAAATAATTAACACAAAACTATACTATTAATTTGATATAAACTCAAACCCCAACAACATCAAGTAGATAAAGCCAGAATTAGTGCTTTGATTTTAGTTACATTAATTAATTATTAACACACTCACTAATTTCACTAATGAATTTTATATTAACACTCAAAACCCAACAACAAGTAGATAAAGCCAATTAGTGCTTTGATTTTTTTAGTTGCATCTAATTAATTATATATTTCTTCTTATTTTTAATAATCTTTTTAAAGTTAGATTAGGAATCAAGTGGATATGCCCATATTGAGACTTGTATTAGCTTCTGATTATGATGTGCAGCAGTGCAGGTGTGGTCCTTATGCCGGCTTTAGTACTTATTCGAGGTGTGGTGGAAGATTTTTCTTATATATTGGCGGCTCACTTAATTAATTTATTTACTAAATATATATATATAAATTATATATAGCTATCAAAAACTAAATTGTAAATGTTAAGTTATTCAAAAACTTAACTTTATTTATCTTTGTTTAAATTTTTGTTTTTTTTTTTTTCCATTGGGAGAATTTGACTAAAAGATTTAAGTCTAATAGTATATGGTTTCGTGATTGTTATGTCACTATCCAAATTTTAATGACATATATTAAAAAATGAGTTATCAAAATATGTTTTTAGTTATTAAATTCGGAGTTTGGTGGGATCATTCATCGTAGCTTTCAACCCTACATAGTATTAGTAAGGCACCCATACCATCAAGTAAGTATTAAGTTTGATTTAGGCCACACACAAAAGTTCTAACTAAACGGCTAGCTACACATTTTGACTTTGGAAAAATGGGTTATATAATACACTCCAAAATCAAACATTAGGGTTATTTGGATCTTATCCAAATATTTCCCTATTTGTTCTGTACATATTTCCATATATCTCTTCAGACAAAAGATCCGAATATTTTATATGATCTTTTCTAAATGCTATCTTTCACTATTAGGCTTCCCTCGAACAGATTCAGAAAAATTTCATGCACAGCTTGCTCCAAGGCTCTGCCTGCACACTAGCAGTCTCGGTCCACGGTTAACGATACCCCTATTATACAATAGTATATAGTAGTCATGAGTTTAGTTAATTAGAATACGTTTTGTGGCGAAAGTTAATCAAACCTCGTTCACGTGTAAGTATATACATATCGAATATTCTAACTTGAAAAGACAAAAACAAATAGGACAAGAAAAAATTATCAAACATTTGTTCCCACGAATGTTAAAATTATGCGATTTGTGGTAGTTGTAAAAAATAATTGATTTTTGTGTTGTCTGATTGTATTTGGTACTTATTGTTTGTGGTTGCTATTAAAGTCTATCATCGGAGATTCAAGATCGGAGAAGATGAGAGAAAAACACTTTTATTCATTGTGTTTAAAAGTTTGTTACAAATGCTTAACGTTTACATTTGTGATTAATCAGCTTATATATGTTAATCAACCTTACAATAGCTAACCAACAATAAACCGATATACAATGTCAATAACCGGAACCAGTACCAAGTACCAAGTATTCTAATATCCTCCCATCAAGTCTTTAGCTTCAGTAAGTCTGAATTGTGAAGATAAAGACTTGACAATAACATCTGTTGAAGAAGATTATAGAATGGACCTGGATGAAGAGGTTTGGTCAAGACATCTCTTAAACGCATTATTACAATCTAACCAATTATGAATTCAACGACTCTCTTAAAACTTATATAAATTTTGTTTTGTGAAAATTTCAGATGTTGCATGCTGTTTACAAAAGCGTCCAAATTTTGATAGAATGCTTAAATTAAAGAAATGGAACCAAGACGAGAACATTTCAGACCGTGACAGCATTCAGCTTTGTCCACTTCCGGAAAATTGTCATAAGCAAGAGAGATGAGGATTGGCAGAACATCCCACATATCAGACCAATCCACAAACCCTGTTGTCACCAAAAAACAATGAATCATAATGCAAACATACAACAACAATGAAACCTTACTAATCTCTCAAGAGAGTCATGCAAGCTTGTTTACCTTGGTGTACAACTTCAACTTGAAACCACAAAAGTCTGCAATAGGCATTCCAATTAAGTAATATGTTCCCAAATTTATAAAGGTGACTAAGTGCTGCCATCCGCATCCTCTTGCAACTCCTATCAACAAAACAAATTAAATTTGATTCGAAAACAAAAAGAAAACAACTTTTTTAGATCTACTTACCTGATAGAACACCTTGGATTGAATCAAGGGTTATAGAAGCAGCAAGAAAAAACCTAAATGATGCAAACTCTTGTTTGATCACAAGGCTATTGCTGAACAAACCAACCCAACCATCATGACCAACAAGTATGGCAATCACTACGCCAAGAGCAAGAACTAAAGACAACTTAACGGACACCAATGTGGCTTTCTTTGCGCCTTTCACATTTCCAGCTCCAAGTTCGTTGGACACACGCGTACTGCGATATTTTCAATTTAATACATTTCAAAAGGATATGTCTACAAGATGTATACAAAGTATTTTAAAACTATCTGATAAGATGATCAAACCTTGCAGCTGCGCTAAGTCCATATATTAACATGTAGCTAATAGATTCCGAGTTGACACTGAATTTATTTTATAACATTACACACAGTAAGATACTATGATATAATTAAAAAAACAAATCATTAAATTGAAAATAAAAAAAAATAAAAAAAAATGTTACCATATAGCTACCAAAGAAGTATTGATTTCAGGGTTTGGCATCACTCCTGCCAAGAACACAAGAATCTCGAACGCCCAATATTCCAAACTGTTGTACACAAAATAGTCTCTAGTTATGTTTCAACAAGCCTATAAAGTTGTTTTTTTTCCTTTTAATAACATTAACTAACAAAAACCTATAGGCTAAATATAACTGGTCAACATACTTACCATACCATAGCAGCAGAAGGGATACTTAATGTCAAGTTTATTACGACATAACGGAATGATTCGTCCAACGAGAAACCAGTCCATGTTTCCTTAAAGTTTTCAGAACAGATCACATAAGTTCCAAGAGAAAGGAAAGCTATCCACAATGAAATAGATGTAGCTATTGGAGCACCAATGAATCCAAGGCCAGATAAATAAACCAGAACATATGCGGTACCAATATTAATCACCAAGGGAACAAATGAGAAGATGGCTAATGGAGTAATGATCGATTGTGTTTGGCAAAATCTCAAAATATTTTGTAAGAACCCGTAAGCTAGCAAACCAGGAGCTTGGTACTTCATATATATTGCAGCTTGTTTTGAGATACTAGGATCTTGTCTTAGAAATCCGAATATAGGTTCAGTGAAGAACCAGGATATGGTGATGAGGATTGTGAAGACAAATGAGACAATGCAAGATGATTGTAGATGAATCCCCAACATTCTATAGTTTTTTGCACCAAAGCCTTGCCCACACAATGTCTCAAGTGCTCCACTTAACCCTGTCTGAAAACCAAAAAACATTAATGCATGTTATAAACATATGTATATAAACTAAGATTTACCCCATGGTACACCACAAGACAATTTTTGTTCTTTTACTTTTATTCTAAGTTTAAACCCGTGGTATTCCGTGGAATGAATTTTTCTTTAAATTAAAAATTTATATTTTAAGGTAACCCATAAAAAAAATATAGACAACTAAACAAAAATATATTATATTATGTTAACTCAAACACGTTTAAATTTTTCCTAAATATAGGAGCGGATTAAACCGCATAAATTTTTTAATTTGGATGCTTTAGAATCAAACTTTCTGCATATTTGTAGTTGAGAGAATATTAGTCATATTTAAAATGGTTCTGACCTATTATCTAAAATTTTCTAACTTATGTTGACGTTTTACATATATTTTTTCTTTTATCGATTCAGTAATATACGTCCGTTTTCAAAAATTTAAACTGCAAAAATATGCGGAAAGAAATTTGTATTTTAATTGTACATATACGTAATAATATAAAAAAAAAAAAGATTATATGAAATATATTATAGAGAGATTTGATTTATTAGAGAGAGAGTTTAGGAAATCTTTTTGATGTAATAAATATTTGTTTCCAATTTTGTGATTTACTTGTGATTTAATTACAATTTACTTTTAAGTTTTGTTATCTATTAAAATGGCAAGGGAAGTTATGCAAATATTAAAAAGTAAAAGGTTATAAACCAAAATAGATTTTAGTACAAAATGTACTCCAAAAATGTTAAGGTAGATACCATTGGCCATATATTCTTGTAGATATATATAATTTTCTTTTTCTTAAAGGAAAGACAAAAACTAATCTATTATTCATTATATAGGTTATTTCCACTTTTGGGATAATTCTAGGTCTTGAATTTTACTTGAAATAAATAGCAATAAAAGGTTTTAACCCATTTTAATGTCGAATATATAATTTCAGAGAAACGGATGGTACCATGAAGGCAAAACCGGAGACGGTGGCCCAAGAATTAGCAAGGGTGGCACCAGCAAGCTCAAGTTGGCTGAGATGAGAAGCGAACATCACAGAAGTCATAGGGATACAGTAGTAGAAAAGATTGGTTAATATCACTGGCAGAGAGTAAATAGTCTGAGTCTTTGCTTCTTCCACGTCAATCAGTTTTTGAAGCCAAGTTAATGATCTTGATCTCCTTCCTCCTTCATCTTCTACACCTTCATGGTCAAGCAACAATGGAGAGCTCTTCATGGGATCAGCAATTTGAATCTTCTTGTTTGGAAGGACTTTGGGTTTGGTTAAGAGTTTGAAGGTAAGAAATATGTATTGGCAATGTGAAGAATAAAATAAACTGTCTAATAAATACACATGAGGTCTATCTCTCTCTCTCTCTCTCTCGCTCTCTTAACTTTTGTTGTCCCCATTTACAGCGGGTATAGTTAAAAACGTAAACTCCAAATCATTAAGATGGCTTTTAGATTGAAGAACGTTTTCCACACTCAAACTTGGATGATTGACGTTGAACCTAATGGTCCAACCGTACAGCTGGCTACAAGAACACTAAAAGGCTTTCCACAATGCGGTGAGCTATGTAACATGTTGCACTATATATATATATATATATATGCTCATATTTTGAGAGGACGAAACTATAGAGTCCGTTGTCACAAAGGAGGAGATCCGAAAAGCACTAAGGGGGTAAACACCAATCCTAGCCCCAGAGCCAAGAACCCTAGCAAGACAAGTTTGTGCTTGCGGCCTTCAAATATATATATATATATATATATAGATTTAATCGGCCATTCTATTTGGTAAAGTTCTTGACTACTTCTTAAGTGTGGAAAATGATGGGTTCAAGCCCAACTATCTCCAAATTCCACTTTTATAGATGTTTTTTTATATATATATAGGTCTTTAATTTATTTTTGCTACCAGGTAGCCTTAAAAGTTCACATCATCAGGAACGAAGGACTCTAGGACAATGAAAGACTATAGACTTTCGCATACCACCTGGCAGTCGTGTTTTAAACGTTACACATCTCTGTTTTATGGATGAACATTATATATAGTAATAGTGGTCGAAACAGGATTTAAACCGAAGGAAAGAAAAGATTGCCTATAATAAGGTTTGTCAGCTAAAAGAGGAGGGCTAAGTTCAATATTGGAGTTTGACAAAAAAAACCATCTTAAATTAATCTCAAATTTAGTAGTTTCAGTTCAGGCTTATCAAGCTTTTAAACTTGTATAACTATAGACGCAATTTATTGTAAAAAAAATTTTTTTGATAGAATAAAACTTTACATTCATGCAAAAGATATATATATCTCCAAAAATGGAACTAGAGTTTTTTTCAGGCCGTAGCTGCAGCACTCAACTTCGTCCACTTCCGGAAAATTGTCATAAGCAAGAGAGATGAAGATTGGCAAAATAATCCACATATAAGACCAATCCACAAGCCCTATGTTACACCAAAAATAATAAGTCAAACCATAACATATGTAATTACCAAAATTTCATAAGAGATTAATCAAGTATTTTACCTTGGCGTACAACATCAACTTGAAACCACAAAAGGCTGCTATCGGCATTCCAATTAAGTAGAATGTTCCCAAATTTATAACCGTGACTAAACGCTGCCATCCGCATCCTCTTGCAACTCCTAAAAATAGAGAAAAATAAATGAGTTTCATTTGTCGCCCTTGAATATGATTCGGAAAAAAATAAAATAACAAGATTTGGATATTTTTACCTGATAGAACACCTTGGATTGAATCAAGGGTTATAGAAGCAGCAAGAAAAAACTTCAATGATGCAAACTCCTCTTTAATCACAAGGCTATTGCTGAATAAACCAACCCAACCATCATGACCGATAAGTATGGCAATCACTACGCCAATAGCAAGAACTAAAGACAACTTAACGGAAACCAAAGTTTCTTTCTTGGCGCCTTTCACATTCTCAGCTCCAAGTTCGTTGGATACACGCGTACTGCGATATTTTACAAATTTTAAATTTCCGAAACAAAACTTCCTCCACGTCAATCACTTTTTGAACCCAAGTTACTGATCTTGATCTCCTTCCTTTTTCATCTTCTACACCTTCATGGTCAAGCAACAACGGAGAGCTTGTCATGGGATCAGCCATTTGGATCTTCTTGTTTGGAAGGACTTTGGGATTAGTTAAGAGTTTGAAGAATATGAGAACTGTGAATAGGCAAGGTGAAGAATATAATAAGAGATAAAGAAACTGTATATTAAATACACATGAGGTCTCTCAACTTGTTTTGTCCCCAATATAGTTAGAACTCCAAAACATTAAGACATCTTTTAGATTGAAGAACGTTTAATTTCCACACTCAAATTAAATGTATGGACCCTTCTGAGCTAATAGACATCTTATGGATGATTCACGTTGAACCTTGTCCAACTCTGTGTTACACTTGTGAAAAACAAATCTTTACCTGAACATTGAACGCCTATGGAACAGTGAGAAATGTACTCTTTAGCAAGATTTATAGTTTCCTTACCATTTAATTAGAATTATTTTAGTTTTCTCGATGGTTCTTATTAGACTTCCAAAGAGCACATATAACAAATAAAAATTGTTGTGTAAATGATAGATGGGAAAATGTAGTATGACTAGAAGATAACTTTCACATTGGTTAAAAATCGTGAGTTATCTGGTCCACAATTACATAGTCTTCTTAATTCCAATGATATTCGAAAAATTATTTTTCTGCAAAAATTTATTTTATTCCATATTGCTTAAGAAAAGAAATGTGCCTCGTCCCTAGAAAAATTGGAACTAAAACTTTTTCAGACCGTAGCAGCATTCAGCTTCGTCCACTTCCGGAATATTGTCATAAGCAAGAGTGATGAAGATTGGCAAATAAGCCCACATATCAGACCAATCCACAATCCCTATGTTACACCAAAAATAATAAATTAAAACATAACATATGTAATTACCAAAATTTCATAAGAGATTAATCAACCATTTTACCTTGGCATACAACTTCAACTTGAAGCCACAAAAGGCTGCGATCGGCATTCCAATTAAGTAGAATGTTCCCAAATTTATAACCGTGGCTAAACGCTGCCATCCGCATCCTCTTGCAACTCCTTAAAATAGATAAAATAAATAAGTTTCATTTGTCGCGTTTGAATATGATTCGGAAAAAAATAAAATAACAAGATTTGGATATTTTTACCTGAAAGAACACCTTGGATTGAATCAAGGGTTATAGAAGCAGCAAGAAAAAACTTCAATGATGCAAACTCCTCTTTGATCACAAGGCTATTGCTGAATAAACCAACCCAACCATCATGACCAATAAGTATGGCAATCACTACGCCAATAGCAAGAACTAATGACAACTTAACGGACACCAAAGTTGCTTTCTTGGCGCCTTTCACATTCTCAGCTCCAAGTTCGTTGGATACACGCGTACTGCGATATTTTTCAAATTTTAAATGTTCGAAAAAAAAAATTCGAAGACAAGTAATTTTGAAACTATCTGGTAAGATAAGCAAACCTTGCAGCTGCGCTAAGTCCGTATGTTAACATGTAGCTAACCGCTTCCGTGTTGACGCTGAATTTATTTATAACATTATACACACAGTGAGCCACTTTGATGTAACATATATACCAAATTTAAAAACATTACGTAACTAAATAGTGATGTAAAATAATGTTACCATATAGCTAGTAGAGAAGTATTGATTTCTGGATTTGGCATCACTCCTGCTAAGAACACTAGAAGCTCGAACGCCCAATATTCCAAACTGTTGCACACAATATATTCTCTTAACCTTCAACAAGCCTATGAAATTTTTTCTTAATCCTGTTTTTCAACAACATGTACTATTTGGGTTGACCCATGATGTGATAATAACATTAACTAACACAAACCACTAGGCTAAATATAAATTCTCAACATACTTACCATACCATAGCAGTGGAAGGGATACTTAATGTCAAGTTTATTACGACATAACGGAATGATTCCAACGAGAAACCAGTCCATGTTTCCTTAAACTTTTCCGAACATATCACATAAGTTCCAAGAGAAAGGAAAGCTATCCACAATGAAACAGATGTAGCTATTGGAGCACCTATGAATCCGAGGCCAGATAAATAAACCAGAACATATGCGGTACCGATATTAATCACTAAGTGAACAAACGAGAAGATGGCTAATGGAGTAATGATGGATTGCGTTTGGCAAAATCTCAGAATGTTTTGTAAGAACCCGTAAGCTAGCAAACCAGGAGCTTGGTACTTCATATATTGTGCAGCTTGTTTTGAAATACTAGGATCTTGTCTGAGAAATCCGAATATAGGTTCAGTGAAGAACCAGAATATGGTGATGAAGATTGTGAAGACAAATGAGACAATGCAAGATGACTGTAGATGAATCCCCAACATTCTATAGTTTTTTGCACCAAAGCCTTGTCCACACAATGTCTCAAGTGCTCCACTTAACCCTGTCTGAAATCCAAGAAACATTAATGCATGCCATAGATATCGTTATATATATATAAAAATAAGTAATATATAGACAAAACTCCAAAACTTATCTATTAGTATTCATTCTAGACGCCTTGGTCACTCAAGACGCCGTAAAAGCCAAAAATAGGTTTCTACACATTTTGGGATTAGTCTAAGTTTGCTTTATGATTATAAAAATTAGCAATAGAAAGGTCATAATTTTTTTTTTATATAGATACTTTTCAGAAAGATGGATAATTTTGATTATTCTTGAATAACTTGGAGTTAGATATGTTGAATAAAAAGTCATAAGGAATAAGATAAGTGGATGGTACCATGAAGGCAAAACCGGAGACGGTGGCCCAAGAATTGGCAAGGGTGGCACCAGCAAGCTCAAGTTGGCCGAGATGAGAAGCGAACATCACAGAAGTCATAGGGATACAATAGTAGAAAACATTAGTTAATATCATTGGCAGAGAGTAAATAATTTGAGCCTTTGCTTCTTCCACATCAATCACTTTTTGAATTAAAGATGATGATCTTCTCCTTCCTCTTTCGTCTTCTCCACCTTCATGGTCATCCAACAACGGAGAGCTAGTCATGGGATCAGCCATTGGATCTTCTTGTGTTGGAGTTTGGTTAAAGAGTTTGAAGAAGAGAATTGTGAATTGGCAAGGTGAAGAATATAAAATAAGAGATAAAGAAGAAACAGTTCATTAAATATTAACACATGAGGCCTCCCTCTCTCTCGCATTTCTACCATTTATTGCCATCTTATATAGCCATATAGGGAATACGTTTTCTTATGTAAACAATTATAACAATGTTTTAAAAATTAATATTTGGTTATTAGTGGGTGTAACTAACTTATAAGTATATGATTATTTAAATGTGCATACATTTAAAATGTATTTGACTTCTTTAACGATTTATAATGTACATATGTTTTTGATTGGTTAAATTATTTTTAGTAAATTGAATAACATTATATGATTTTATATGTGTATTAATTATATTTTGAACATATATTTTGTCTGAATTTCTAGAGTATATACATAAAAAAAAAAAACGTGGTCAACAACGGAACAAATTTTTTAGATTTTAAGAATCTTTTACGAATATGATGGGTCCGCAATATGTTTGTACGTACAATAAAACCTTTCTAAATTTATAAAGTTAGTATGACGATATTTCATTAATTTATTAAATATTAATCAAAATCAAATTAATTTTTGGGATGTTATAAATTATGTAATTTTGGACTAGAAATTTAATATTTAAAAGACAAAATGATAGTTCTTTTGCAAATTCACTATAATTGAAATGATATACATATATTTAAATTTATGATTAAAGACCTCGTTTGTCAATTATTGTCGAAAGTCATCTATTTCAAGAAACAGTTTCAACCTCACACACATGCCTTGTTTATTTTCTTTATCTGATTTGATTGTGGTTTTTGGAAGAGAGTTTACTTCCAAATTTTACCAGATTCTACAGCTCATCTCCAGTTTAGTCAGACTCATCGTTACTCTTCTTCTTGTTGTTTTTTTCTGAACCATGTTTACTCATCAACTAGAAACAACAAAGGAAAAATAATTATCCTAAATATCATTACAACCTTCCATATTTAGAAACTGTATTGATTTTTTAGTCATCACATGACTAATAAGTAATAATCATTCAATAGAAGCTGATATTAGTTGAAAAGTGACAATTTTGTCAAGGTTGTTATGACTTGTGATTCACGGGGTAGATAACATATAAACAAAATTGTAATATAGCATGAATTGTCAAGTAGAGAGCTAACTGATTAAATCATAGATAAAACTCAAACAGTAGAATTACATTGTTTGTAGCAAGATTTCTTGTTTTATATGATCATTGTCAATGCAGCTCAATTTAGGACTATGGCTATTTCCATATCGATACAACTAGGCTTAAGGCCCAAAAGGACATGTTAAAAGTTTTGGCTCATACCAAAGCATCGTAAAGAAGAGATACAACAGATTAAAATATGTTTTTGGGTCTACTCTGGTTATGTATCTAACCAAAGCTAAGACCGTTCTAAGTTCTCTCACTTGATATAGTCGGTGAGCCAAGCGAGCATGTCTTTGTGAGCTTCCTCTGCAGCTTCAACTTCTGATGGATCATTTTCATTGTACCTAACAGTCCAACCGTGTTTGACACTTGGGAATATCTTCACAAAACTCTTCACCTGAAACATGTTACTTAATGCAATTACTTACTTGAAGACATCTACTTCAAATACACATCAACTACTAATGGTGTGTTTTGATTGTAAGTAAAACTTGCGTAAAGAAATAGGGCTAAGCAAATAAGTACCTCAGGTTTTGAAGCTAGAACATCTTCGAATTTCCTTACAAGATCTGGAGGAGATACTTGATCCAATTCAGCTCCTAATACAGCAATTGGAATGTTGACCCCTGTTTCAATTATGTATTGAGAGTCATAGTCGTCACAACAAATGAGAGGGAACTAGCACGTAATGATCAGAACATATTAAAAAATGTTAGTTACCCTTAATATCATCGACCGTAACACGAGAAGGATGTAATAAAACAGTAGCCTCAACAAGGTTCTGCTTTGCCAATTCAACAGCAACTTTTGCTGAGATTAAAGTTGTTCTCAGGATTATAAGGATCACCATGGAAGAAATCAGGAACCACGGCAAAGAATCCAGCTTCAGCAACCTTGTCAGCAAGTTTCCTATCACAGTAAGAGTAAAAAAACCAAGACAAGTCACAACAACAATGAACCTAAGCAATTGAGCTAGAGAAAACTAACACATGATACAAGCTAGTTCAGTATAGATTCTGGTACGGTACCTCAGGTTTGGAGTTTCATATCCTGCAGTTAAAAGAAAAGGTTTTAGATTTTCAAACTCTCAGAGAGAGTTAAAAGTTATTAGAAAGGTGATTTATACCGAAGACATGAGAGACGAGAAGAACAGCAAGCTTTGAATGAGTAGAAGAACCAGAGACATAAGTGTCGAGGTTTCCAAGTTTCTCGACATGACCCGACCCGCTATCTGGATTCAGGTTAGGTGGGTTCTCGGTGCACTGATGATGATGACCCGACATCTCACTTTGCCGAACCAAAACAAGGACTCCTCCTCTCAGTCTCAGTCTCCCTCTGTAACTCTGTTTTTAGAAAAGTTTAAGTCCACCCTTTAACACCACTCTACGTGGCTACGTACGTGTTCGTATCTAATCTCCTACCTACAAAATCCCACGTGCGTTACATCAAATTTAACTTTGCAAAATATAATATGTTCTCCACTAATCACTACTAGATGGTATTAAATGTTGAATAGTGTTTTTCTACAAAACTCTATAGTGATGATATCCCTATGAGGCTATGATGAATAACAATGAAAGATGTGTTATCATGAACACTAGATTATGGTGAACAATATTTTGACGGTAGACATTGTACAATGTAAATGTTTTGTTATAAAGGTGTATTAGTTTGGTCATTGGTGTAATCAGTGGACAAGTTCTTTCATTTATGTGGCTTCCACTAATTATCCTTTTTAATATTTTTCTTTTTTTGTGGTTGTAAAGATATTTTTCTTTCTAACAAGAGTTGCCTTGAAAATCACGTTGGAAAGATCACGAGGAATTAGTAGACGCTAGCGTCACTCAAAGAGACAAAAACTCATTTTTGTTTTGTCGGTTTTCAAGGGTTTTTGTTTAGGGTTTTCCCTTTTTTTCCCCTATCTATTTATCTAATCCTCTGTTTCCCAATACAGAGAAAAAACAAACCCTCAAAATTGAGAGAGACCAATTCGTGACAATGGGTTCGTTGAAGGACGATGGTCAAAGAAGAGACATGGAGGAAGAAGAAGAAGAGTCAAAAGAGCCGCTCTTGATGGCGCAGAACCAGAGGTTCACTATGTTTCCCGTTAGGTACAAACCGATTTGGGAGATGTATAAGAAGGCTGAGGCTAGTTTCTGGACTGGTTAGTTTACTTCTCTATTCCCTTGAATTTGGATTGTGCTTATGGTTTCAGTTTTGATTAAGATTGACTTTTGAAAAATGCAAAGCTTCCTCTTTTTTAGTTTTTATAGGAGTGTAATGTCTTTTTAGTGTAAGTTTTGTAATTTGGTAATAGATGCGGTGGATAAAGTTTCTCCCTTTGATTATGGTTGGTTTTGTGTTTCCAGTTTTTGATTTCAGAGGATGTTAAATTTGACATTTTTATGTGTGTGTTTTGTGACAGTGTTCTGTTTTCTGCTTTATATATCATTATCAATCTGATTTTTACTTTATATGATGAAATTGTAGCCGAAGAGGTTGATCTTTCCACGGATGTGCAACAATGGGAAGCCTTGTCTGATTCAGAGAAACATTTTATTAGCCATGTTCTAGCGTTTTTCGCAGCATCAGATGGGATTGTTTTGGAGAATTTGGCTGCTAGATTCTTGAATGATGTCCAAGTTCCAGAGGTGAGGAGTATATAAAAATCTGCCCTTTAAAGATTTAATTTTACTCCTGTTTGATTTGTGACAAGTCAATTGTTTGAATTTTCAGGCTCGCGCTTTCTATGGATTTCAAATCGCCATGGAGAACATTCATTCGGGTAAGGCTTTGTTAGTGGAGCAGTTTTGATTCATAGGAACCTTAACGTTTAAAGATTCTATTTAGTCATGGTGAGTTGGTTAATGAACATAAACATCTTAGGATCAAGCCATAATACTTGTAGTTGTAACCTGTACCCAAGATGAGCTTGCAGGGTTTTGTTGTTTGTAGATTAAACCGAATTTTCCGTAAACATGACTATGATCTTGTAAATTTCTACCATGTAAAGCTGATTCAAAGATATATATTCTTGTGACATATATCAGAGATGTACAGCTTACTTCTGGAGACATATATTAAGGACCCAAAGGAGAAGGATAGATTGTTCAATGCTATTGAGACCATTCCTTGTATTTCCAAGAAGGCACAATGGTGTTTAGATTGGATTCAAAGGTACCCAATTGTTGTTGAGTTCATATGTTCAGGATTAATATCATCTCTTTGGTTGAAGAAACACAATCCTAGATTGTTATCTGACTGTGTACCTACCATTGTCTACAGTCCTATGTCATTTGCTGTGAGGCTGGTTGCGTTTGCATGCGTGGAAGGAATATTCTTCTCAGGAAGGTATATTTCTTCAGCTATTGCATGACATCGTTGGAATCATTGGCATAAGGTAACCTATCTTATATATGTATGCTCTCGTGTATAAGAATTCATGTGTTTTGGGCAGCTTCTGTGCCATCTTCTGGCTTAAGAAGAGGGGTCTTATGCCGGGTTTGACATTCTCAAACGAGCTTATATCGAGAGATGAGGGGCTCCACTGTGACTTTGCTTGTCTCTTGTACAGGTAAAATTAGGCCAATGTGGCTTACTGTTACCATAAGTCAAAATGTTACAGACTTTGTCTCAAATTCCACTACTTCATGAACAATAGGTCTGTAACCATTTACTCCTCATCATACTTTTTGCAGTTTGCTGCAGAAGCAGCTTCCATTGGAGAAAATTTATCAGATTGTTCATGAGGCAGTGGAAATTGAGACAGAGTTTGTCTGCAAGGCTCTTCCATGTGATCTGATCGGAATGAACTCGAACCTCATGAGTCAGTACATACAATTTGTCGCAGACCGTCTTCTGGTAAAGGAAATATATGTTTCCCTCTTGAAACACATGAATTAGCTTTTTCATCAAACCCATGGATTTGCCTTGATTATATTATAGGTTACCTTGGGATGTGAAAGGAGATACAAAGCAGAAAATCCATTTGACTGGATGGAGTTCATATCTCTGCAGTAAGTAGTCGATACATCGCAAGTTTCTATCAACTTGGTTTGCCAAGATAGCTTATCAAGAACAGCACTGATTGTTTTCGTATGTTTATGTCAAAATTTGCAGAGGGAAGACAAACTTCTTTGAGAAGAGAGTGGGAGAGTATCAGAAAGCATCGGTTATGTCGAACATCGAAAATGGAAGTAAGAACTACGAATTCACTACTGAAGAAGACTTTTGAATGAATCAGTCATTCAAATCTGGAAGAGCTCATCGAGATAGATTCTTTATGACTCACTTCTCATTCTTTTTAGCCCAAAACCAGATTAGTAGTAGTATTAGTAATAGTAGTAGCAATAGAAGAGGCCATATTCACATTTGTTACATTTCACTTAGCAATAAATGTTATGGTCTCTATTTCACCATCACTTGTGTCTCCTCTATTGTATAATATTAATACCATCTTAGTTAATCTAATCATATTATATATAAACAAAACATAGAGTATTAGTGTTTTGTAAATATCTGAATTAAAGAATGATAAAAAATAGTAGCCATCAGCAAGTTATGACTTTAAACGCAAGAAGCCAACAACATACGTGTCTGGTTTAAGCATGTGACATGAAAACAAAAGTAATATTAGTTAATTAACGGAGTAGTAGCACCAACAACTCTTTTAGATTGAAAACACACTCCATCCAATTCGTTGGAGAGTAACATGAAATATAATGTTTTACTATTAATTATAATCTAATGGTGCGGCTTAGCTGTTCTTTGAGTAAACTCCACAAACTCATCATACACTTTTAAACCTCCCACTTGACCAAACTTTTTTCTTCTTCAAGTGATCAAGTCTTTGTTTATCTATATTATGTAGTTGGACCATCTCCAAATTACTCATATATAGACCCATGTTACGGAAATAGACAGTACTCCTCTTCTGGTCCAACCAACTTATTATACATTTTATAGTAACCAAAACGTAAATAAGTGAGTTATAACGTGTGGATATGTCTTCGGGTGATAGGGAAAAGTGTAAAGAAGAAATGATGGATTTGGTTTGAAGGTGAAGGTGCGCAGTCGAAATCTGAAACCACAAGCGTTGTCGTTTTCAGACAACTGGACTAGACAAAGAAAACAAATGACTTGTGCCACTAAGTGAAATAGTAGTGTGTTGTGTTTGTTTCACCAACCAAGATATGATTGTTACTTGAAGGAGACATCAACCAAACACACCTTAAAAAATTTAACAGAATATAAAGGGACTTTTTGTTTTTCGGTCCGATAACTTCTCCACTTTGTGTTTTTTTTTTTTTTTTGGTCTTACGAATGGTTTTAGAGAGTACTTGCCTAATTGAAAACAAATCAAGTTAATATCGTGTTTTGTTTTTCGCCAACATGTTATGTATGAAGTATGATTAGTTAAGCTGTCATTTCTTGATCGCAGCCTTGATTAGCAGAAGTCTTTAATCAATCATTATTAGAAGAATGATATTTTAAAGATGTGTAGATCATTTAATTTGTTCGACTTGAAAAGTTTACTGTTGTTCCTTCTGCAACAATTCTTCATTCTATAGGATTATCTTTAACAACAAGCATACACGCATGCAAGCTTTAATAATATTTGTGAATTCAATTATTTTATGTTTTTTTGTCGAATTGTGAAACCAAATATATAAATGGTAGTTTGTGTGAATCAGTCTACCAGCAAGATACGATATTAATTCCTTGATTTTAATTTTCTAATGAAATTTTTTTTTTATAATAATTTTTCTTTTATTAATTTTACAGAAGATAGGATACATGCTACAATAACTAATATCATATGATTATCATTTCAAGTCTGATCAAGATCTTGTGTTCATGATCTGTTTTTGTTTAGGTATAAATAAATCACCTTGTTTACTATATACTCAGTATCCGAAATATGAGTGAACTATCTTCCTAAATTAGTACTTTTAGATAGTTTCACATCTTTTAAAGAAGATTTGATTATCGATGGTTGACTGAGAACATCTTAATTAATATGTAAGAACAAATAATGTTTTGGAAATAGATTTGCTATATATGCTTTCATTTTGTCGAAAAATTCGGTTTTTCGTCTTGCTTTTTAAAAAAAATATTTCTTTTATCTTCTAATACGTTTAGTCCTTTTTGCTTCTAGAGTTTTAAACTTGTGAAAAATATTGTCTTAAGCCGGTTTTAAATTTTTCTTTCACCAAAGATTCATTCAAAGTACTATTAATTAAACAAAAAATTAGATGAAAAAAAACACACACAAATGCTTACATCTCAATTCGAGAAGTGTCCATTGATTAAAGCGAACAGTAGGACTTTATCTTCGACTATAGGAGGAAAATGGTGATGGAACATCCTCAACCTCCACTAGCATATATCATCTCCACCTACTCCTAACCACTAAACCAATTATCATTATTTTCACTTTTGTTCCATCTCCATATTATCCTATACTTTTTTTTTGCATTTTATTTGCTTACACAATCGAAAATGTCCTTTTTTATGAAGTAGAAGTTTGAAATAATCAATTGGCCAACCTCTTCACTAAATTATGTCGTATATAATAAGTTCTTTGAGAACCTGGCCGTACTCAGAATGAATCTAGCTATTACCAACTTAGTGATACGTACACACACACCAAGTCTTTAGGTCGATCTAGAGATGATCCATCTTGAGTTGCCTCATTTGTTTATAGGCTAAAGACTAAAGAGAGAATATATATAAATACACAAAAGCTGGATTCATGTGGGTCATCCATCATTAATCTTGTTCTTCAATTCACCAACTTCGTAGGTTCCGCATCTTTTGTACTTTCTTTCTAGTTTTATAAATCTTGTAATATCCCCAAAAAAAAAAAAATTATATAATAGAGTCAGAGATACACATCTGTTCTATATATAAAGCTTTATCAAAATGCATGGTATCACAATAAAAACATATTGACTATTTCTATATTCATCGACTAATCTCATAATTTATACATAGAAAAAAAAAACCAAATCCAAACGTCAAGGATGTTATTTTGTTGTTGTTAATTTTGTTAACCTATCTTTATCAGTTTGGAATCTGTTATTATATTATGCGTTGAAAAACTAGATATATATACCAGAAACATGGTAATGTTTTTTCTTTTATTGGCAAGAAATGGTAATGTTTAGCCATTAGACTTATAACCAAAGTTGGTTTATTTGACTAAAAATGGAATTGTCTTGCATTATTATTACCTAAAAGCTCTTCCTTCTTGCAGAATTAGTCTTTCATGCATAAGATAGCCCCAAAAGTCTTACTTGGAAATCATAGCTTTGTAACTCATCTCTTGCCACCATCTTATCTAATTAGTGTTTATATAATGATTGTTTCTGATTTTTTTTCCTTTTCTTTCATTACATAAATTTCTGAAAAGATCGATATTTTCTTTGATCGTGAATTATTATTTTTGGATTAATTAGTATATCTATAAATTAATAAAACAGTATAGTTACAAATTATATAAACTTATCAAGATTTTAATTTAACTCTTACTTAAATAATCAAATAGAGTAAAAAAACCAAAATCAACATCATTTATCTCTTTTCATAAAACCGAAACTTTAGATGAAGATCCATAATTTACGGAATCAAAGACGAAACGGATTTTTCAGTTACTTCCCTTGAGAATTGAACCGTGATCTGATTTGTAACGCGGAAACAACTACAATAGTCATAATAAACATCTACTACTTGTAGATTTTTATAATTATTAACAAAACCGGATAAGATTTTTGACTAATTAAAATATAAAAAAATTCCAATGAATTGAAAAGAATCCATGAATTGAATTTTTATTGACTTTTATACGCAATACATTAAAAAATCAATTACAACAAACACCTCCAAAATTGTTAAAATCACCAATAAAAAAAAAGTAAAGAAAATTCAACAAAAACAAATACGAGAGAGAGAGAGGTTTGGGCAAATGTGAAACTCTTTTGACGTCTTTCTCATAATCCCGTCTCGGGACATTCACACGCACTACTCTTTCTTTTCTTCTACTAATCCAAAATCCATCTCTCTCTCTCTCTCTTTCACAAAGGGACTCTTCAGTCATTTGCAAAAATCGCACATCAAATCTGAAGAGCTCCTGTTTCCTTAACCCCGCCTTCTTCAAAAATGGTGATACCTGGACGAAGAACCGTCTGGGATGGAGTGATTCAGCTGACGAAGATGTCCCAAGAGAACTGTATCGATCCTCGTCTTTGGGCTTCTCAGTTATCCTCGAATTTGAACTTCTTCGCTGTTGAGTTCCCTTCGACGGAGCTCGCGGAAGTGATTGTTTCCTACATTTGTTGGGATAACAACGTTCCTATTCTCTGGAAGTTTCTCGAAAGAGCTATGGCGTTGAACCTTGTTTCTCCTCTCGTTGTTCTTTCTCTTCTCTCTCACAGGTTTGTAATCGCTGACGATTTGTTTCGTAATTTGGTAAAATGATGGATCTTAGATTGGTGGGTTCATAGTGCAGATCTTTTATTGTTGTTTGATGTTTTTTTTTTTTTTGTACAGAGTTGTTCCAAATCGGAATACGCAACTAGCTGCTTATAGAATTTACTTGGAGCTGCTTAAGAGATATATGTTCACCATTAAAGATCATATTACTGGACCTCACTACCACAAGTGAGTTTTTTTTGTTGATACTGTTTCATTTATTTGTTTTGGCTCTGTTGATAAAAACTATACTATTTTGTTAATAAACGTGTATTGTGAGTCTTATATGATTTAATCAGCTTGTTACTCAGAAGAAGTGCGTATTTATTCTTCGTTCTTCGATGTTACAGGGTAATGATTTCAGTAGCTAGCATTCTTCGTCTTTCAGAGTTATTTGATTTGGAAACAAACGAGCCTGGTGTGATTTTAGTAGAATTCGTCTTTGAGGTGGTGTCTCAACTGCTAGATGCGACATTAAGTGATGAAGGTTTACTAGAGCTAAGCCAAGACTCGAGCTCTCTGTCTCAAAAAATGGAAATTGATGCTCCTGAGAGATATAATGGAAAGACTGGTTCTCTTGAGAAGTTACAGAGTTTAAATACCATCATGGTGGTCGAGATGATTGCGGAGTTCCTTAAGAATACAGTGGTCTCCAGATTGCTATACTTGGTATCCTCCAACAGGTATTCACCATGTTGTATTTGCATTGGCAGATATTTTTGCTTAATCATAACCTTTATTTTGACGAGTAATTTCTTTTTAATATTTGCTATCCATGTCTTTTCAGGGCTTCAAATTGGCATGAATTTGTCCAGAAAGTGCAGCTGCTTGGAGAAAATTCATCAGCTTTAAAGAATTCAAAGATTCTAAATCCTGGGGATCTATTGAAGTTGATTTCTAATAAAAGATTTAGGTATTCTTATGACTGCAAAGTGACTTCATCACGGAAGTCCAATGCTATTGTGGATTTTGGATCACTCTCTTCCTTTGCTGGCTTATGCCATGGAGCAAGTATCTCTTCACTGTGGCTTCCTCTTGATCTAGTATTCGAAGATGCTATGGATGGATATCAAGTAAACCCAACTAGTGCGATTGAAATCATTACTGGTAATACTCCATCTTCTTTCACTTGTGGCTTTAACCAAAAGAAAATATATCTCAAATATATAATGAAATGACTCCAAGAATATCAAATTTTCAGGTCTAGCGAAAACACTTAAAGAAATTAATGGGAGCACTTGGCATGACACTTTCTTGGGTCTTTGGATAGCAGCTCTCCGGCTTGTTCAAAGGGTACTAATCTCTTACTGATCCTACTGTTCGTGATTTCACCATTACTTGGTCATCAGAAAAGCAGTTTTGCGCTTGCTTGCAAATTTTCCTTAGACCGTGTGTTTTTGTGATTGGTTCTGTTATTTGGCTCTATTCAATATGCTGTTAAAATTGTCTGCTAAAATTCCCAAGACGGTATCAGAACACACTTTCTCTTGAGTTAGCTGTAATATTTGGTTGTTAGTCTGTCATCCATGATAAGGTCAGATTTGTAGTATCCAATGGCTGTTCTGATTTTCTTATCATTCTTTATTGCTAGGAAAGGGATCCTATTGAAGGACCTATTCCCCGACTGGACACAAGGCTGTGCATGTCATTATGTATTGTGCCTCTTGTGGTCGCAAACCTTATTGAAGAGGGGATATACGTATCTGTCACGGAAAAGCTTCAAGATGATCTTGTTACAAGTTTGCAGGTCCTCGGTGATTTTCCTGGATTGCTGGCTCCTCCTAAGTGTGTAGTTTCCGCCGCCAACAAGGCTGCCACAAAGGCAATCTTGTTTTTGGCAGGTGCCAATATTTCTGATGTCATAAACATGAAAGACATGCCTATGAACTGCTGTAAGTTGAGCAAAATTCGCTATGTTAAATTAAAGTTAAACCAATTTGTTTGTCTTTGTATGCTTTTCACTATTAATGTTGCTTGATTGTCGTCATTTGTTGATGTTATGGGCCTCTTTCTTGCCTAACATGTTTTATCGAAATACCGTAGCTGGAAATATGCGTCACCTGATAGTTGAGGCTTGTATTGCAAGAAACATACTGGATACATCAGCCTATTCGTGGCCTGGCTATGTTAATGGCCAATTCAACCAAATACCTCAAAGTCTGCCCAATGAATTACCCTGCTGGTCGTCATTTGTGAAAGGCGCCCCACTAAATGCTGCAATGGTGAATGCATTAGCTTCCGTTCCTGCTTCAAGGTAGAATGAGTTACTATTTTCTTTTTGTATTCGGTTGCTCGATTAGCTGCACACTGCTTTGTCCACATTGTCTTCCCTCCAAATCATATGATCAGTTGTTATTTTAAACTATTAAAAAATTAAGCTGCAAAGTTTCAAAGTCGTAACTTGCTAACCTAAGGAACCTGTAACTCTTACAATACATTTCCTTAACCCACGGTTGCCACAATGAGAAGAGTGGTTGCATTCTAGTTTGACTTAAGTTCTGCCTCTTCTTCAGTTATTCTCTTTTGTTTCTTAGCCAGGTAATGCTCTTTTTTTAATTTACCGAGAGTAAAGCAACTGAAATAGCTCATGGATTTGATGGAAGCTTAGCAGAGCTCGAGAAACTATATGAGGTTGCAGTCAAAGGATCGGATGATGAGAAGATATCTGCTGCTACAGTTCTTTGCGGGGCGTCTCTTACACGGGGTTGGAACATACAGGTTGGCACTACCTCCACCAGTAAAAACTTGGTTGAATTTACCTCCGTGAAAAATTCAGCCGAAACATACATGTTTGCTTCATTTATTTTTCTTCAATGTACAGGAACACACTGTTGAATTTCTTACAAGATTACTATCCCCACCCGTTTCAGCAGATTATTCCAAGGCTGAAAGTCATTTGATCACTTATGCCTGCATGCTGAATGTTGTTATTGTTGGGATAGGATCTGTTGACAGCATTCAGATTTTCTCTTTACATGGCATGGTATGTAAGTTACGCTTCTAAGTTTCTTGGACTTAATAGTGATTTTTTTTTTCCAGATGTAATGTACGATATTGATGGCTACTTTTTAGGTTCCACAACTTGCTTGCTCACTAATGCCAATCTGTGAAGAGTTTGGATCTTACACCCCGAGTATATCATGGACTCTGCCTACCGGAGAAAAAATATCAGCCTATTCTGTTTTCTCAAATGCATTCACTCTTCTTTTAAAGCTTTGGAGATTCAATCATCCTCCTATTGAGCATGGTGTAGGAGATGTGCCCACAGTTGGCTCCCAACTCACTCCCGAACATCTTCTTTTAGTGCGTAATTCTTATCTTATTTCCTCGGAGACCCTTAATAGAGACCGAAACAGAAAGAGACTTTCAGAAGTTGCAAGGTCAGCATCTTGCGAGCCCGTGTTTGTTGACTCGTTCCCCAAGCTGAAAATCTGGTACAGGCAGCACCAGAGATGCATTGCTGCCACATTATCCGGACTTACACATGGATCTCCCGTCCATCAGACAGTTGAAGCACTTCTCAGCATGATGTTCAGAAAGGTCAGAGGCAGTCACACTTTAAATCCAGTTAATTCGGGCACAAGCAGTTCCTCAGGAGCTGCAAGTGAAGATAGCAATCCAAGACCTGAGTTTCCTGCCTGGGATATCCTCAAAGCCGTTCCATATGTTGTAGATGCTGCTTTGACAGCTTGTACTCATGGAAAGCTTTCTCCTCGTGACTTAGCTACAGGTTTGTTTCTCGTGCTTTCTTTTGTTTCACTGGATCAAGTTGCATAACTATGTGACCAGAGAGAGAGAGAGAGAGAAAAAAAAAAGACTTGTTGTCATGTGCATTAACACCCGGTTATATGAACTTTGGCAACTCTGAATGCTTATTGAGAGATGTCTGATTGATTGATCAGTTGTTATATAATATGTTTTATCTTACAGTAAAGTGTTTTTGTTTACGAATAACAACTATTTGCCTTTCAGGGTTGAAAGACTTAGCAGATTTTCTCCCAGCATCATTAGCAACAATAGTAAGCTATTTCTCAGCTGAGGTGAGTAGAGGTGTTTGGAAACCAGTATTCATGAATGGCGTGGATTGGCCAAGTCCAGCTACAAATCTATCCAATGTTGAGGAATTTATAAAGAAAATTCTTGCGACAACAGGTGTTGACATCCCTAGCCTTGCTCCAGGTAAAACTGTTCAACCTGTTTAAATGTGGAGTTTGTTCGTTTGGCTTACATCTCTCTATCATGAGTTTTACCTCTTTACTATTTAAATGTATTAAATTTTTCTTTTGAACTTATGGTTAATGCTGTGTTGTAGCAGGAGGGAGTTCTCCGGCTACACTTCCTTTGCCTTTAGCCGCCTTTGTAAGTCTAACCATTACTTACAAAATCGATAAAGCCTCAGAGCGCTTTCTTAACCTGGCTGGCCCAGCACTGGAGTGCTTAGCTGCAGGCTGCCCTTGGCCTTGCATGCCCATTGTAGCTTCATTGTGGACTCAAAAGGCAAAACGTTGGTTCGACTTCCTTGTTTTCTCTGCCTCTCGCACCGTCTTCCTTCACAACCAAGACGCTGTGAATCAGCTCCTCAGAAACTGCTTCAGTGCCACTCTTGGTTTGAATGCTGCCCCCATGTCAAACGATGGTGGCGTTGGAGCTCTTCTTGGCCATGGATTTGGCTCTCATTTCTATGGTGGGATCTCACCTGTAGCACCAGGGATTCTCTATCTCCGCATGTATCGTGCTCTCAGAGAAACTGTTTCTGTAACAGAAGAGATTTTCTCTATCCTGATACATTCAGTGGAGGATATTGCCCAGAACCGGCTCTCAATGGAGAAGCTGGAAAGGCTGAAGACAGTGAAGAACGGAACAAGATACGGCCAAAGTTCTCTAGCAACAGCGATGACTCAAGTCAAGCTTGCTGCTTCACTTAGTGCCTCGTTGGTATGGCTAACCGGTGGCTTAGGTGTAGTCCACCTACTCATCAAAGAAACCATCCCGTCTTGGTTTCTATCAACTGACAAGTCAGACCGAAAACAAGGACCATCGGATCTAGTTGCTGAGCTTAGAGGTCATGCCCTTGCCTACTTTGTAGTCCTATGCGGAGCATTTGCTTGGGGAGTGGACTCAAGATCATCTGCATCAAAACGCCGCCGCCAAGCAATCTTGGGAAGCCACTTGGAGTTCATTGCGAGCGCCTTAGACGGGAAAATATCAGTGGGATGCGAGACAGCAACCTGGAGGACTTATGTTTCCGGTGTTGTGAGTCTAATGGTGAGCTGTTTGCCGCTTTGGGTGGCAGAGATTGATACAGAAGTGTTAAAAAGTCTGAGCAATGGACTAAGACAGTGGGGAAAAGACGAGCTAGCGATTGTATTACTCTCCTTGGGAGGTCTCAGAACAATGGATTACGCAGCGAATTTCATCATTCATTTGCGTTCATAGCTTCTTAAAAAGTTTTGATCTCTCCAGATTTCAGAATAGTTGCTTCATTAGATGTTTTTTTTTCTTTTCTTTTCTTTTTGCTTTAGTGTTGGCTTCCTTGTTATGCCTTGTGTTCTCTAGCTCTTAGTGTAGTAGTGTGATGAAATATATCACGGCATGTACAGAGAACCAAAGAAATGAAAGACAAATCTTGTAAAGAAGATTCATGTTTTTCTTTGCATGGGTACTGGGTAGGTGAAAAGGTTGACCGAGATTTTGAGATGGATTACTATTCTTGACCGTTCGATCGATTACAATAGTATTCGTAACCGTTAGATAAGATTAAAAAACATTCCACTACAAAAGCAATTGTCTGGTCGGGAGGTTGGTTTGTTTTTTTTTTTGGTTTCATCTCTCTGTATTTTTTCCCTGAAGAACGAACATCTTCTTACATGTCGGGACCTCAGTGCTGTGAAAACCCGCCGACTCTCAACCCGGTTTCCGGGTCGGGTAACGTCGAGAAGCTGGGTGGACTCGATGCTTACGTCTCCGGCTCTCCCGATTCCAAGCTTTCCGTCGTCCTCGTTTCTGATGTTTTTGGTAAATACTTCTCATTTTCTTGCTCTGTTGTTTCTTGCTCTGTTGTTTTGTTATAGACTTATAGTCAAAGACATGATGGAGTAATTAGGGTTTTTGTCTTTCCCCTCTTTTGGATCCCTTTGTTGATTCGATCATGTCATCTTTGTATTCTAATTTCAGTTTCGTTATTGTCCTTCAGGTTATGAAGCTCCAAACTTGAGGTACTACAAATTCTTCCCTCTTCATCGATCATTCGACTCTTGAATTGAAGATGAAAACTTTCTAATTTGGGTTTGTTGCTTGAGAGGAATTAAATAATTTTAGTGGTCTAGTTAGATTTTGCATGTGTGTCTGCAAGTAGTTTGTTTGGTTTTGCATTAGTGAGTCTATCTATCATGTTATCTTTAAGTCTTTAAGTTGGCCTATCTAAATGTTTAATTTGAATTATTGCTTTGACTGCATTGTTTGCACCCACTTTGTGTTGTTCTTTGAGTTTCTCTTGTGCAACGATGGATGAATGGTTATAAAGTGTACATTCTTAAATTGTTTATGACTAAGGGCCCTTGCGGATAAGGTTGCGGCTTCTGGATTCTATGTTGTAGTTCCTGACTACTTTCATGGAGATCCTTTTGATCCCTCTAACCCAGAGAGACCCATCTCAGTTTGGATCAAAGACCATGGCTCTGTTTGTTTCTCCTCTTTATCTTATCTTAATTTATTTATCCATCCTTAACTTTTTTTTTGCAACCGTAAAATTGTTGTTATCTATTCCCAGGATAAGGGTTTTGAAGAAACCAAACCAGTACTTGAAGCCATAAAGAGCAAAGGCATAACTGCCATTGGAGCTGCAGGGATGTGTTGGGGAGGTAAGTTCCTTCACTCGTTATGGGGCAAATCTTCAAAATTTACCTATGCTGATAATTTCTGACATTTCTTTCTGCTAGTAATAGTTGGAAATATCTAATGGATACTACTTTTTTATCTTGTGGTATTGATTTTCAGCAAAAGTAGTGGTGGAATTGTCTAAACAAGAGCTTATTCAAGCAGCTGTTTTGCTTCATCCTTCTTTTGTCACAGTTGATGATATCAAGGGTAAGTGACTTTGGTACTTCTATCTTGATTCCTTACATAATCCTAGAAAGATTAATTGCCATGCTTCGCCTAATGCTTCATAGCATTTACACAACTTTTAGCACCTATATCATTATTGCCTTAGACAACCTTTGGGAGTAGTTAGAAAGGAAGCTGAATAACTTTTGTTTTGTCATTACAGTAAAGAATATGAATTCATATCTACAAATTTAGAAACAGTGTGATTGGTCAGTTGCTTTACTTTAACCATTCTTTGGTATCCGTTTACCAATTCCATGGCTTTCTGCAGGTGTGAAGGCTCCAATTGCGATATTAGGAGCTGAGATTGATCAGTTGTCCCCACCCGCTCTCTTGAAGCAATTTGAGGAGATTCTAGCTTCCAAACCCGAGGTAAGCTTCTTCAGCACTGCAAATCAACAGTTTTCTCGCCTATATCTAACCTTAAACTGATTCTGTAGGTGTATAGTTATGTGAAGATATTTCCAAAAGTATCACACGGTTGGACAGTCAGGTACAACATCAAGGATCCAGAGGCGGTGAAAGCTGCAGAAGAAGCTCACAAGGAGATGCTTGATTGGTTTGTGACTTACATCAAATGAATTAAGAAAGAAAGGGTTTTAGTGTTCATATATGCAAATAATGAAAAGAGAGACAAAGCATAACTCTTGGTTGGTGTTCCTACTCTCTATTTGTCTATTGGATTTTGAAGCATATATCCATGCTGTGAGACTGTTCTGTGATGCCTTTTCTTTATCGATGTTTAATAATTTTTATATGATAGCAAAACTTTTTCCCTTTCTCATCATCTTTATTTGGTTAGCAAAAAGCCAAAAAGTTACCAAAACATCAGTTTGTCACATTGATCAAATTCAATGTCTTCTTCCACTAAAGAAGTCAAAGAAGAAGAAAAATGATAACTTTATATTATTTAGATGGAAAACAGGTTACTTGAGAAAAGTCTTCATTGTGTACGTAGTCACAACAAGTAAAATGAAAACGTATGATTGAGTTTTGTTTGGTTTGGTCTCATCTCTCTGATTTCTGAAGAACTCATGTTGGGACCTCAGTGCTGCGAAAACCCGCCAGTTCTTAACCCGGTTTCCGGGTCTGGTCATGTTGAGGAGGTTGGTGGGCTTGATGCTTACGTCTCTGGCTCTCCTGACTCCAAACTCTGCATCCTCCTCATTTCTGAGGTTTTTGGTAAATGCTCTTCTTCTTCCTTGTTTTGGTTTGATGTTCTATGTTTTAGTTGAAGACATGATATATTGTCTTTGTCCTTCCCCTTTTGGATCCCTTTTGTTAATTTGATCATCTCATCATTGTATCCTGACTTTGGGCTTGTTTTTGTTCGTCAGGGTATGAAGCTCCAAAGTTGAGGTATTATACGTCCTTCCCTCTGCATCGAGTTGACTATAGAAGATGGAACTTGTTATAATGTGGTTTCTTGTTTCAAATGAGTTTCATAGTTTTTAGTAGGTACATATGAGGCTAAAATCTCAATTTGAATATCTTGGTGCAATAGTTGTTTCCCGTGTAGTTATATTTTGCATATATGTCTGCAAATAGTTTGGTTGCTTTTGCATCATGTACACCTATCATGTGCCTTTGAGTTGACCTATCATGTGCCTTTGAGTTGACCTATCTTTTCTGACCTCAGTTGATAAGATCTAAGTGTGTAATTTTGATCCTTACTTTCACTGCATGGTTTGCAGTTTGCACCCACTTTGTCTTTTCGCGTTTCTATATTCCAAAAACTATGGATAGATGTTTATGGAGTGTAAACTATTAATCTTTCGTGTAAGGGCACTTGCGGACAAGGTTGCAGCTTCTGGATTCTATGTTGTGGTTCCTGATTACTTCTATGGAGATCCTTATAATCCCACTAATCAGGATAGACCTGTCCTTGTCTGGATCAAAGACCATGGCTGTGTTCGTTCCTCCCTCCTTGTCATAAATATCCTTTCTATTCTCAACAACTAGGTTTGTATGTCGTCTCATAGATTCCATCTGAATTAGTTCATATTCTATTTTTTTCCAGGATAAGGGCTTTGAAGACACCAAATCAGTACTTGAAGCCATAAATAACAAAGGCATAACTGCCATTGGAGCTGCAGGGATGTGTTGGGGCGGTTAGTTTTAACTATTAATTTATCTGTGAGGAATTGCTCCCAAATTTACCTGTGCCATAGTTACGCCGAGGAATTAGTGACATTCTCTTTCGCTGGTACTATCTAATGGATATTGCTTTTATCTATTTTGTTATTGATCATCAGCAAAAGTAGTGATGGAACTGTCTAAAGAAGAGCTTATTCAAGCAGCTGTTTTGCTTCATCCTACTTTTGTCACAGTTGATGATATCAAGTGTAAGTGACTTTGATACTTGACATATATCTTCATCCACTCACCCTATTAAGATTAATTTCGTTTTTTATATCACCAATATTGGATAACTATTGTGGCTTTATAGTCTACATCCACTAACTTAAGCAGATGTTGATTGTTTTCTCATCAAATTAGCAGGGCTCATGCTTCACATTTACAGACATAGAAACACTTTGATATGGTCTGGTTGCTTTACTTCATTGTCTTTGGTTGTCCTTACCGAGTTGACGGTTTTTTCTGCAGGTGGGAAGGCTCCAATTGTTATATTAGGAGCTGAAATTGACCATTGGACCTCACCAGCATTAGTGAAGCAATTTGAGGATGTTTTAGCTTCCAAACCCGAGGTAAGCTGATCACCACTACAACTCAACAGTCATATTATCCTACATCTAAATTTTAACGGATTCTATACTATAGGTGCCTAGTTACGTGAAGATACACCCGAGAGTGTCCCATGGTTGGACAGTTAGATACAACCTCGATGAATCAGAGGCCGTTAAAGCTGCAGAAGAAGCTCACAAAGAGATGCTTGATTGGTTTGTAACTTACGTCAAATGAAGTGAACGAAAAAAAAACACTTTCTACTGTTCTCATATACCAATAATACCAAAAGAGAGAACAAAAGCAAAAACTCTATTGTCTGTCTATAAGGCTTTTTGAAGCATGCTGTGAATTATGATTGGTCTGTGTGATATCCCCATTTGTTCTATCATTGCTATATTATTGCAAAACTTTGGTATAAGAAAAATTACCAAAAAAATAATTTGATCCTAGATAACTTCCTCTTTACTACAAAAAAGTAAAATTATCCTACCAAAAATGTAAATCTATGTTTGGTTTGGTTTGTTTCCGGTTTTTTCTTAGTATCTTTTCGGTTCGGATATTTTACCCATGGTTTAAATGAAACAAATTTGTAAGTATAGTAAGTAAAATACTAAAAAAATGAACAATTATGTTCAGAACAATGGTTTTTCCGGTTTATTTCGGTTCGATTTTTCCAATTCCGGTTTGGGTAATTTTCCCAGGGTAGAAAAGGAAACCAAATCGTCCACACCTCTCTCTCTCTGTCTCTGTCTCGTCTCTATAAATTATAAAAGGAGAGAAGCTCACAAATTCACAAAAATCAACTCAACTATGAAAAGATTAGGGTTTTAAAATAATAATATCCCAAAAAAATCCTCTCCGAAATCATCGAATTCACAACGATGCTCGAGTGTCAATCGATGATGGAGAAAATATCACCGTTCATGGACATGGCTTCGCTAGAGATCGAGTCTCTGCGAATGATCAAACGCCCCAAACGCTTTTCCTCCGATGATGATGAGTCTGAGACGACCACCACCACCACGACGTCGTCAAACGCGGTTTTCGGATTCCCGAATTTACCGGAAGAACCGAGTAATCGCGATTGTGATCGGAGCGTTTTGTGCAGAATCCGCGTTCGATTACCAGATGGGAGGATAATACAGAGAAGTTTCTTGAAGAGTGAATCGGTTCAGCTTCTTTGGTCGTTTTGTTACTCTCAGATTGATGAATCTGAGAGGAAGCTTTTTAAGCTGATCCATGCGTTTCCTGGGGAATGTAAGACTCTTCACTATGGATCTAATACTACTTTTGAACAATCTGGTCTTGCCAATTCTGTTGTCTCGGTTACTTGGGTCTGAAGTAGTAGTGATAAGCCTTCTTCTTCTTTGCCTTCTTCTTTTCTTCATTTATTTCGATCTGTAATTACCACCAAAAGATTAAAAACTTTGTTTATGGTTTACTCAATTCTTGGATTTGCAGATTGGTTCTTGATTTGTTTGGAATAGTGAAATCGTTGTTTTATGTATATATATATTTCCCCGATCAAAATCTTGCTTTAGATAAACACTGTTTCCAAGTCAATGTCATAAACAAGAGAACGTGTTGTTTTGGTTTATCTTTGTTTCTTTGAGTCACTTTTTATTTTGTTGAGGTGACGAAATTGCAAAACCAAGTCCACAAATCCCCAAAATTCCAAACAAGCTTACAGCAAAACATCAAACTTGGGCTAGTAAGTAACTTCATGTTACCTAACTGGATTAGCTGATAAGGTTCTTCATTTGTTTTGGTACTACTAGCCTTGTATGGTCTAAAGAGTTCCATATGTTTTCAGGGCTTGCTCTGACTAGATTAGTCTATCAAATTTCAATACCGAACATTCAATGTGGTTACAGCCAAGATCATTCTACATGAGGACATTGAAATATATCAAGAGAAACAAGTTTTGTCTTCTCAATGAACATTTGGTTTACAATACACCTAACTACCAAATCCAATGGTACATCATGTATTTGCCTATTCATAGTTTGCTAACATATTCACAAAACCATTGCCTCAAAAACTTTTATTCAGTTTAGGCCAAGTAATCTAGAGGGCCTAATAGCAAAGTAAGCCTACAAGCCCAAATTCTAAACAGTCCCAACGGCAAACCCAAAATTTTGGACTATACTAGCTTTCTAGGGACCTGTTTAATAAATAAATAATTAAAGCATATCCCTGTAAGAAAGGAAATTTTACTGTTTGACCCCTCTTTAAACAGAGATACATCTTCCCTCTCCTCCTCCTTCTCCTTCCCCCAAAAAACCTGGAGAACCATTGCAGTTTCGTTTTCTTCTTTAACCATTTCAAAGTTTCGTTTTTTCTTCTTCTTGTAATCTCTTTCTTCTTCGGCGAATTCGTATTCCTTCTTTCTCAAATCTTCAAATGTAAGATCTTTCTTCCTTTCTATTCATTAATCCGTAGTTGCAATCATAATTCTTGATTCGCTTTTAAGATCATTCAATTATTTTCGAAACCCAATTCATGATTCTTGCAACGATCATGATCAAATGTAAAAGATTCAATTTTTATTTTCCGTTTCTAATCTGATGATTCCATTTCTGTTTCAGGAGTTCTAGAGACAGAGGATCACCTTCTTCTTCTTCTTCGTCTTCTCCGTCGTTACCAGGACTAGCTCAGTATAACGAAAAGGTGAAGAATCAGATACAAGCACTTGTTCGTGTTATTAAACTTGCTCGTACCTGTAGAGAAGACAATGTCCCATCTCAAATTGAAGAGGTTACTTACACAAATTCCTTGTATCTCTCTCTACCCATTTATTACTCTGTAACCAACCAATGATTGTTCGTTCTCAAAATTAAAGCTTTGTTGTTGTTGTTGTTGGATTTTTAAATTTCAGGGTCTTTATCTTGGATCTTTTGCAGCAGCTAATAACAAGAATGCTTTGATAGCTTACAATGTTACACATATCTTGACTGTTGCTAGTTCCTTGAGACCAGCTCACCCTGATGACTTTGTTTATAAAGTTGTACGAGGTATTGCATATTAAAGGTTTCACCTTTGTTATCTCCTTGAAGAGAGGAATATGTTTTTTAATGATTTCAGGATGGAATGGCTTTTGTTTGATTGTTTTGTTTCTATGTGATAGTTGTGGATAAGGAAGACACAAACTTGGGAATATACTTTGATGAGTGTGTTGATTTCATCGATAAAGCCAAGAGACAAGGCGGTAGTGTTCTTGTCCATTGCTTTGTTGGCAAATCACGGAGGTCAGTTTTTGTTGGTTTCTTGGATACTTAGCGGTTTTTCGCGTTGTTGCTATCTCTGTCAAGTGATTTGGTAACCCGATTTGAAACAGAACGTGACATATTTAGCCTGAATGGTTTCTCCCCTTTTACTTTGCAGTGTCACTATTGTTGTTGCTTACCTCATGAAGAAACAAGGAATGACCTTAGCCCAAGCACTGCAACACGTTAAGAGCAGAAGACCCATTGCAAGTCCCAATGCCGGTTTCATCAGACAGTTACAAGACCTAGAGAAGTCTATACAAGGTATCCTTTGATTGTGTTTCTCAAATCATATGCACACTTATAGACACTGTGGTGAATCTCAGTTGGAGATTCTGTACATTCATTTGTACCTTTTGACATTTGAGGATGGGAAGCAAGTGGTTGTGGAGGGACAAGACGGTTCATGTAAAAATCTCTTACATGCATCTTTACTTCTCTTTATAAAACAGGGAAGCAAGAAGAACGAATTGCACAATGTCAGGCTTGAAGATCCATCGTACCTTTGGGGGGAAAAACTTGTAAATCTCATACGACGCAGCGTCATATGTTTTGTTGCGTCTCTCCTTAACAACTCAAAGTAAATAAATAACAAATGTAAGATCAGGTTCCTTTCGTTATATGTATAGTATAAGTGTTTAGTGTGTTGTGTGTATGACACTAGTTTCAAATTCAATGTTCCATGAATGTAAAAAACTGAACTCAAAAAGTAAAAGATGAGAAAAATATTTGTAAACCAATGTTTCATGGGCCGTCAGTACTTAATTTGAGCCCGTATGGTTTTAATTATATGGACCTTGTAAATCATTTTGGGTTTGTTTTATTACAAAAAGAGTAATAGGGTGAATTAGAAACATTTATAACATTTGGGGTCAAATTAGAATATTTCTAAAGTTGCTTCAAATTGTAAGGAGGCACACTAAAACCCTAGACTTCGTTATCAATTAATCGAAAAACCTCTTCTTCATCTCTCTTCCTCTTTCACTTTCGGAGCCGTCGCTTGCGAAAATTTTCCGGCGATTTATCAGTCATGATGGAAATACGAACTCCAAAGACCGGCAAAGCCAAGCGTGTACTCGAAAAAAGAGCTCCTAAGTTGGTAAGAGTTCTCCTTCTTCTGCGTTTGATTGCTTTGTTTAGAAGTTGAATCATGTCTAGAGCTGTGTTGTAATGTTGCTTCTCTCCATCAATTGGATTCATGGGTTTTCTAAAGCTGCAAACTTTTATATCTGATTCGTTGTTTTGAATTATGCCCTTAACCTTGGGAATTTGTAGGTTGAAACTGGGAAGAAGACGTTGATACTTCATGGAACAAAGACGAGCGCTACTGTTAGCTCTGTATTGATGGAACTGTACCGTTTGAAGAAGGGAGGAGCTATCAAATACTCGAGGAGGAATGAGAATATTAGGCCTTTTGAGAGTGGAGGTGAAACCTCTTTAGAGTTCTTCTCTCAGAAAACAGATTGTAGCCTTTTTGTGGTAAGTCTCTTTTTTTCGATGTTTGTTCATTAAAAGAATCAATTTGAATAGCTATTAGCTGATTCTTAGATATTGATTTGTTAGTTGTCTATGATTTTGATTCATCTCTTAACATAGATTGTCATTTTTTCATAGTTTCAAGTAATCACATTGCTTCTTGATTATAGTAAATCAAATTGTTGTCCTGTGATCTTGGTTTCATCTACAGCTGTCGTCATCGTTGGTTAATTTAGTGACGGGACTAAAGAATTTTATTTGAAATGTATTTGCAAACTAACTTTTGTTGCAAATCCTAACGTTGGTGAATGTTATGTTTACAGTACGGGTCTCACACAAAGAAACGACCTGACAATCTTGTACTTGGGAGAATGTACGATCACCAGGTCTATGATCTTATAGAAGTTGGGATTGAGAACTATAAATCTTTGCTGTCGTTTTCCTATGACAAGAAATTTGCACCTCATGAAGGATCAAAGCCTTTCATTTGCTTTACTGGTGAAGGTTTTGAGAATGTACCAGAGCTTAAGCATCTTAAAGAAGTCCTGACTGATCTATTTCGTGGCGAGGTGAAGTGTTTGATTATTATTTAGACCAACATCAAGTAGTGTAATTTCAATTATATGGTTCTTATTTGAAAGAAGTGGAATTATTTGTCTGCAGGTTGTGGATAATCTAAATCTTACTGGATTAGACCGTGCTTACATATGCTCAGCTATATCCCCAACTAAGGTTTTCCTTACTCATTGCGCATTGAAGCTTAAAAGGTCAGGGACCATTGTTCCTAAAATGGAGCTTGTTGAAGTTGGTCCATCGATGGACTTGGTTATCAGACGTAATCGTCTTCCTAACGAAAGCTTAAAGAAAGAAGCAATGAGAACATCCAAGGATAATCCTAAGAAGAAGGTAATAAAAAAATCATAAAAATTTATAAGCTTCATCTCATTTTTCCTTAAAGTCAAAAGACACCAATGACTAAAATCAATCAATCTCTGTTTTGTACAGGTGAAAAACGTTGATCAAGATGCAGTACGCGGAAAGATTGGGAAGATTTATATGCCTGATCAGAAGGTAAAGAATGAAAGCCACAAAATCAAATATCTTGAGGTTGTTATTACTATTATCCCAAACTGATTGTTTGTTTCGATCTTTTGTGTAGCTCGGCGAGATGCAATTGCCCGATAAATCCAAGGGAGTGAAGAGAGAGCGGAAAGAGGGTAAGCTGAAGAAGCACAAGGAGGAGTCTGCTTCCAAAAAGAAGAAAAATTCTTCCGACTCTGAGAAAATTCCTACCGATGCTGAGTGACTCACTAGACCAACTCTTGGCTCTGCATCAACACAGTTTTCTTTGTGAGGGAAGATGAAATGATTTTGTAGTAATGTGGGCATGGCTTTTTTGTTCCATTAGAATCTATAACTGAATGTTTTTTCTATACGCTAATATTTAGTGAGGTAATTTTGTTTTGTTAAATTCTTAAGCCATCAAAAATTGTGAAAGAAAAAAAGAGTTAAGAGAATATCAAACACGTATTTGTTGTCTTATTTCAGTTTCCTTCTGCCTAAATAAAGCAGTAATCTTGTGTTGCTCTATTGTTACTGGTTTAAACACAATGGCTTTGATTAGTATTGCTAAGAAATTTGCACCTCAATCATTTTGATACACTTGGTTATAGTTTTATTTTACTTTAATCACTCACCATTATTCGCATACGTCAAAGTAATTGTAGGTAATTGATTAATTACGAACTATGCACTTATTTGAGGGATGTTTATACGTTTTGCCGTTTTGTCAAAAAAACTTTCAGATTTGTTAGGTTTTTATATACAAAATCACAATTTTATACATGATATTCGGTTTAATATATTCTAATTTCTTCTAAGATTAGGCTTTGTTATGATGTATATGTTTTATGGAAATGGCTTTTTGTATAATAATCTCGTAGGTAATAGAGACTAGACTAGAGAGGTAAAAAAGAAAGGCTGATATGAACACTTCCCCTCCTCACTTTAAATGAATATTCTTATGTTCTTGTAATTAATAGTTTGATACTTTGATTATTAAAGATTTAGGCAGAAAAAAATGGTTTATTTTTTTAACTATAATAAGAGTAGGAGGTGAGTCCAAAAATTGTTAAAAAATGATTTATTAATTTGGTGTTTTTTTTTTTTTTTACCTACCAAACTTTTAAATGATAATGACTGATACATATACTGAGTTTTTAAAAACCTAATCAAGCTTTTATACAGTTAGCTGTCTCTGTCTATCTTCCAATCTAGGCTTATACCTTATCTATACTTGAAACCTACCCCTATGGACTCGTCTTCATCATTATTCTCTTACGAGTTATTTTTATATACTATATACGCTCTGAAATTGAAACCAAACCATAGGGATTAAAAGCTTAATTAGGTGAAATATTATTTACCCTAATTAAAATATATATCTTGCATCTATTAGATTGGAGTGGGTTATATTGCTTGTTAAATCCACATTAGAGGTCTGATTTGCAGTTTTTTTTCTAAGTTAAGAGAAAAGTTGCAAAAATAAATATTATTCAAATGTATATTTCTGCACAAAAAAAAATTGTTTAGTGAAATGTTTTGGGTTAATGCTCGGAAATTAAGAAAAACATAGTATATAATATGTTCTTCATTTTTTTGTTTCAAGTCCCTTTGACCAATACCAAATTAACATGACAATGGTTACTAGTTACAAAATAAAGAAGAAAATATAAATAAGACAACATGTGACAAAAAAAAAAAAGAAGTTTTATGATTAATTATGCTTCTGTTTAGTTTAGGACATATTGTTATAAGTCTTTCATAATACGCGTAAGAAAGACAGTTCATATTGATTAAAAGTTTAGGACTCGAAATGCATGCACGTACCGACAGTACCGTTGTACACGATCGGTGGTCACTAGGAAACAGATTGACCCATGCATCTCCTCCGTTGACGACATTTTAAAATAACACACCGATTTGATCAAATTACTTTATAATATAATTTTGTGCGTGTTGACAAAAACATAGTGCACGTATGCTATGTTTATAAGAATAGTAACGATCGATGTCAATGACAACACATACATTTCTAACATAGGGAATACAATTTCAGACGAAAACCATGAGCTTAAACCAAATAAACACTAGTTGGTTTTGGTTTTGGTTATTAATCATCCACTTCGAAGTACTATATGCTGAAATCGAGTCCAAATCACAGCTAGCTATCGAACATACCAAACTCAGTCAATACTAAAATGTATTAAACAAATTAAGTGGTTAGCATTAGTGTATCACCATCATGATCACCATTGCCACACAAGTTTTATCAAAAATATAACAGATATGTAACTTTTAGACTCGTTAATGATGTCAAATCCGCACGCTCAGAGCAACAATAAGCAATCATTAGTAGTTTTATTATCATTTGAACACCAACAAATTTGCCCATCAGATTGTATTTAAAAAAAAAGAATTTGGAAATTTAATTAAGCCACCTTTAATATATAATATTTTCTAGTACATATAATGGATCGTCCATATATCGTTCCGACTATCACTAACATCGGCTCACAATATCAGTAGCTATAGCAATATTATTTCCACTACAAGTTTTTATTTTCTTTCCCAATAAAAGATAAACAATGCTTCAAAATAAATTAATGTAAATTAGCTAGTAGCTTAAGTAATTAGAAGAGTGGTGATACTTAGACGAGATCAAACATTAGTGTAATGATGCTTCGAGTCTTATCGATGAATACTTCAAAGCTTTGAAAAAAGGCTTTTGTAAAACAATTTGTGATATAATTTTCACATTACATACAAAAAGAAAACTTTAACATAAGAAAATGAACAAATACTTGATGGGATATTTTGTATATATATAATAGATAATGCTTTTAAAAGTTATATATTATATTTTGGTCAAGTTGTTTTGTGTAGATAATGTTAAAATATGAAGGAACTATTATGTTCCTAATGATTCTTCCATTAAAATGTAAAGACAAAAACTTTGCGGATATAAATAAACACTTATATAAGTTATGTAATTCATAGATTGTGTGGTTACACGTATGATGCGATCATTTGTGCTTTTGGGTTTATTTAATTACGTTAGATTCTCATTATAACCAAAATTAGTACATCAACCTATAATTGTTACATTTTTTTATCGATTCTTGTGGGTACACTGGTAAGGATAGAATATAAATACATAGACATTTCAATTCAAATCCAACCCTCATGTACTAATTTTAAAAGAAATTTTAAAGAATAAAAATACATAGAATATAATTATAGAAGTTGTAAATTTTAAAAGAAATTTCAAATATTTTATTTAAGGAATTGCAATTCAAATCCAACCCTCATGAATGGAAAAATAGGTTGAGGTACTTCTACTTTTGCTTATCACCCCCAAAAATATATGTTTTCGTTTTTCTTTACAAATATTGTTAAAACCTTCGAAACTAGATTCTTTATTTTTTCGATAATTAGTTTGTTTTTTCAAAATCTTGAATAACTATAATTTAGATTTTGACAATAAAAATTAAAACCAAAAACTAGTTCAAAATCTAATAGCCATTTATAAATTATGTAATTTAATTTAGATTTTTAAACAGTTTTAATGAATGGAAATAAATAAGCGGCTAATCGAACGAGAGGGTCTAATCTATTAATCATGATGTGAAAAGATAACCTATGAGATTAAGGGGGTGTTATTAGTTGTTTAACTTAAATTCAACTCCATTAGATTTTAAAATTCATAAGACTTTCAAAATCTGGGTTCATTGAGACTGATTTATTATTCATTCTTTAAATTAGTGGAAGTGTATTTACACTGACACATGATATCTTTTGGTTTTGAACAATAGAATTGAATTCTATAACAAATGATTTTACAATTTTCAATGAAATTATACCAAACTTTTACCGTCACGTATTTTTTTCCCATTTCAAATTTCTATATTGAAGTCTTAACATATCTTTAAAGATGAAAATTGTTTTTTTTTTTTTTTTGTTAAAGTGATCAAATGAATCATACAACAACTGTTAAAACAATATACACATTAACTAGGGATAAAAAAAAAGACTGGGAAAAAATGATAAAGAGAGATACATATGTGTTGGGTCATGGGTGAATGAGTTTGCAAATATTGATAACGTGTATTACGTTAAATGAAACTTTTATTAATTTATTAGATTGTCAAATCTCATGTTAGAAGGTTGGTTTTGGGATTGACATAATTTACACATGAAATCAGTTCCAGATTCACTCAAAGCTTTTCAAATGAAATCATTTGTGAAAATCCACCAAACTTGAATAACATAAGACTTTAGTTAATAATTGTAAGTATAAGAACCAATAACACTAGATTTTAAACTCTTTTAATGAAGATTTTGCAAATATAAGAACCAATAACACTAGATTTTAAACTCTTTTAATGAAGATTTTGCAAATATAAGAACCAATAATACTTGATTTGAGTAAAGTATTTAAAATCATTGATTAAATAACATTAGAATTGGGTTAGAGTTAAACTCTATTAAAATCCATTATCCAATAACACCCACTAAGATAATCTTAATTATATTAAGCTAGCAAGCTTAAGTAACTAGAACCACTCCTTTGACGGTTCATAAGCTAATGATGAATATGCTCCATTATGAGTTTTAATATAGTATTTATTGATTCTAATTTAAAAATAGTACTTCAAAATTAATAAAAAAATGTGTGAAGAGGCAGATTATGTCGAGGTGCAAATTTCTTAATCAAGTCTAACTAAATACCATATGCCATGAATACTCCTACACGAGTTGACTAAGACCACCAAATTTAGATATCTATAAAGAATGTAATCTAGTAGACGAATAAATAATTAGATGGGTAGAAAATAAAGTGAACTTTGCTTACATTCGATTGCAGAGATAAGACAACGTTATTGAAATTAAATGATTTTCCACTAAAACTTAATTACCGTTTATGATAAATTATTGTATCTTGAATGTAAGATATAAACCATTTTGAATGTTCTAAAAATGTCAGTATTGTAAAAATACGATGTGTACCGCTTCGTCGGTAAATGATTCTTCGACAAACTTGTATTATTACTTGCGTCAATTTGCTTTATAGTTTTGGTCTCCAAATTCTTATGAATCTGTTCGTCTAACTATTTTAGCTATTGTTGTGTAGTTTTGTACGATGTTTCTATTTTGTCGTTTAATTTTTATGAACTTAATTTGGTTTTAACCCGTGGTACACAATTTTTTGACTAAAATTTTTCTATTTAAATTATAATTTTTTAATTTTGTTTGATGTTTAAAATTGTGTAACTGTATTTTAATTGTGAACTTTATTATTTATAAGCTCGTTGGATAATTTTTCGTAACTAATATATCTTTTTAAGTCGTATTTTTTTATTAATTTTTAAGTATTTACGATTGTACATTGATATTGTGATTGTTAATTATATGATTTATCCTGTAGAATACAATATGACAATTTTTTTGTTATATATAACTGTAATTTAATCAACTTAATTAAATATGTATAATATTTCAAATAATGATATATTTAACAGCTTAAACAGCTTTTTATCCTTGGAGCATACATACAGGTGGCAATGTTTTCCTATGCAATACTTCTAAAAATACTGAGGGTCACCGTCCTCTTGCTCACTGAAGGTTCTGAAGTCTTCGTTAAACAGCTTTTCATCCTTGGAGCATACACACGTTCTTGACAACCACGTTGGAGCATACACACATGATGATGGTGCAACATCTTTCATTTAACTCATTTTATTTCAGACTAAAATATTTTGTGTGTAAACAACCTGTAAGAAAAAATATAATCATATTTATATAAACTCAAACCCGTTCAATCAAATTTATGTAAACTCAAACCCATTCAATCAAATATAACTTTTATGAACTGAATTTGTTTCTTTTTTGTTTATATATGATGATGTTTCTTTTTTGTTGTATAACTTTTATGAACTTAATTTGTTTCTTTTGTACCAATGAAAACAAGTTATTGGACAAAAAAATATATATATATGATGTAATTGTTTGAATCTATTTTTAAATATATATTAGATTTTAGTCTGTAGTCTACTACTAAAAAATGTATGTAATTAAAAATTTTAATTTTAAATGCAACCAAAATTTTAATGTTTATTACTTTATGTAAAAGCATTTAATCAGAGAACAAAAAAAAACGTAACTTCATAAATATAAATAAGCATCAGAAGATTCATAACCCACTAAATGGAAAATCAAATTCTCGTTTACCACTTATTTCCGAAAATATCATCAACTCCACCCAAATTGTAGGCAATGTTGTTTCATCCTAAGGATAGTAAACTAATAATAAATTAACAAAGTTAAGAATATATGAATTATAAAATATTCAGTGAAAGCCTTGGGAATCCTTATTATATAAATCCACAAATTCTGTATATGATTTGACTAACCATAGCTTATCTTTTTTTTTTCTTTTTGTTATATGTTTTTTTCAATAAAATTTTATGTTGGAATATATATTATTAGAAATAAAAGTAAAGGTGTGATGAAACTATTAACAACTGAAACATAAAAAAACAAGAACAATTTTTGCGTAGATTCAGTACACAATCTACATGACCATAATTGGTTATTTGAAAATATTGGTCACATCACATCTAAGTTTATTCTATTCTCAATATACAAGTTCTACTGATAAAAAAAAAATTTATGCGACCATATAATTATTATTTTCACATTTAAGAAAAACTATGTATGCTCAAAAGCGTAAAAATATATAATTTAGATGGTGATTGATTGGTATCTATTAGAACTTGTTCTACAAAATAATTATATATATATATATATATTATTTTTCAAGTTTAACAAGATGAAACGGCTTTTAAAATATGTATGATAATAAAAAAAAGCTATACTTAAAAGCGTAAAAATATATAATATAAATGACATTTGATTGGTGATATTCTTTTACTGATGTTTTTTGTTTTTGGTTTGATAAAAGAGGTAGAAACAAAACAAACAACAATTTTTGTTCAAAAAAAAAAAACAACAACAACACTCATGTCTCATGTCTTGTGTTGAAGGCTTGAACTCTCTTTGACTTTGATATGCCCATCGTGTGACAATTATAATATATTGTAAGATGTCTTTCATTAGAATTTGTGGGTTCATAATATTTTTAAACTTTAATTAATTTAAGAATTTATTTTGTGGTATCCTACATTGCCTCCGAAATGACGTAAACTCTCTTAATTATGACGGAAGATTAATTTATACATAACACCGTCTTTCTTCATATAGTATTAGTTTTTGCTACATTTCTTTTTTAATATATTAACTAACCCAAACCAAAGTTTGTAAGAACGATTTATATAAATAAAGTTAGATAAAACTTGATTTAAACATATACAAAATTGATCAAGAAACTAAAGATAGATTGTCTTTTTATTCTGTCAAATATATAATCAATGGAACATATACATATGCGATCTAATTAACTTTTAAGTTACCGAAATCCAAAATCCAAAATCGGAGCAGTTTTTTTTTTTTGAGAAACATATATACCTTTGTTTTATTAAAATGATAAACTTCATACAATTTGCAACTTTATTTTAACTCAAAAAAAAAAGTGGTTATATATTCTCATGTGTGTGTTTCTACAAGACAAATGCATTGGATCAGAGTAGAACATTGTCCTTTATTCGTAGAGGGTAAACTGATACACACGTGTTTAAGATTCCATCAGGAGAATGACCCCTAAAAAATTGTAAGAATGTATTTTTTGTTATTGATTAATGTGGTTCAGATTTAATGACTAATTGTAATCAGATCAAATTACAAAAAAAAAAAAAGATAACTAAAACTTGATAAATCAATTCAAGAATATAAAAATGATCTTTTTTTTTGTGCGCATTATAAACTAAAAGAAAAATATTGAAGAAACTAAAAAATATATACCCAAAAGAAGAAACTAAATTTTGTTTTTCCTTTCTGGTAATTTTGTTAAGTTTTTAGTTTTGTAATTACGAAAGGTTTAAGTAACTAATAACTAGTTGTAATGTTGATTTACTATAGATGGCACCTCTAAAATCTATTTTAATAAAGTCGTAGACCATAGTCAGAGGTAACACGTCTATGTCCAGGTGTATATATAGAGCTCTCCTTATACCTCACCATTATCTCTCTCACTCTCTCTTTCTCTCTATCCTCATCTTTCTACGAAGTTACAAGTTTCTTGACGACTCGTTGAGGTGGTCTACCAAAAGGACTAAACAACAAAACATATCTTTTTCTCCACGCACACAAAAAAAAAGTCAATCATCATGAAATTCTCAATCTCAGCACTGAGGCAGGTACAACCAATCTTGAGCTTCAAGAACAAGTTATCTATGGTCAACGTCAACTCTTTTCTCAATCCCAAAGAGAAAGTCGTTTTTGTTATGGGAGCTACCGGATCGGGTAAGTCTCGTCTAGCCATCGACCTAGCAACTCGTTTTCAATCAGAGGTCATAAACTCCGACAAGATTCAACTTTACAAGGGCCTAGACGTGCTCACGAACAAAGTAACCCCTCAAGAATGCCGAGGCGTGCCTCACCATTTGCTTGGAGTATTCGATTCCGAATTCGGAAACCTAACGGCCACTCAGTACAGCAACCTTGCGTCACAAGCAATCACAAAACTCTCAGCGAACCATAAGCTTCCCATAGTAGCCGGTGGATCAAACTCTTACATAGAAGCACTTGCGAACCATTCCGCGGGGTTCTTGTTAAACAACTACGAATGCTGTTTCATTTGGGTCGACGTTTCCTTACCCGTACTCAACTCCTTCGTCTCAAAACGCGTTGACCGCATGATGGAAGCAGGACTACTCGAAGAAGTGAGAGAAGTATTCAACCCTAAAGCTGACTATTCCGTAGGGATACGTAGAGCTATCGGTGTCCCCGAGCTTCACGAATACTTACGATACGAATCTCTAGTGGACAGTGCAACACAAAGAATGATGCTTGACGTAGCGGTTAAGAACATAAAAAAGAACACAGAGATCTTAGCTTGTCGTCAGCTAAAAAAGATTCAACGTCTGAACAAGAAGTGGAAGTTGTCTATGCACCGAGTAGACGCTACTGAGGTGTTCTTGAAACGTAACGTAGAGGAACAAGACGAGGCTTGGGAGAGTCTTGTAGCTAGACCAAGCGAGAGAATCGTCGATAAGTTTTATAATAATAATAGTAACCAAGTTAAGAATGATCATGATGTTGAGCATTGCTTGGCGGCGTCTTACGGCGGAGGAAGTGGAACAAGAGCCCACAATATGATATGAAAAGTTTTGTTATTGGTCGATCATGTGAAGCTTTTTGGAGTGTGAGAGTTTAAAAGATTTCGTTTGTGTGGTGGTGATACCCCGAAGGTTTTTGCAACGTACACACTACACATGTGTGAGATATTATAATTAATTACCCTGAAAAAAAAAATGAAAAAAAGAGAAAAACAAAAAGTTTTTTTTTTTTTTTGGTTGTTAAAATGTTTGTATATAAGTTATTCGGTTAATATTTTAATTGTTTGATACCTATTGACTACGAGTTTATGATAACCGAAAGTTTTAATTCCTTTGTGCCACGATGACACACTTATGCATGTATATTAAAAAAATGTTTTGTATTGCTTTTTTTTTTGTTGTATTTGGTATATCTAATATCTTGGCCTTGGATTAACGCATTCATGTTATTGGTTGAAGCTAAAAAGGATTAATTATAACAGTTAAGTTCTCCTGTTACATATCATATTCTTCAAGACTTTTGTAACACGAACGCCAAATACGTCTATTGATGAGTCGAAAACATCATATATGAGATCAACACACGAATCAAGAACTCATAAAATACGAGTTCGACTCCTAAATGTAAAGAATCTACGTTTCGACTGGATCTCTTTAGAAACTCTCACTCTATATATGAGAATTTTTTTTATTTTTTTTTACAAGATCAATCGATAAATTGACATTCTTTTAACAAGTGTAACCATAATTACCATATATACGAAGATAATTTGTATTATAACCGACAATAAACTATACGTTATATGTAGAATTATGCTGAAAATTACATATTCATACGTGAAACATCTTTTTCGGATCCCACTTTGGAGACCATTCATAACTCTAGAGTTACACTACTTGAGTCATCTCGTTCTTTCTCTTTTATGTAGTAGCATCAAAGTTTTTGGGAAAATCCAAGTAAATAAACTCTACTTCAACAATTATAGTAAAACAGAAAAAGATTAAAAAAGTGAAAGTTGGAGAATCTTTAGGTTAGGGAAAAGGAAGAATCGAAGAAAGAGCTAGCGAGTGGGTGTGTTCGTGAGTGAGTTAAGCCGTCAATGTCAAAATGAGTTGTATAATAAAACTGCACGCGCAGCTTAATCAGTTTTAGGATCTTCCGTACATATGAGAAGAGCAAAAGCGTGTGGAGAAGGTTGCATCAATCACATAAATGACGTTCGTACAGTTGTGATGAGAGAGTCATTTCATACTAATCTTTTCTTTCTTTTGTTTTTGGTATCATTAAGTAATGTTAATGTTATGCATATGGTCCCATACCATTTAAATCGGATAGTACACACGTCAAGTCATAACGCATCTTAGGACAAAGGAGGTGAGAATATGAACTAAAATATAAACACTAAACAAATTTCATAAGGAGACAGCATCTGATGTCTTTCTTTAACCCTTTTCTTCGGTTCACAATTGTGAATTGTGATGTTTTGATAATGATTTGTGGGGTTTGTAATTTTGAGATGAACTTGTTAGCACTAAATATGAGATAAATGTGTTTACTACTTGAACTTTTTCATTCTCATTAACCAATTTTATATCTAACCAGATTGATCTATGTATGACAAACCAAAGGTTGAGATTGAACATGGCAAATACCAAAAGCTATACTCTTTTTTTTTTTATTCCCCTCAATATTCTGTATTTATCATATTGTGACGCAAATGGAAATTGTGATATTATATTTTGGAGAAAATGGCGAATCTTTCCCTAATACATTTTATAAAAATAAACAATCTTTTTGTATTGAGCTATTCTTTATATACAGATTTTATTGGTCCAACTTCATTAATGGGGTATTTCTTTTATTTCGGCTTTTAATTTTTCTTGCATTCTACATTATCTTGTAGTTACTTACTTATCTTCAAATTATTTACGCTATAAGGAGATTGTTTTATTTTATTGCAAGAATCATTTGTAATCAAAAATGTCATTTTGATATTTCCACGTACTAAAAAAGCGAATAATAGGTCAGATAAATATGTAGAATACTTCAATATGTTATTCAACGAGTATAAAGTTATATGTTGAGTACTTGAGTTACATAACGTTGAAGAACAAAGATAAAATAAAAGTTTCTAAAAATATATATCAAATTAAATATTTATAATCAAAATCATAAACCTAAAAGAAACTTACTAGAATGGAACAGTGGGAATATGTATATAAGACCAATGCTTGTAGCTATCTAGAATCTAACAACTGCAGAATTTTAGGCCTTCGATTGTGGTATGTCTTCGTCTCTTTTTTAGATGTGCTTTTGCTTTTTTTTAAATCCCATTCTTATATTAGCTTTTCCATACGTACAAGAAGAATATAAAAGGTCAACATCAACTTTGCGCAAAGAGGGAACCTAAGTTGCAATGCCAAAGTACTTAGCTCTGTGCACATATAAACACAAAAAGAAGAAACTTATAATTTCTAAAACCAAAATTTTATTCCATTTTGAGTGAATATATTTTTCCACGTCACATGGTTGAAGAAGTTGGAGCCTTTGGAGACACTGTTACATCCGTGTAATCCGTGGGCATCTCATTCCCATCGTAATCGTATTCGTATGTATTCTCATGAACACAAAACAATGTTAAAAATTCAACATTTTCTTACCAAAAATATAAAACTTAAACAACCCATAAGGCCCAGATCTTAAGGAAGCCCATTGAAACTCAAACCAATCCTAGTAATAGTTTAGGGGTATTGGTTTGATTAGGCAGCTTAATAGAAGAGTGTTAGCTTAGAGCTAGTAAACATTCATCATGCAATGCACATGAACAATTTGTTATCAACATCTTGTTTTGAAACTTTAATTTTATATATTACCCTCAGTTTTGTGTGCAATGGTTTCTATTTCTTAAACTAATTCATGAACTTAAGTGATATATGAGCAATTTATATCCTCACACGTCTAATCTATTTTACATAGACAATTACAAGTGTAACGAGTCAAGTCTTTAGAGCACTTTTTCATGGATCATTTTATATTTTATTTTGATTTTCCACATGTAATTAGTAACGAGTTAATTAGCTCTTAAAGAGTATATATAAATGTATTTGATGAGATAGAAATATTCAATATCATTAATCAATGCAACAACATCGTAAAGGTCCGTAAGGGGAAGCAGATCTACACTTTCCACTTGCATGATGACTCTCGACACATCTAAGGTTGCATTCATGTTGTCCGTAACTGGAGGACGAACACGGTGTTCGTCCGCAAGTGTATCTCATTTTTTTCATCTCTGCTGCATCTACACAAAACCCACACAAAATATATACACATGCACAATATGATCAGTACAAATTCTAAGTGTTTTATTTACTGATTGTTTGTTTTAAAAACAATTACAACTAATAAGTGAAGAATAATTTTATATAATAAAAAACGTACCTGATGCCGAAACGTTGTGGTTAGACAACGAAACTACTAATAGTAATGTTACTAGGAGGCAACAAGTCACCAAAGTTTTTGTTATAGCCATAATATCTTTTGTTTATATGAAGTTTGTTATAAATTAAAGAGATAGGAAGAATTGTTTTTGTCATTCCATAGACTAAGACATGGTATATAACTATATATAGGAATACAAGACAGAGAACAAGTAAGGGATGTGTTATTAGTTTGTGATTTAAATAGATTTTTACCAACTTTAAATGTTATGTAGATTTTGTTAACTTTTGTAAAGTTTGATGTTATTAGATTTTGATTTGCAAAAACTCATTTAAAAACTTATAATAAATATGGAATTATTTGATTCAGAATTTTATAAAGTCAAATAAAAGTTTTGTTTTATTCAACTAAAACAAAATCTAGAATTATTAATGAATTTTATTATTTTGTTATTGATTTATAATTATATACACTTTACGTACGTCACAATATAAAATCATGAAAAGTATGATCAAAATAAATAGATTCTTTGAGAGACTTAAAAAAATTATCAAAGTTTAATTAAAAAGACTATAGAAAACTTTCTAACAATCCATTACCATCTTTAACTTCACTTTCTATGATTTTATTGAAGTCATTAAAATTCTTTATAACTTAAAATTCAATAACACCCTTTTAGTGTAGAGTATTAATCCAAGATGGGCGTATAATGAATATCTAGATTTTCTGATCTTATCGTGAAAGACTATTTTTTTATTTTTCTTTACTATTTATAAAAACTCTTTATCGTGGGATATCTCAAATTACCTAATTTATTTTAAATTAGTATTAAATGATATTCCACATTTACAAATAGTTATTACTGTCCATAATATTATTGACCTTTAAGTTTAAACGTATCGCTTGGATTTATCTATAGACCATTTCGGTGTAATTGTAGATACTATTAAGTTTTAAACTTTTTTTTTTAATTCTCAATAAACATATAACATTTTGCCAGTTGTACTTACGATTACGTAGACTAAACTATATAATAAAAGCAACTAACATTAAAAATAGAAAGCATACTATATAAACAAAACTCAATAAAACCATATACACGACATACGTTTCTTCTAACGAATATAAAAAACAAATAAATCCATCATCTCCATTGATTTTTCTCAGACTTTGTACATAGCATGTTAACGAGTCGTTTAGCTTCTTGATCACTAATCCTTGTTCGATCATTAATTAATTAGTCATCCCACCGTAACAAAAAAAGCAAACACCTCCAGATGATGTACGCACGTGTTCTCTGTTCTTTACACCAATCCCAGCACCGTAGCTTCGACATCCGACCCGATCCATCTCGTCTCAACAACATCTTCATCTTCATTAGACCTTCCTGGATGTGTTGTCTAGTTGTTTTTAATGGTAATAAAACCTCTATAATGTGTTGTTGTTTATGAGTAGTTTTGGAGTAGGGAGAAGTACAGAGAGAGGTGTGGAATATATAGAGAAGGCTAATGTTGTAATAAAACTTCACTTAAAGAGAGAGGTGACATGAACAAAAAGAGTGGAATCCCACTCTACAGAAGAAAACAAGACAAAGCTGAGTTTACTTGTTTTGGCTTCTCTTGTCTTTTTTTTTTTTTCCTTCACTTGCTTTGCTTCCCACCTATCACTCTCACTTATCACATTTTCTATCTCAAATAGGAAGAAAAACAAACTAATGCTAGGGAAATTGAACAGTTACGTGTTTGTACATATACATATAATTCCTATTCGTAGTGGTTCAAAATATATAGAGCATGTTACTACACGAATAACTTTTTGTACGATTTTGCCCGATTTGACAATTCTAAGTTGGAGTCTTTTTCTGAAAATGTATTTCCTTTTTCGACCCCAACAAAACAGAAAAAGTAGAGATCATTGAGTTTGCGACTATTTATAGATTATAGTTTGAATGGGAGGCTCAAATACACAATCTCTTATAACCTTTTCTATTCCAATAATTGAAAGTTATGTAAAACTAGAGTTAACTTCTCAAGAAACTTATCTTTTAGTAGATTTTAGGGTTCGAGATTTGATAGGTTTATCTTTTTTGGCTTTGACCAATGTAAACCAATATATTCTTTTTGAGTTAATGACTTTGTTTTCCAACTAAAATTTGAGCATTTCAAAAAGCTTTCTGACCATACTGATCACGAAGATATTTTAGAGATAATAATTCAAGATCGGGACTAAACCGGGTTGGACTGTCCCAATTAACACCCCAAGATAAATGAACACAACTCAATTAATTGTCGGGGTCTTGGTATCATGCGTTTGTTTAATCACTTTCACAAGTAAAGATGTGTGGGACATCAAAAGAACTTAAAACTAAGCAGTTGTGTTGTGTCTTTCTTCCCCTTATGCTTTACTTGGTTGATGTTTCGTAATGCGACGCATAAAACTAATATAATAATGTATGGATATGTAATCCTCATGCAGCTGTTACCCATTGGTGCTGGTACTGGTCGGGTTATCGAGTGTACCATTATTTGTTTTTTTCCTTTTTAAATTATTATAACGTATATAATTTTAGTTTCTGCAGCCTTTGAATTGAACTATTAATACAGAATAAAGTTTGATAATATATATTTACTTATCCTGAATGAAGTGATAATATTTTTGTAATTCCAATAATTGTAGCCATATTCAATAAGGTTATAAGTGCATCCGTAGACTCTCTCAATCAATCACATACACATACTACATATATATAATAATATGTTTTGTAGACTTTTTATTAGCTAGGGTAAGTGTAGACTTTAGTGATAATAGACTACGAGATCTTTAAGGATATCATGTCGTTGAAAATTGCAAAGAAATGAAAACACAGTTTCTTCTGTATAATTCAAGCTTAAAGAGATTTGTACAAGTCCAATGATTACAAAAAAGTACTATACTACTTTCTCCAATCTATACCATAAATGGCGACGATTGGTAAAAAACTAAAGTAGTACAGAAAAAAAAGTTGAAGATCAAAACTAAGAATAAGAAGATGGGTACAAAATTAGTTTAAGAGTTATCATCATCGGAAGAAAGAAGCATAGTGATGCAAATTCTGATGATATGAAGCTTTGCTCGATGTTGTTGCATTGTTCTCTTCATCTTCTCCAACTTCTCTTTCATCTTTTCCATCATCTGACGACTCATCAAAGTTTCCAGCTATGTTGGATATATATATATACCAACATGGCAACATATATATGATCATACACACGCATACATTTATATATACGTGCAAACACCTGCACGTACGAACACAAAGGAAGAAGCGACAATCCCACACTTATACACTTGAGCAAAACCTCCAACACTGTATACAAAGTGTCCAAACACCATGAAACTCTGTCGGAATCCTACGTGCGAAAGATACTTATGTTTGTGTGTGTTATAGTATATATGATTTACACCATACAGTTTTGTGTTTGTGGGTGGATGTACAACTTTACATAACAAAAATTAAGCAAGCTAGCTAGATATTATTAACTAACCCTATATAAAAACATGAGAAAGTCTTTGCAATGTTTGGCAGATCATCATCTCTTTAAATTATATAACAATATATAATCATACATTATTCTTATTCTTTCTTTAAGTAACAAATCCTCAAAATACTCATATACTACAGCAAATTAATCTAGACTATTTTTTCAAAAATGATTCTTTCATTACACTCATTTTTTTCAAACTATTTCCAAAAACCTAATTAACAATATGCGATAAATCTAGAAAAATCAAAACTAATCACCCTTTGTCGTCATACAAACATGCATGTAACTAATTCAAATGCATGTATGGCGACAATTTGATCTTAATGATGATATTATATAAAAAACACAAGAATTTATTATTTTCTTGCAGATTAAGAGATAAATACGCTCGGATGAATCGATTGTCAAACAAAGTACTCATCAACACGATCAATTCATATGAAAAGTATAAAATGATGGATGTATTGGCGCATGGATGGAGAAGGGTCCACTTGTAGGTAGGAGAGTGAAGCAAGTTCACGTGCTGATCGTCATGCAACTCTTTGAATATTTTGTGCATCTTCTTAAACTCATCCTCCAGCCATGTTCTCACTTCACTTTTGTCCTCCTCCACTAACTTGTCATTTCTTAACTTTTTTCAATCTTTTGGTTCCATTGACTCAATATAGATTAACATTATCTAGCTATGTATATATATATTGGACCTTCCATTTTTCTACTACCTAATGTCTGAATTCTAAAATCTAGCTATGTTATTCATAATCCTATAGGTCGCTATGTTATTCATAATCGATCCTATAGGTCGTTCTCATGTACACATGCATTTATATATATATGGTGAAGAAAAATTAGAATTCCTTTCACTAAAACTAATAAAGATATTGAGTAAACCATAACAATGATAACAAACAGACAAAAATACAAAAAAACTAAATAGTGATTGTAAAAGAGACAACCACCTTTTCTGTTTATGGCTTATCTTCAACAATTAAGCTTCAATTGGTTGTATTAGCCCTACAAGCTGTCCGTTTCATATCGTGTGCACAATACGAAACATATAATTTTCCTGTGGACAAAAATTAGTGTAATAATTAGAATAAATGGAGACTTCAACGATAACGCCTGATCAAATCACCAAAAATGTGAGTCAAGCTGATCAAAATCATCATCTTTGTATAAAATTTTCATTTCTTGTGGGTAGAGGGAGAAATGATCTCATCCTAGCACAAAAAAATGCAGAGTGCAAAATACTTTGATAATCTTACAAACTCTTGAGAATTGCTTATGTCTGAATATATAGCTCTCTCCTTTAACTCTTGAAGGAAAAAAGAATTGAGTCATCAGAAGAAGCTGTGCGGTTATCTGATGATGAGTGTGACTTACAAGTGTAAAATAGATTTGTTATCAAATCTAGATGATGTAAAATAAAAAATCATAAAGTGACAACATCTTATATAATACCTAAAGCGTGAATAGCAAATAATAACCCGTAAAAGAGAGTAATCCAGTTCACGACATATCTTTGAAGACATCTATCATGCATGGACGACGTCGAGTTTCAGGGTCAGTGTTACGTTGACACACTTAAGAGAAATCTCCAACAGATTCCGAGCATGATCCTTGGTCTATAACAACGTACGTCTTGCAGAAAGAGTAGATCAAACGATGTTATTAAAGAGAATCTCTTCTGCAATCTTAAAGCTTTGTAGTCAGTCCCAAGAGAACGGTCCCAAAGGAGAAGACGTCTGATTTCAGGTCAAATAAGATATAAAATTCCTATAAGTCAAACATGTATATAACTAAATATATTTGTTTTGTTAAGATTTGTTGCTCAACCTAATAATTGAAAGGTGATTAACCCCTCATCATGAACTCGGATTCCCAAGTTTCCAACATATATAATTGAAACTCACTCTCATGGCCTCCAAAATACATATTATTTTCCAATATTTTGCAGTGCAAGCCTCTTTGAGAGCTCAACTAAAATTAATTAGATCTAACATTTGTTAAGACCACACACAATCCAATAGACGTTTCTTCTCCAAATCTCAAACGTTTTGAGTAAAACTTTAAAAATCATTCGATGATATTTTCACGATCTAGAATATATTTAATAAAAAGTTTTTAGTTTTTTTTTTTTTAATTTAAAATATAATATTTGTAAAGACTAACTAGTAAAGTTCTTTTTTTTTTTTAAGCTCTGAAACCTTCATTATAATGGTATGGCAACGATGTTCAAATACAAGACATAAAAACATAACAAGAAAAATGAAAAAACGATGCCAAAGCTCTTAATCTTGATCGCCCCGTCGTTTGCCTCTTTCAACACGATCCTGCAACCAATAACACAATACAAGATATTTACATCAAGTTCTTTTAATTATGGTGTAGATTTCAAGTTTCTGTAAAGATTTTAAGGTGTACAATTTAAATGATATGATTCCTTGTTTTTTTTTCTTGGTTTAGTTCTTTTTTAATTTTATGACTAACCAAAACAATATCATTGTATAAAAAAAAAAATAAACAGATTAGAATTATATTTTTTCAACAAAAATGAAAATGACTTATATGATATTACTTTTTAAAGGTAATACAACAAGGGGAAAAAAAAAAAAAAAAAATTGAGCTAAGTGTCCTCCAATGGAGAGATCATTACTGACACAAGCAGCAGTGTCATCATCACTCTCTAGCAAAACTCAAGCTTCTTCCTTCTTCTACTTCAATGGACGCTCTCTTCCATCGCTGAATCCGATCGGTCCGTCTCCTTCGATTAGATCCTTCCCTCTCGTCAGGTTTGTTTCTGGCTCCGTCTTTGTTATTTCTTCTGATCATATCTCTCATACGAAGGGTTAGTTTGATTCTCTGGGTCAACCATATTTCTGGTGAAGACTATATGAAATCGATTCTATTAGGATCCTATATTGAAAAAATCAAAATTTTAAGCTAACAATTGAAATCGAATATTTAGGTGAATGTTTTGGTTAATAACTAATTGTTTCTTTATGCTTTCTTTTGTGTTGGAGATGTTTCATACAGAACTTACACTAGTACAACCACATTGCATGCAGAAGTAACCGGAAGAAATCTTTAGTTAGAATGACTGTTAGTGGAGATAGCTCGGAATCTGTAGAGATTGGTTCGAGTGATATGATCTTCCAGCCGATTTTGGAGCACGGTGTTTTCCGGTTTGACTGTTCTGTTGAGCATAAGAAAGCTGCATTTCCTAGTGTTTCGTTTAAGAACAGTAAAGACCGGGAAAAGCCGATTGCATCTCGAAATGTTCCAGCGTATATTCCTACTTGTGCTTGTCTTCAGGACCAACAAGTTGTCACTTTTGAGGTTAGTGTTTCTATCTTGAGCTTGATAGACATTTGTGACATGATCCAGGAAGATACTGGTAGTTCATTTAATGCTGAGTTGTGATGCAGTTTTCCCCTGGTACCTCGTTTTATGGGACGGGAGAAGTTAGTGGTCAGTTGGAGAGAACAGGGAAACGGGTGAGTCGTTTACTTAAACATCCATCATCTGTTCGTTAGCCTAATTAATGTGGTGAGTATAATGTTCAGGTGTTTACTTGGAACACTGATGCATGGGGATATGGCTCTGGAACAACTTCGTTATACCAGTCACATCCATGGGTACTAGTTGTCCTTCCAAACGGAGAAACACTTGGGGTTCTTGCTGATACAACACGAAAGTGTGAGGTATATCTATGAGTATTGTAGCTACTGCCATTTAATTTTTATGGACATCATATCTATGAGTATTGTATCTATCTTTTTCATTGAATTGACATATTTTTTAATTGTCTAGATTGATCTAAGGAAAGAGGCAAGTATAAGAATTATAGCACCAACATTATATCCTATAATCACATTTGGTCCATTCTCCTCACCCACTGCTGTTTTGGAGTCCCTCTCACACGCCATTGGTAATTTCTTAATACTGCTTCTTCTTCTTTTTTTAGCATCTTAACTGTGCTTCTTTGTGCCATTGAAACGTTTCATATGTTCTCTGTTAATGTGGCTGGGTGACTAAAAGTGACATGTTTCTCTTAGGAATTAATCCCTCTAGAAAGGATCTCTGTTAATGTAATTTGTATGTTGACTATTATTTACTCTTTACTTTTGTTCTTTCTTTCACTTCTCCTTAGTAAAGTTTGTTCTGTTGTGAATTATTGAAATTTTCTTCTTCTCAGGAACTGTTTTTATGCCTCCAAAGTGGGCTTTAGGCTACCACCAATGCCGTTGGAGTTATATGTCTGACAAGCGAGTGGCCGAGGTCAGTGTTTTTGTTCATATTTTGGCTGTGTAGTGAAGCTAATCAGAGGAATAAAATTTTATGTTCAGTTTTTTTTTAAAAAATTTGGGCCTTGCTGTCATATTCTGATCAGTGTGCTGATGACTCCAGATTGCTCAAACATTTCGTGACAAGAAAATTCCTTCTGACGTGATATGGATGGATATTGACTACATGGATGGTTTTCGTTGTTTCACATTCGACAAGGCATGTTTTTTTGTCTTTCTTAAAAGATCATCCCAAGTGGTTTACATAGACGCCTTAGAAGTATTTTGTTGACATTATAATTTTTTTTTGGAATACCATGTTCAGGAGCGTTTCCCAGATCCATGTGCTTTGGCGAAAGATCTCCATAATAATGGTTTTAAAGCAATCTGGATGCTAGACCCTGGAATAAAGCAGGAGGAAGGTTATGATGTGTATGATAGTGGGGAAAAAAATGATCTTTGGGTTAGCCGGGCAGATGGGAAGCCATTTATTGGTATTTGACTTCCATAATACGATTTTTATGCTAACTTATCTTGTTAATTTGGTAATTCTACATAAATTGCTGATATTTTATGTTTGGTTTCAATAGGTGAAGTATGGCCTGGGCCTTGCGCTTTTCCTGACTATACAAATTCCAAAACTCGCACTTGGTGGGCGAATTTGGTTAAGGAGTTTGTTTCAAATGGTGTTGATGGTATATGGAATGATATGAATGAGCCTGCAGTTTTCAAAGTAATTTTTTTCTATGATGTTCATCCTTTGTTAGTCTAGGCAGAATCTTTATCCAGTTTTCATATGGTCATATTTGACAACATCCAGGTCGTGACAAAGACGATGCCTGAGAACAATATTCACCGTGGGGATGATGAGCTTGGAGGTGTTCAAAACCACTCACATTACCACAATGTAACTTTCTTTTCTATTATAATATAAAAAGTTCCTCTATGGATGTCTGGTGTTATCCTACTTATGGAAATATGTGGTGGGTGCTTGGATTATCATCGTTCTAGAGTGGTATTGTATATGTTTATATACAGATATGGAGTGATAGACATATTACATATACGACTATTACTATTACTTGTGTTTGTATGGCTCTCTGTTACTGCTCTTAAGATCTCTATCAGCTTCCTTAAAAGTATAATATGAATCTCTATCAGCTTCCAAAAGGTTCCCTTCACCCTTTTAAATACCTTGGGCTTTTTAAGTGCATCTAGAGTGAAAATAGATGCCTAAAAAATACCTTTTGCATGATGGAGGTACGATGTTAGACACTTCAAGATAACTTAGTCAAGATTTCCTGTTGTCTAGGTATACGGGATGCTAATGGCAAGATCAACTTATGAAGGGATGGAGCTCGCTGATGAGAATAAGCGACCCTTTGTATTGACAAGGGCTGGTTTCATAGGTAGCCAGAGATATGCTGCAACTTGGACAGGAGATAATCTTTCAAACTGGGAGCATTTACATATGTCTATATCCATGGTACTTCAGCTGGTAAGAATTTCAGGATCGATGTATCCTTATCAAAGAATTAACGCATGGAGGGATTTTTACATCAATTTATTTTGTGCTAATTTTACTCTGAAGATCTAAAAGTTTATATCCCTGACTAGTAACTTTGGGTGACTTCTTTACATCAGGAATTGTCTATTATTCTTTTAAGCTTCGATGTTTCTTATAGCATACTTATTTCCTTACTTTGGTAGAGCTAACAGCTGAAATGGTGAAAATATGGTTGTTCTGTAGTTTATCTTAGTTTTGGCAAAGAACTATGTGGAATGATAGAATTTTCTTTCTTGTTCCATTAAATAACTGTCGCAACACCTATTAACTCCGAGACATTAAATTATACAGGGGCTTAGTGGTCAGCCCTTATCAGGGCCAGATATCGGTGGCTTTGCTGGCAATGCAACTCCGCGACTATTTGGACGTTGGATGGGTGTTGGAGCTATGTTTCCATTCTGTCGTGGCCATTCTGAGGCTGGCACTGATGACCATGAACCGTGGTCCTTTGGAGAAGAGGTAGTTTCTTGCTTACAAATCTTGTAAGAGCTTTTGTAAATCATTTTTATATTACTAAAAATAAGAATGATAGACACCTGAAATAATGTACATACGATATGCACGCAAAAATACTACCTCTTCTACTAATGACCTGCAACTACTTGTAAATTTTGTAATCTCTTAAAAGAAAAATGATTCTTGTTTCTAGGATTTTATTGTCACTTATGAATTTTTGTCTTTTATTTAGTGTGAGGAAGTCTGTCGAGCCGCATTGAAGAGGCGTTACCAACTCCTACCACATTTTTACACCCTATTTTACATAGCCCATACAACTGGTGCTCCAGTTGCAGCTCCAATATTTTTCGCTGGTAGGATTGCGAAAATAATGTATTCCATCTATTGAACTAATGCAATAAAGTCTTACTCTTTTTTTTTTTTTTCCGTTTCTTCATAAATACAGATCCTAAAGATTCCCGGCTAAGGACTGTTGAAAACGCCTTTCTTTTGGGTCCGCTTCTCATATATGCAAGGTTTTGTTCTTCCCATTTAGACATGGAACGATATATTTTGCAGTCGTGTAGGAATATTTTCAAAATCATTGCTTCCCTTTCTCAGAGATTACTGATTTCATGACTCCGCTCTGTTTTTTTTTTATTTGTGTTCTGATTTTGGCCACTTGATGAAGTGTTTTAGTGCTATTTGAGTGGATTTTCAGATTTAGGACTTTTAAAATGTTGAAGTAACTAGAACCAATTATTAGGCATGATGATTGACATTTTCTTATGTTTGATCATGATGGTGTTTCAAGTGTTTTATTTTTGAACTTTCTTTAATAGTAACCCCATTTTCATCATAAATTTCCTCACCTTATAATCTCTCATTCTTCAGTCTTTTTTCTGCAAAAGCTTTCAGGAAAAGTGTAATTTATCATTCTTGTAAAATGCTCTATATATCAAACACTGATACTCATAAGGTTGTCTTTGGGTTTTTTTCAATCATTGTCTAGCACGTTGTCTAATCAGGGATCACATGAGCTGCAGCACATATTACCCAGAGGAACTTGGCCCAGGTTTGATTTTGAAGATTCACATCCGGTATGGTTGCTAACAGTTGTGATCGTGGTCTTTATATTCTTTGCCAAAGAACTTATGTTCTGTTTATATATTTTACATATTGGTTGTTCGTTTCATGATGCCAGGATTTACCAACATTATATTTACAAGGTGGATCCATCATACCATTGGCTCCTCCACATATGCATGTTGGGGAGTTTAGTATGTCAGATGACTTGACCCTACTTGTGTCATTAGATGAAAATGGTAAGTTTAGCTTTTGATCCAGAAGAAGAGACCAATGATCTTAATATAATTTGTCTTTCCACTCTGCATCTGTTAGTCTTTTTTGCAACCTGTTTATCTGATAAAAAGGTATTGTGTAGTGAGATAGGTATCATGTTACTGAAACTCGTGGAAAGAGAATATATCATAATACAACAGAATTATGGCATTCCTTCTGACATATCGTTCCAGAGAATAATTCATAATGTAACATTTAGTTTTGGAAGTCCTTAGTGTTCACACGCATGATTGTGTATCAAGCTCTTTAAGTTTTTTTGGTGGTTGTAAATCTTGCAATAATCAGGATAATACTTTGTTTGTCTCTGTCAGGGAAAGCTAAAGGACTCTTGTTTGAGGATGACGGAGATGGATATGGCTACACTAAAGGCAGATTTCTAGTCACACACTACAATGCTGAGCGGCATTCTTCCATTGTCACTGTCAAGGTTTCAAAAGCTGAAGGAGAGTGGGAGAGGCCAAAACGCCGTGTTCATGTCCAATTATTACTAGGAGGCGGTGCAATGGTACTGCTCATTCTCTTCTTAAAATATTAATGTGTAATTATAAGTTCAAAGCATTTGAATCTAGATAGCATTGAACAGCTTGATGCTTGGGGAACGGACGGAGAGATTATCCACATTAAGGTGCCTTCAGAAAGTGAAGTTTCAGAGTTAATATCGACAAGCAATGAGCGCTTTAAAATTCATATGGGTATATCTCTTCTTCTATATATGTGTCTAGCTTCTTTTATAATTAGGTTTGTAGTTATTGAGGATGTATTTCTTGATTTCTTCTGGTTATTAACTGCAGTCTTCAAGTTCTTTATAATACCTTGTTACATCCTTCAGCTTTTGATTTTAAATTATTTACTGGGTTAATTGAGCTGTGCCCTGCTTTCATATAAGATTGTAAGTTCCATGAACCTATACATACTGCAGTACACTTTTGCAGAGTATAGTAGCATCATCTTTCTTAGTATTTACTACTCATAACTATAGCTTTTACTTTTATATGGAGCTTAATAACATATCCTATTGAATATGAATTTGTGAATTATACTGGAATTCTAGTTTGCATAGTGACTTCAATATGTAATATCGAAATGTAGAAAATACAAAATTGATACCTGAGAAGGAAGTGCTCCACGGACAAAAGGGAATGGAACTTTCAAGGGAGCCAGTTGAGCTAAGCAGTGGCGATTGGAAACTTAATATAGTTCCATGGATTGGTGGAAGGATATTGTCTATGACACATGTTCCATCAGGTATTATACAGACAAACTGTTTTTCGGGTTTACTATTAAGCTTAAAAAGGTTGCAGATCGCTTATGAATGAGAATATTTTTAACATATTTGTGGAGGAGGCTCACGACCATACGCAAGTTCTGTGATCAACCAATTTATATTGTGTGTAGCCAAGAATAATGACCTATGCTATTTACTCTGCTAGTTCAAACTAGATAGAGAGAGTGAATTTCTGTTTGTTCCACTTGTCAAAAGTGGTTGTTTTTCTTTTCTTTTCTAGTTTTCATATAAACTTTTTCACTAAACTTCTTTTGCTGCCATGATTAACATCTCGGTTTTTTTTTCTTAATGTAGCAAATGTAAAATTGTGTTAGATGTAATAATGAACTAAGAATCAGGTCATGGTTAATTGTTGAGCGGGTTATGTCCATGTTGCCTTATAGAATTTGCAGATATTACAATTTGGTTGGTTTTAATTTGCAGGAGTTCAATGGCTTCAAAGCAGGATAGATATCAATGGTTATGAAGAGTATAGTGGAACTGAGTACCGGTCAGCTGGATGTACTGAAGAATATAGTGTCATTGAGTGAGTTTACTTTGACAATCTCTTTCTCACATGCACCTTTCATGTATGCGAGGATTGTTGTTATGAATTACAAAGTTCCCTTTGTGTTATATGTACTTGTGTTACTGATTTTTTTTTGGATCCATCTAATGTAGGAGGGATTTGGAACATGCAGGAGAAGAAGAATCTCTAATCCTAGAAGGTGATATAGGCGGTGGACTGATTCTTCGGCGTAACATAAGTATACCTAAAGACAATCCCCGAGTTTTTAGGATTGCCTCCAGCATTGAGGCCCGTAGTGTTGGTGCTGGTTCTGGTGGATTTTCAAGGTTTGTCTACTTGCATCACGCTTTCCTTTTTTGCCACTATGCGTATGCTTTCGCAAGAGTTTTTCTACATCGTTATAGTGAGAATGAAAAAGGAACAGAGAGAATATCTACACTAAAACACCTAAGACAATTTGTAAGGTTACACCACTATAGTAGAACAACGAAAACCCAATATATATATATAGTAATCTTGCTGTATAATTCAAGTAGACTTTGCAGATAATAGAATGCTTATGAGTCACTAGGAGGTTTTATTTCTGGCAACTGATATGTAAAAGCTTGAATCCTTTTCAAGTCAAGATTATGACTCAAACTCCCTGTCTTTACGTTTTCTGTGCGTCTGGAAAATGATTGTTCTATTCGTGTTGGTTACTAAATGCTGCAGGCTGGTATGCTTAAGAGTCCATCCAACTTTCTATCTTATGCATCCAACTGAATCGTTTGTCTCATTCACGTCGATTGATGGTTCAAAGCATGAAGTTTGGCCAGATTCTGGAGAACAGTTATATTTAGGGAACAACCTTCCACATGGTAAGTATGTTCACCCATCTTATCGTTCTCTTGTTAATCAAAAGCCGAAATAGAAAGAAGAATGTGATACTTAGCCTAACAGTAGAGAATTACTAGAAAGTAGAAAACCCCAGCAACAGAGGCTTTAGCAACTTTAAACCTTGAAGATAATTTCTTACTTGTCAACTTTAATTATAATACCTGTTGGATGAAAAGAACCTCTCTAAACATATGGTTCATATAGCATTTGTGCGAACAATATCCTTCTCTGTTCTTTTCAGGTGAATGGATGCTGGTGGACAAGAGCCTCAATCTACAGCTGGTAAACAGGTTCGATGTTAGTCAGGTCTTTAAATGTATTATCCACTGGGACTGTGGAACCGTTAACTTGGAGCTCTGGTCCGAAGACCGACCTGTTTCCAAGGCATCACCTCTGAATATAGAGCATGAATATGAAGTCACAAGTTTCTCATAAATGTATTTGAAAAGTTCTGCGTAGACTACTTGGGCTGTCCATTATAAGTGCATAAATAAGTGAATGAACAGTTGTGGTTAAGCTTTACACTGTAATCTCAGTTATGCGAACACTGTTTATATCAGATATTTCGCTACCTAAATAAGCATATATGCTTGGTTTTGACTAGGGGCTGCCTAGTGTTCAACATCTTTCGTTTTTGAGAAATACACAGTTTACTCATACATGCCTTAATAGCCAATACATTATTGTTAGGTGACTTGTAAATTATTTGGTCGTGGTCCTCGTAGAACATTTTCAATGCTAATATTATATTCTTGCGTCATGGTCCTCAACTCCTCGTGGAACATTTGCCAGTCCTAATAGAATATTTTCTGAATTTGTTTCCATCTGCCTCAAAAGCAGAATGGATTTTTGAGATTAAAACTATAGTACACAACGTTGTTATCTTTGTTACATATAAAAAAACAAACAAAGTCCACCATAAACGACGTCGCGGTTGAATCGTTATGTTAGTGGTTATAGTGGTCAATAAAAAAATATTTATCGTCAAAGATTTTATCTTTTTTCATATATTTATTATGTTATCTAGCGATTTAACTTTTGTTAACGTTGAAACTGATGATATAAAAGCAAGTACGATATTAAGTTGAACTATTGTGTCTTGTTCATGTATTTTCCAAGAAACCAAAATATGTCGTGTATTATTTAGACTTCAGAAACATAAAATTTCTGTCAAAATAAAATTAGATCATAGTACTGTTTTCTCCTTTAAATGCTAAAAAAAGAAGGTTTTAATATATGTCAATGAAAATGTACTAAAGTTTGATTTGTACTAAAATCTTTTGATTATACTTTTTTTTTTGTTTACGCCAAGTTTTTTTATCATATAAACAACAAATATGATATATTACGGAATCTTTATATTATATTAAGATGGTGGAATACGAAGAGGCAAATAAAAGATGGTGGAAACTGAGTATTAATTATAATAATCAGCCAATCTCGTTTTTATTATAATTGCGAGTATGATCATCATCGTCATTAATTCATTATAGAAATTTGACCTTGGACCTTCTTCGTTAATGGTCTATGGTCGCTCACTTCCTTAGGCTGAACTCATCGTCAAGAGCACTTTCAGGTTGTTTCTTGCTCCGTTACATTTCTCCTGATCTGATCCTTCTATTCGCTTTAACTTTTGGCACATCCTTCATCACCCATATCTCTATTATATGGAAGATTATGCTTTTTTATATTTTTTAAAGTTTGACTTTGGATATTACAGCTATTTTTGGACACTTATTTACGGAGGATTAATTCGATTATTCGATGTTGGGCGTGACTTTTTTGTATTGCAACAATTTTTTTGGTAATTTTCTTTAGATGAAAGTGAATATAGATTTGATTAGAACCTGAACTCAAAAACCACATTAAAACTCGCGTGTCACTTTGGTCACTTAGGGCATCCTCATTGTAGGGTTTTTATAGGTAAGATTTGCCAAAGAGAGTATCTTATATAACATACCCTCTTTGATAAATCTTACCCATAAGAACCTCCAATGAGTATGGTCTTAGGTTTATAGTCTCCGTATACATTTTTTTTGGTTTTTTTTTTTCTCTGCTTTCCTCAGTTTGTTCAGGTTTAGATGACAATCTATGTAGAACCTTGCTTTGGAGTTTTGAATGATGGTAGATTAGTTATAGACTTATAGTATAGTATTTAAACGTTAGATGGAGACTTATTGTTTCTTTATGGTCTTATTTGCATGGAGACAGGTCAAACAGAACAAAAGGGTTATACACAAGGAGTAATTACTAGTTTTGATAACCATAAGTGGAGATAACTCGGAAACTATAGATATGGCTCCAACCGATATGATTTATGAGCCAATCTTGGAGCATGGAGTTTTTAGGTTTGACTGTTCCGTGGAGCATAAGGAAGCCGCATTTCCTAGTGTTTCATTTAAGAACAGCAAAGAACGGGAAACGCCAATTGTGAGTCACCATGTTCCGGCATATATTCCTACGTGTGAATGTCTTCAGGGCCAACAAGTTGTCACTTTTGAGGTTAGTGTTACTATTTCTTTTTATTTTCTCAAAAGATTTCTTACAATGTCACTCCTAAGTCTTAATTCTAACTTGTGATGCAGTTTTCTCTTGGCACATCGTTTTATGGGACGGGAGAAGTTAGTGGACAGTTGGAGAGAACAGGGAAACGGGTGAGTCATTCACTTGAACAACCATCATCAATTCGTTAACCTAATTAATTTGGTGAGTAAAATCATGTCCAGGTATTTACATGGAACACTGATGCATGGGGATATGGCCCTGGAACCACTCCACTGTACCAGTCACATCCATGGGTACTAGTAGTCCTTCGCACTGGACAAACACTAGGGGTTCTTGCTGATACAACACGAAAGTGTGAGGTATATCTATGAGCCATTTAATTTTTATGGACCTATATCTATCTTTTTCATTGAATTGACATATTTTTTATTGTCTAGATTGATCTAAGGAAAGAGGCAAGTATAAGATTTATAGCACCAACATCATATCCTATAATCACCTTTGGTTCATTCTCCTCACCCACTGCTGTCTTGGAGTCCTTGTCCCATGCCATTGGTAATTTCTCATTTTTGCTTCTTTATGCCATTGCAACTCTATATAGTTAAACTGTCAACTTTGTTTCAATGACTACAAGTGACATGTTACTACTAGTCCTTGTCACTCATTGTCTATGCAATTTGTAGTTTGAGTCTAGGTGTTCGTCTTTACTTATGTTATATCTCTTTCGCTTCTCCTTAGTTAATATTATTGATGTTAAATTAAGTTACATTTCTACTTATCAGGAACTGTTTTTATGCCTCCAAGGTGGGCTTTAGGCTACCACCAATGCCGTTTTAGTTATATGTCTGACAAGAGAGTAACCGAGGTCAGTGTTTTTGTTCATATTCTGGCTGTTTAGTGAAGCTAAAGAGAGGATATGCAACTCTATGGTCACTTTTACCTTGATGGTTACAGATAGCTCAAACATTTCGAGATAAGAAGATTCCTTGTGATGTGATATGGATGGATATAGACTACATGGACGGTTTTCGTTGTTTCACATTTGACAAGGCATGTTTATTTGTTTAGATCAATAAAATTTATCTGGTTACCATGGTTTACATAGACTAAAGTTTATAAGTTTTAGGTATTGCACATTATAAGAATTTTTTATGAAAATATATATATATATGTATTAGGGATAATAATATCCCACATTGGAAGTTGAGTAGGATCTTAAGTGGTATATATAAGATATGGGCCTCTCCACTCATTGCCAATTGGTTTTAGGTTGGAAGCCCACAATCTAATATGGTATCAGAGCCCGGTCCGCACATATTCAACCCAATCCACAATCGATCTGGCCCAATAGTTGGCCCACCGATTCATGCCCGAACATACCGAGATTTATGGCAAAAAAGAGCCATCATCTCGAGGGGGCGTATTAGGGATAATAATATCCCACATTGGAAGTTGAGTAGGATCTTAAGTGGTATATATAAGATATGGGCCTCTTCACTCATTGCCAATTGGTTTTAGGTTGAAAGCCCACAATCTAATAATATGTGTGTTCAGGAGCGTTTCCCGGATCTTAGTGCTTTGGCAACATATCTCCATGATAATGGTTTCAAAGCGGTCTGGATGCTTGACCCTGGGATAAAGGAGGAGGAAGGTTATTATGTTTACGATAGTGGAAGTAAAAATAATGTTTGGGTTAGACAAGAAGATTGGAAGCCATTTATTGGTATATATCACTTTGATGTTATGAGTTTTATGCTGGCTTTGTCATGTTATATATTCTGTATCTATGCAAAAACCTCTGATATATGTCTGGTTTCATTAGGTGAAGTATGGCCGGGGCCTTGTGTTTTCCCTGACTATACTAATTCTGAAGCTCGCTCTTGGTGGGCTAATATGGTTAAGGAGTTTATGTCAAATGGTGTTGATGGTATATGGAACGATATGAATGAGCCAGCGGTTTTCAACGTAATTTTTTTCTTTGAACTTTTGTTATTTTTTAACTAAAATCTTTATCCAAATTTTCATGCGTTCTTATTTTGCAATGGCCAGACCGTTACAAAGACAATGCCCGAGAACAATATTCATGGTGGAGATGATGAGCTTGGAGGTGTTCAAAACCATTCACACTACCACAATGTAACATTCTTATCTACTCTGATCTCCAATATTCCCTATGTATGTCTGATTTTATATGAGTATGATGTTGGTTGTTGGCTTTATGGATTATAACCCTTCCAACATGGTATTGTGTGTGTATATGTTGAGGGTTAGGAGGCAAAGGACCTGCCTTTGATCTAAGCAGAAAGAAATGGAACATTTGAAGTGCATCTAGAGTAAAATGTAGTTGGTCTCCAAAACTAAAACCGTTTGTCTAAAGACTAAACTTATTTTTACATGCGGTAGCTGTCTTTGTGCATGTTGTAAGTACGTTGCTAGGCACTTCAAGTTAACTTTTTCAATTTCTTTTCGCTGTCTAGGTCTACGGGACGCTGATGGGAAGGTCAACGTATGAAGGGATGAAGCTAGCTGATAAGAATAAACGACCTTTTGTATTGACGAGGGCTGGATTCATAGGTAGCCAGAGATATGCTGCGACATGGACAGGAGATAACCTTTCAAACTGGGAGCATCTACATATGTCTATATCCATGGTACTTCAGCTGGTAAGTATTTTATTAGGTGTTTGCTACATCATTAATAAATAATAAAGATTTTCTTGCTCAAACCATAAACTAATTTTAACTATGACACATTACATTAAATTCTATTCAGGGGCTTAGTGGTCAGCCCTTATCAGGGCCAGACATTGGTGGATTTGGTGGCAATGCAACTCCGCGGCTGTTTGGACGTTGGATGGGCATTGGAGCAATGTTTCCATTTTGTCGTGGCCATTCTGAGGTGGCCACTGATGATCATGAGCCATGGTCATTTGGAGAAGAGGTATTTTTCTGCTAGCAAATCTTATAAGAGCTATAAATTAAACATATTTTTTTAATGACCAAACACATAAAGGATAACTTTATAAATTTATAGTCTCTTAAAAATGGTTAACCATTCATAATTTGCGATTACTTATGTCACTTATGAACTCTAGTATTATTTATCAGTGTGAGGAAGTATGTCGTGCCGCATTGATGAGACGTTACCAACTTCTCCCACATTTTTACACCTTATTCTACATTTCTCATACAACTGGTGCTCCAGTTGCAGCTCCAATCTTTTTCGCTGGTATGCTTCTCTAAAACGTTGCGTTGTATTCCATTTCTTGAACTTATGCAATCAAATCTCATACTCATTTTTTTATTGTGTCTTGATAAATGCAGATCCTAAAGATTCTCGGCTAAGAACTATTGAAAATGCCTTTCTTTTGGGTCCACTTCTTATATATGCAAGGTTAATTTCTTGTAAATATATACCTATAGAAAATTTGGTATTTAACTATTCTTGGTGCTCCTCTATAGTTTAATATCCTAGAAAACATTTGTATTCATCAAGTTGTATTTGGTTTGTTATATCGTTGTCTATAGCACGTCGTCTACTCAGGGATCACACGAGTTGCAGCACATATTGCCTAGGGGAACTTGGTTGAGGTTTGATTTTAAAGATTCACATCCGGTATAGTCACTGACACATGATTTCATCTTTTTTTCTTGGGGAAATAACTTAATTTGTTTTCTCTTAATTTTTTAGACACTGTTCGTTTCATGATGTTAGGATTTACCGACATTATATTTACAAGGTGGATCCATCATAACATTGGCTCCTCCACATCTGCATGTTGGGGAATTTAGTTTGTCAGATGACTTGACACTACTTGTGTCGTTAGATGAAAATGGTAAGTTATATGCTTCTCGATCTTAGTCTTGTTTATGCTTATTGATCAAATAACAGAGATAGATATCATAATGTAAAGAGAATAACTATGTATTTTTTTACATTGTCTCGGTTAGGGAGAGCTGAAGGCGTCTTGTTTGAGGATGATGGAGATGGATATGGTTACACTAAAGGCAGATTTTTAATTACACACTATATTGCTGAGCAACACTCTTCCACTGTTACTGTCAAGATTTTAAAAACTGAAGGAGAGTGGCAGAGGCCAAAGCGCCGTGTTCATGTCCAATTATTACTTGGAGGCGGTGCAATGGTGTTGCTCCTTCTCTAGTTGAAAAACCTTTAGTGTATATAACTTCAAGTTCAAAATAATTGAATCTAGGTAATGTTAAACAGCTTGACACTTGGGGAACGGATGGAGAAATTATTCACATTGAGGTGCCTTCGGAAAGTGAAGTTTCAGAGTTGATATCCGCAAGCAATGAGTGCTTTAAACTTCATATGGGTAAGTCTCATCTTTTAGTTTTCTCTATAGCTACTTGTATAATAAGCTTTCCATTTATAGTAAGGATTAATTACATCTGTATTATTGGAATGTAGAAAATACAAACCTGATTCCTGAGAAGGAAGTATTACCTGGACAAAAGGGTATGGAACTTTCAAAGGAGCCAGTTGAGCTAAACAGCGGTGATTGGAAACTTAATATAGTTCCTTGGATTGGTGGAAGGATATGGTCCATGAAACATGTTCCATCCGGTAATGTATACTGATAAAATGTTTTCATACTGTGGTAAATGTAAAATTGTTAGTTATATAGAAACTTTAGAATGAGCTGATTATGTCCATATTGACTTTTCGAATATGAAAAGATTATAATTCTGGTTGATTACAATTTACAGGAGTTCAATGGCTTCATAGCAGGATAGATATCAATGGGTATGAAGAGTATAGTGGTACTGAGTACCGTTCAGCTGGATGTACTGAGGAATATAATGTCACTGAGTGAGTTCCTTTGAGGTTCTCTCCCGTATATGCATGTGTTATGCATGCAATTAAAGTTGACATGAACACAAATCTATCTCTCTTCATTATCTTTATTTATGTCACCCAATTGGTTGCTTCCTCTCTTGTAGGAGACATTTGGAACATGCTGGGGAAGAAGAATCTTTGACCCTAGAAGGTGATATAAGTGGTGGACTGGTTCTTCGACGTAAAATAAGTATACCTAATGATAATCCCCGGGTTTTTCGGATTGCCTCTAGCATTGAAGCCCGCAGTATTGGAGCTGGTTCTGGTGGATTCTCAAGGTTTGCGTGATTCCTTCACACTTTCTTTTATTTGCCACAATGTCTATGCTTTTGCAAAAATATATCTAAGTCGTTCTACTAAGAGAGGCTTAAGATCTGGCAGTCACACCAATATATAGTAATCTTGTTTGTGTTATTTAAGTAGGGTTTTGCAGATAGTAGGTTGCTTGCGAGTCAAGATTAGGACTGGTTTTTCTGTTTTCTTTTTGTTTGGTCTGATAATGACATTATTTTTGGTGGTCTGGTTACTAAACGATGTAGGCTGGTATGCTTAAGAGTCCATCCAACTTTCACACTTTTGCATCCAACTGATACGTTTGTCTCATTCACATCGATTGATGGTTCAAAGCATGAAGTTTGGCCAGATTCTGAAGAGAAACTATATGAAGGGAACAACCTCCCACATGGTCAGTACCTTCATGCTCTTCCCATTTTTCTTATCTAATAGAAAGAATATTATAAAACTAGCAACTTTAAATATGCGAAGAACTTTTCGTTATTGATCAACTGTAACATTTGTGCAGGTGAATGGATGCTGGTGGACAAGGGCCTCAATCTAGGGCTGGTAAACAAGTTCGATGTTAGTCAAGTCTTCAAATGTATTGTCCACTGGGATTTTGGAACCGTTAACATGGAGTTATGGTCTGAAGAACGACCTGTATCCAATGAATCGCCTTTGAAGATAGAGCATGAATATGAAGTCACAAGTTACCTTTAAATGTGTTGGCACAGTTCAATTTGCTACTTGGATTGACCATTATAAATGCATAATTAAATAAGTGAATGAACAGTTGTGGTTTAAATTTAATTTATCTATGTATGTGACATTGTGTTACATTTGATACTTAACACTACCAAATAAAGGTACTGTATATGTTTACGAAATAAAGGTTATAATGTAATGTTTTAAGAGTGTGAGTGTACGTAATGTTATTTACATCATATGAGATCACCAATTCTCTCATTCTTTTTCTCTTTTGATATGTCTTCGCTTTTAAGTATATATAAATATATTTAAGGAACTTTTTTGTGCCAGCAAGTATGAAAAGTAAATAAAATCCTATAACAATAAAAAAAAGAAGGAAAAAGAGTATTTAGAAAGTACTACAAAATTTATTGCTAATTTACCATATTTAAAAGAGCAACAAACAATTCTTTTTTTTTATCAAAAACAGAAAAAGATTAACAACTTTTGGGGACTGACAAATCTTTCGATTTTATTTTGGCACATAAATCTTGCAATTATTAATTAAGAATATGAAAAAACATCTTGTGAGATTCAAAACATTGTTCTTAATTACCATTCAAAAACAATCAATAACATCTCCCTTTATTAAAACGGAATGTCTTTTTTATGTTTTCTCAAGAATGGACTGTTGCGTACGTGTGGGTTTATCAGACTCAGGTGGAGGAAGTTTGGGAACCTTTTTTTCAAGTCTCACGTATGCATGAATTGTTGATTTTGCTTTTCTCGTGTCAATGAGTAAAAATTAAGAACACGATTAATAAAATTCCTTTTTATTGATGAAATATATCATGTAAAACATAAAAACATATATAATTTAAGATATATCCATCTTCTTTCATCAATGTCAAACAACCATTGAAAAAGTATTCTTGATTTCTTTTCTCATGCACCACCACCAGGAACTTTGTATACTGGAACACAAAATACCAAATATATAAGATTGAAAATGAAATACGAATTTACGTAAGAGTCTAGTCGTAATGTTAGTTTACACATATCATATGTTGTAGTTCCAAAACAAAATGAATATACTTAAAGAGAGTTGTTATAATTAATGTTGCTTACCTCCACAGTAAGAGCCAGGAACTAATAGATCACCACATGCGTGAGACAGTTTGATGAGCTTTTTGACATCAAATTCTTCGAGAAATCTAGGGTTGACGGCATCACAAAGACAATACATCTTGTCAATCTTTAAATTTTGACAGCATTGTGGAATCGGAGGGACGAATGGTCTATTCAGAGTCAAAGATGAAGCACAATAAACTAAATCTTCATAACCTTTAGTTACGGCACATCCATGATAAGGTTTGAATGACGATATTATCACAACAAGCAATACGAAAATAATAGCATACATCTTCATCACCAATTCTCTCATTCTTTCTTTTGATATGTCTTTGTCTTTTAATTCCTTACACAATATATATAATGTTTTTTATAAAATATAAATAAAATCCTATTGAAAAAAAGAAGGAAAGATAGTAGTAGTATTTATAAAATAATACAAAATTTATTGCTAATACAATGTTTTTTTGACGAAAACCAGAAAAAGATTAACAACTTTAAGGAACAGACAAATCTTGTGATTTTATTTTGGCACATAAATCTTGCAATTATTAATTAAGAAATTCAAAACATTGTTCTTTACCAATTACCATTCACAAACAGTATTAAAACGAAATTACATTTTATAATAAACCTTATGAAGGGTATTAAATCCATTTTCAAATAAATCTATCTAAAATCTGAAAAAATGATAAATTAAGTTTTGTAAGGAACCATGATCCTATTGATGAACGTCATCGGATTTGGTGTTTTTGGGTCACGTACACTCTTCGATTAAGAAACTTGCGATTAGGGTTCACCAAGAAACGAAAAATGATTTGGGATTTTTTTTCTTTTTTATTTTGGGGTTTTAATCAGGTATAGATTTCGAATTAAATTGGTTTAGGCATGGTTAAACTTTGTTTCAATTCGTTACGACTAAATTGGAAAACAGAAAACCAACATTAACCAATGTGTAAATTATGTTGCGTGTGGTGTGGTCTATTAGTGCTTGTTAGGCTCTATTGCTTGTTTATCTTAAACAGAGATTTTTTTTTTAACTCAAGTATAAATTGTTGATTTTATGTTTGTCGTGTCAATTACTAAAAAATGAGAACAAATAAAATTCATTTTTATTGATGAAATATTGTACTTTTCACTACATATATATGATGTGAAACATATAATTGAAGATATATCCGTTTTCTTTCATCGATGTAAACCAACCATTGAAAAAGTATTCATGTTTTCTTTTTCATGCACCACGGGGAACTTTGTATACTGTAACACAAAACACCAATATAAGATTGAAGATGAAAAATGAAAAATGGTTGTGCAAAAAGAAAATGAATTACTTAGTGTTATTTACATCATATGTTGTAGATCCTAAATAAAATGATGCATATACTGAAAGTCATGAGTAGAATTTTACTTACATCCACAATGAGAGCCATGAATTAATAGATTACCGCATGCGTGAGATAGTTTATTGAGCTTCTCTGCATCATAAACTTGGAGAAATTCGGAGTTGACAGCATTACAAAGACAACGCATCTTGTCAATTTTTAAGTTTTTACAGCATTGAGGTATTGGAGGAATAAATGGTGAATTTAGCCTCAAAGAAGGAGAACAATAAACAAAATCTGCATAAGTTTTGTCTCGGGTACATCCATGATAAGGTCTTAACGACGATGTTCTCACAACAAGCAATATGAAAATAATAGTATACATCTTCATCACCAATTCTCTCATTCTGTATTTTGATATGAATTCGTTTTTAAGTCCTTACATGTATAGGTATATTTAAGGAACTTTTACGCCAGCAATTATGAAAAATAACTATAGCCAAATATACCTATAGTCCACACAATTAAGAGAAAAGGAAAAGGAAAGATACTACTAGTACTATTTACTATTTAAAAGATGATACAAAATTTATTGTTAATTTACCATTACTAAAAGAACGACAATATTGTTTTGACCACAAAAGAAAAATATTAACAACTTTTCGGTACAGACAAATTTTGGGATTTTGTTTGACACTTAAATCTTGCAATTATTAATTAAAACTTTGAAATCATAATAAAATTATTATTTTCTGGTTGCATAACTATTTTATAAATGTATGATATATTCATTAACCTTTTACTTTACTTTTATTTTAATTCAAGTATGTATTTTCGTTTAAAATTTTTCATATTATTGTTAACAAAATGTCAAAATCTAATTGGTTGAATTTTTTATATGTGTCAAATTCTCTTATATTTTGACATGTGTCACAATTTTGTGAGTTAAGAATTTTGAAACCAAAATTTATATAATAAAATAGAGAAAATCACATTTGTAACCTTTAAAGTGTCACTGAGCTAGTAGCATTTTAAACCTCGAAGTTTTTTCACTAGAATTATAAACTAAAAAATATTTTACTAACACTTTAAACTCTAAATTTAGATTTTTTATTGTTTAGACGGTGTTCCAGATTCCATCGAGAATTGATGTATTTAGATAAGCACGAGTTATATATATCTTCATTTCTCTTTTACAAGATATAGTTTTTGAAGTATTATTCATATTAGAAATTATATTTTCTAGGTTAGAATTATCATTTTAAATTTTTAATAGTTTATAGACTTTTTTTTATCACAAATAACCAATATTGATTTTGATCAATTCAATAAATTTATATTCAAGAGAGCAATATATGTATTAAGGTTGTTCACACCAAAAGATATCAATTTAAGTTATTATTGAAATAATGTAAATAATCAAAAGAAAAAAGAAAAAAAAAAGAAAGAAAAACATAAGAAATTTTTTAGCAAAACATAAGAAAATTTTAAGCAAAAAGATAAATCTAACATTGAAAAAATACAAAATTTTACAGACTCGAAAAAGAAAAATATAATTGATAGAAAATGTGTTTGTAAAGTGTTACGTATGTAAGCCTTTTCCGAAGAAAAAAAAATACTAAGTTAAGTTACTAACTTTAATTTACCTGCGAGATGATACCAAACATTCCAAGAGAGACTATAGAGGCTTCTAAATCATAGACGTTGCTGCCATTGAGAAGTCTAACCATGGCATATCATTTGTGTGCTGCGCGCAGTCCCATAGGCCGTAGGGGTAATCATTCGCATCTCAGTGACATAGTCATGAAAAGCAGATCCATCACCATGCCAAGTACTGCCGTGGCCCGTGTGCACAAGTAGACATCATCCCTCCTACCGTCACTCCCCACCATTGTGGTGCCAATGTCAATGCTAGTCCAAATTTTGCAGCATCTTCTATGAGTTGACGCAAGGATACACCACTCTGAACCGTGATCGTCATTGCCTCCCACGTTTACACTTAGTGTACGGTTCAGAAACTCCGTGCTGATTAGCCTGCCGTCATTCCTTAGTGTATAGTTCAGAAACTCTGTGGGAGAATTGAGCCACCACCCGCATCTTCTGCTTCGCTTGCGGTCCATGAGCTACGACATTCAGCAGATATTTCTCTGTGGTTGGATATGCTTTCATGGAAGCAACGCATGTCGCACCGTCCACAAATGCACCATAAGAATTGACTATGGTGCAATTTCTTCGTGTAGGTTGAGTTGAGAGAGCCTGCAGGACGAAAAACCAGAAAAGGCATAAAATACCTGATCCACAACAAATATAAGATAATTGTAATATCTAAAGAAGGATTTGGGAGAAAACTTTTTATTGTCGTGAGTCTTTAATCTCTAGAGAATTGATTTATGTTTAACCTAATTAGAAGAAGAAACAGATAAACATGATTAAGTAAATATTTTAAATATTTTAATCTTTATCACACTTCTAGAATATTTTTCGCCTTGCGCTTCACGGGTTCACTTCAATAATGGACGTTCACGGTTCATAATAGTTGGTTCGCAAAATACACATCTTGTTCCCCAAGATATCTCTAATAATAATCACGTAAGACATGGATTGTTGATTTTTTTTCTCTCTCGTGTCAATTACTAAAAAGTACGAACAAAAATTAAAAAAAAATCATTTTTATTGATGAAATATGGTCCTTTTTCACTACATATGATGTAAGATAATATTAGTTTTATTTCATTAATGCTAAACAGCCATTGAATAAGTATTCTTCTTCTTTTTTTTCCTTTTCTCATGCACCACCGGGAACTTTGTATACTGGAACATTAAAGACCAATATAAGATTGAAGATGGAAACAAAAAATGATTGTGCAAAAAGAAAATGGATTTACTTAGTGTGCAAATGTTATTTACATCATATGTTGTAGATCCAAAAAAAAAATGAATATACTGAAAGTGATTATAATTTTACTTACATCCACAATAAGAGCCGGGAATTAATAGATTGCCGCATGCGTGAGATAGTTTGTTGAGCTTTTGTACATCAAAAACTTGGATAAATTGGGAGTTGACAGCATTACAAAGACAACGCATCTTGTCAATTTTTAAGTTTTTACAGCATTGAGGTATTGGAGGAATAAATGGTGAATTTAGCCTCAAAGACGGAGAACAATAAACTAAATCTTCATAAGTTTTGTCTCGGGTACATCCATGATAAGGTCTTAACGACGATGTTCGCACAACAAGCAATATGAAAATAATAGTAAACATCTTCATCACCAATTTTCTCATTCTTCTTCTCTTTTGATATGTCTTCGTTTTCAAGCCCATACATGTATATATAAGTATATTTAAGGAACTTTTATGCCATCAAATTTTTTTTTTTTTTTTTTAAAATCCTATAGTCAAATCAATAAAGAAAAAAAGGGAAGTATAAGATTTACAAAATTATAAAAAATTTATTGCTAATGTATCATTTTTAAAAGAGCAATAATTTTGTTGACCAAAAACAGAAAAATAATAACAACTTTTGGGAAAGAAAAATCTTGTGATTCTGCTTTGGCACATAAATTTTGCTACTAGTAATTAAGAAATCTATTGCCAAAAAAAGTAATTAAGAAATGAAAAAAAATATATCGTGAAATTAAAAAACATTGTTCATTATCATTTAAAACAGTCAATAATATACCCTCTTTATTAAAAAAAAAAATTATGTCGGTCAACAACGATGAGTCAACTGTCATGTATGCATATTTTGCTGAGTCATATGTTGCATGTACAACATGTGTCAAAATATAATAAAAATAATAATTCTTGAAACAAATAATTTAATTTAAAACAACTAATTTCAAAATTATTATTATCTAAACAAAACCCGTTTGAACAAAAATAATAGGTCTGTTTATAAACTACGAAAAACTAGTAGCAAATATAAAAATGAGAAGCACAATGAAATAATCTATAAATTGTTTACGGGTTCCTGAAGTTGATTTGTCTGTCTTACGGTTTATGTTGAAGCTCTTGTATGCCCTTGGTTTTGTGTCTCCAAATATTAAAAAGGTAAAACCGAAAATCTCTGTTGCATTATTTATGTTATACACCAAATATTAAAATTAATTGAAATTTCTGTTTTTGCAAAATTTTCATATTCGTTTAAAATTTAGATACAAAAATTTTAAATAAAAAAACATAAATTAATTCCTGACACATGGCATGTGACTCAGCAAAATTTGTACATGTGACATATGATCAGCAAAATCTGCATACATGATAGCTGACTCACCGTAGTTGATCAACATAATCCCGATCAATGTTGATTTTGGCACAAATTTGATAGTTCATGTTATTTATTCGAAAAAAATATTTAGTTCAGGTTGAAATTCATTTGTTATCAAAATTGAAGTATAAAAATACACTTTTGAAATTGTTCACGTTGAAATTTGCTCTTTACTCTGTAAAAATACCCTCTTCTCTCGTCTATTTTCAAAAATATCATCTTTTAGGTACAAAATGACTAAATTACGCTCCGTTAATGGTACTCATGATGAAAAAATGAATATTCATTGTAACAAAAAAAAATATTCCTACCAAAAAAAATTTCCGCCTAATTTTTTAAAAATTCCTAAAAAAATCTTGTAAATATGTTTAAAACCCTTACTAAATCCTTTAAAATTCCTTGTAAAACCGTTAAAAAATCATTCAAAAACTCTAGTAAACCTTTTACAATATTTGTAAATCCTTTAATAATTCTTTAAAAACTTTATAATTGTGGTAAATCTTTTCAAAACTTTTAAAAACACTTGTAAATCCCTTATCATTATATTTATAACCCGAACAATAATAGCATTTTTACATAAGTTAAACGATTCATATGTGGGCACAGACCCGTGCTGCCTTATAGATCTTCCCAGGTCGACAGAAGTAACCTCTCGTAGGGGAACAATGGACATCTTTGGAACAGATGCACAACCCCTCCAGTGCACAACCTTCTGTATCTCTTGTAAGGTCGCCTCCTAGACCCAATACTGCGTCCGTCCATTTACTCGAGAATAGTTGTAGTGGGTCGAACATCTGCTTCATCTTCAAGAACTGAGATGCATCCTTGTACTTCTCAGTGGCGTTGATAAATGCAACATTTCTGTTCTTACCCCAATGTGGTAGGCCCCCGTACTTGAACATACCCATCTGCTCAATCTCCTCGAGATAATCTTCATACATACGGGGCATCAACGGGTCTCTGCTTCTGTAGTATGTAAACTCGAATTCCATACCCTCAAATTCGATGACCAAGTATGCAAATGATGGTTGAACATACCGGATTAATACACCAGACTTTTGATGTCGCTGATAAACTCTTCAACGTTCTCAATGGGTATGGTGAACGTGGTCTGATGGAAAAATTGGCCATGTACACGAGAGTCCCAGGGACAAGCCGTGGCTAAACCATCTTCTTTGCTATCCAGACAACTTCCTGATGACATCAGGTCGCTATGGTTTCCAATCACTGGATAGCCTGAATACTTCATACCTACAGTTCGAAATATGAAACATAAGTTAATAAATCTGATTTAACGTATGTGTGTTATCGGTTTTGCAAGTTTATACAGTAAAAAAAGAGCATACCATCATTCGACAAACCATATAACAGCGAATGTAAACGAGCTGGAAAATCATGCGCCAATGTGCATATTTGTTTGTTTCCAAATCTAGCTCTTCTTCTATTTGTTTTTTAAGACAAAAAAAAATTAATTTCTATAAGATGTAATCTACAGTAGAAATGAATGTACCTCTTGATCTTTGGAACGCCAGACATTTATGAAACATAATTATGTTTTCCTCATATTTTTCTTACGTTGTTCTTACTTTTTGCTTACTTTTGATTAATTAATTTTCTTTTGATTATCTAAATGATTTTAATGCTATAACATATTGATTGAAGTGAAGCCACATTGAGATTCACTCAAACAACTTTATATGATGTGTTGCTGTAGGAATTAGCACCAACGACATACCGGCCTAAACCAAGACGGAATCGAATTAAACCAATAAATCGGAGAATCCCGGTTTATTGTCCAATTATTGCAAAGGGTGCTTTATTCCTAAAATGGAATGGACGACTTCGGATCATTAGGGTTTCGCAAACCCTAATCGAATATTTATGATAATATCTTCCGAAAATCTAAGGAAGAGGAGCATTTATTGTAACCCTAAATCCCTCGTATAAAGGGAGAAGATGTCTCTATTCTAGGGCATCGATCATTTAATAGCAAAAACCCTAGTTCTTCATTTGTTCTTGAGCAAACCCTAAATCGTTCATTTCTAGGTCGAGTCAATCCTTTTAATCCGTTTCAATTCGAGTTCTTGAGAGATTGTTCAAAGTGAATTTATTCTCCTTTCCTTAATAAATTCATTGTGTGAACCCTTGGTTCAACAATTGGCGCTAGAAGGAGGGGGGGAATCTTTTCCTTTCTAGAAAGCATTTTCAAGAGTAACACTTCTCTCAACTCGATTAACGAAGCAATCCACCTCGAGATGTCTCCGCAACTCGGGCCTGTTGACTCACGTCCAAACGAGGAGCTCGACGAAGAGCCCCTTACTAACGACTCGACCTTCAACGAAAGGATCGAGGAAGAAGTCCGTCAAATGGATCTCCCGGCACCAGTCGAAACCACCGAGCGTCCTCAAACTGGCGAAGTGGAAGGCAATACGACCGCCCCTCGAAGGTCCGAAGGTAAGCCTACGAACGAGCCACAACTCGCTCAGGTCGCCCCAGCGGGCCCACCGGTTCAGCAAACCGTATCCATGGACGACCTGCGCATAGTGTTCGGAAGCATGACGAAAGACATCTACGACCGAATCGCGGCAGCCGACCACCGGATGGATACGATCATGCGTAATCGTACGCCGGAATCTAACGGGCAAGACGTAAGTCTCGACGCCCTCGCCCCCGGTCCGGTCGGAGGATGCACGTTACGACCTCCAGTGTCAGTTGGCCGCTCGTGCGTAAGACCTACGCCAACCGGGACCCGACCCCAAGCATTGGTAACAGCGTCCAGCCAACCTGCAGACGCGCCCAGCTCCGGTCGAAATCGGGATCTGGAAGATCTGTACGCAAGGATAGCCGACATAAACTCTCAGGTCCATCGGGTCTCCAGTTCGGCCCCTGAAATCGACCGTATGTTCGAAGAAACACAGCGAACTCCCTTCACGAGCCGCATCACTCAAGCCCGAATTCCGCATATCAAATTCAAGCTGCCGACGTACGACGGGGATAAGGATCCACGTACCTTTATGACGGCGTTCATGGCCGCAGTCACAAAAGCACACTTCTCCGACGAGGAGAAGGATACAGGACATTGCCAATTATTCGTCGAAAGTCTGACCGGCAATGCACTCACCTGGTTTTCTCGGCTTAGCCCGAATTCGATCGATAATTTCGCCCAGCTATCGACCTCTTTCCTCCGGCATTACCGACATTTCATACAACCCGGAGCATCTAGCATCGATCTCTGGGACACAACCCAGGAAGCCGGCGAAACTCTGCAACAGTACTTGGTGCGATTCAAGAATTTGCTGGCCAAAGTATCAGTCCCAGAGGATGCCGCTTTAGCCGCTTTCCGCAAGGGGCTCATTCCAGGATCGTCCCTGCGAAAAGACTTGGCCATCCGTGAGCCGAAAGATCTCGACGACGCGCTACATCGTGCGTCCAGATACGCGCTTTTTGAAGAGGAAGATGCCAAACTAGCGGCGAAGTCTGGGGCAAACCGTCCTACACCCCGAGACCGAAAACGTGAAGACTACCGGGAACCACGTAAGCATTATGAGGGAAAGGACGCTTCGCGCGGCGCAATTAGTGCGATCTCAAAAGAAGCCAGTAACCAAAACACGTCGTCCAAAGAAGCATAATGCACTTTCCATAAGTTCGCCGGACATTCAACCGAAGAGTGCAAGCATCTCTCTAACTATCTACTCGATAAATACAAGTCCGGCGAAATAGAAGCGGTATTCCAGCCCAAAGAATACAGAGGACAACGACCTGACGGAAGGCGCGGGCGCGGTCGAGGCCGAGGCCAGGAGACACGACAATACCGAGATGACGGCCCCGATCGGCGAGATCGGTCTGATGAGAGGCGAAGTCCCGATCGGCGAGATCGGTCTGATGAGAGGCGAAGTCCCGATCGGCATAACGATGAAGAGGGAGAACTGCCGGGACCACCGAAAAGACAGAGAGGGCAACGACCGCAGCGTGCTGGCTCACCGGCTCGTGGACGGATAACCATGATACTGGGGACTCCTGAGGACTGCAACGACTCGGTCCGGGCACTCAAAAAAAGAGCCAGACAGGTGTGCAGCTTGCATGTCGC